CGATTTACCTTAGCCTTATTAAATAATATTGCTCGTGTCATGAGGAGCACCGCGTAGCTGTCTCTACCGAGTAGAAAAAAACCGATCAATTCCTGTTCTTCCTGGTTCCTTTAAGCGCTAAATAGGCTGTTTTTATGCCAAAAAACCAATAAGCCTTTAGAACTCTTTCTCACTTTTGCCCAAAAGGATATGTCCGTCGAGATTTGGATGAATTGTCATGCGCAATTCGGAGCTTCGCGTAGCTGTCGAGAGCTAGTGGCCATGAACAGTCGATTTTGGTACTTCCCAGTCCCTTTAACCCATGTTTTCTGTCCAGATGCTGCATGCATGTCGGCCTTGTTGCCGTGTTTCTTCTGACTCCTTCAGATAAGCGCCTACAAAGGCTGTAAAAGTGAGAGCGGGTCCTGTTAGCCTCTGCGTCTGCAATCCGGCACATCCGTTTTTAAAACCGGAACCATCAGTATTTTTCCGGAAAGGTGTCATTTTCATTTTACTATGACACCTTAAACCTAACCATATTAAGAACCCTAATTTTAATTTCCCATTTTTTTAGAATGTTCGGCTTATTAATAATACTACTAACATGCCTGGTGGTGTATTATTTAATGTAAGTTACTTTATACAAAATAAATGGTTGATTTTTGATGATTGAATTACTGTATCTTTTTGTTTGCCAGCTTTGCCACGATCCGCAAAAATTTCTGGAAAAGCCGAAAAGTGCCTGGCCCACCCGGATCACTAATAGCCGGCAATTTCTTCGAACTCTTCGATCAGCACAAACCATGGGCCGTCGAGATTATGAAGTATACAAAGGTAAACTAGGGTGTAATTTTTAAAGGGGCGTAGAAGTGTTAAAATTGAGGTTCCTAACCTAGTTTTTGTCAATGCATAACACGCCAAATTACGAGTTTCATGGCGTTTTTGCCAATTGCACTGTTTTTGATCTCTATTTGACTTCTCAGTCCCCTTAAAATGTCGGGATCTGCAAATCCGGGTGATTTTGTATGGCTGTCGAGACCTAGTGCCCGTCAGGGGTAGGATTTGGCACTTTCCAGTGCCTTTAAAGCGCTAGCAAGGCAACGACATGAAACACAGGATCGAAATTTTTATCTTCCGGAAAATTTACGGCATTTCGATCTATTTCGGACTTCTGCGTCCCTTTAAAAACAATCATTACAGAAATACGGCAGAGTCTGGGGTTATATGGAGGGTGTGATGCCCGCATTGGTGATTGCCGACCCGAAAATCGCGCATGAAGTGTATACTACCAGATATGAGGAATTTCAATCCAGAAAGGTATGGTAAAATTAAAGAAAGCGAGAGAGAGAGAGAGAGAGAGAGAGAGGGAGAGAGGGAGAGAGATTCTTTTGTTTAGGGAAATCAACTCCTCCGAAAGACCCGAATGCAGCCGGAGATGAATTTGCTAGACGCTAGAGGAGCAAGGTGAAGCAGAATTTCATTGTTTTGAAAGTATCTGTGTTTTAGATAGTTAAATTTAGTTTTTTAAAAGGAGAATTCAGTTTCTGTTAGTTAAAAAAAAACAACTAGTTAAATTTTTATGATCATTTTTGAGGTGGAAGCGCCTTCGAACCATCGCCAATCCTCAATTCTCCTCGAATTCGTTAAAACGAGTAGGTTTAAAGGTTCAAAAATTATTATGTGAAACTTTTACAATTGTAAGAGCGATAATTACACATGAATTTGTATTTGGAATTTACAAAGGATTGGAAAAAATTTGGGGTAGAAAAATCACCAACTCTAGCTCCTCAAATCCGTCAGCTCGTGCTCCGATATCCTGGTGCAATTCTTGGAGAAAGAGGTCGACAAGCCGTCCATAAATATTCATAGGTATGATTCGTTAAGGTATCTAAAGTTATTTAAACTGTTTTTAGATTTTACCAAGAATTCTCGATGGACGTCATCAACAGAATTGCGCTGGGGGATCAGACGAGCTCGCAGTGGCAAAATGATTGGGTTGATGGGTTGAAATTGGTCAGTAAAAGCCTATAACCACTAATCACTTCTATTCTCATCTAGCCGTAAAATATTTTAGGTCTTCGAGCACGACAACCGCGAGCCGTTCATGTTCGCCGCGCTCGCTTTTCCCTCGTTGCGACCGGTGGGTCCCATCGAGAATTTTTGGCTAACTGTAGTTTAAGTTATGTCCTTGGATTTTAGATGGTCCGTGTCTTAAACTACCTGAAAATGGCGGCGACGCACAGCAAGTTGGCTCGGCTCGTCGGGAAGGTGTTCGCCTCGGTGCAGAGGAGACGAGATGCCAGGGTATCCCTTACTGCTGCCTTTAAATAGATAAATACGGATTTATAATTATTATTATTCCATATAAAATTTTTCAGGACCTCTATTCTTCTTTTCCTTTCAATTTTTTTTCAAATTATAGTCGATCAGATTCAACAACATTTAGGAAAAGCACGAGCAAACACCCGACGACTTCTTGAACATGTTTTTGGACCTGGAAGACCCGCATTTCAGCCTGGATTACGATCAGGCGCACGACAGAGCCGCTGAGAGAGATATGAAAGCACCGGTAAATTTTTCTCAATCTCTCACTCTCTCTCGCTGTCTCTCACTCTTGCTCTCTCTCTCTCGCTCTCTTTGTCTTTCTCCCTCTCTCGTTCTCTCAATCGCTCTCTCTCGCGCGCTCTATCTCTCGCTCTATCTCTCGCTCTATCTCGCTCTCTCGCTCCATCTCGCTCTCTCTTTCTTCCTCTCTTTCTTTCTCCCGCTCTCTCCCCCCTCTCTGTCCCTCACTTTCTCTCTCCCGCTCTCTCTCTCTCTGTCTTCAAAGTTTCTTTTTAGCCCCTCCAAAAAGTGATGACCGAGAAAGAAATCCTGGGCAGTGTACTCCTTTTCCTATTCGCCGGCTTCGACACCACAGCCAATAGTCTAGGCTACGTTACGCACCACCTTGCACGACATCGAGATGTTCAGCAACGGCTACGCGAGGATATACAGGACACGGTGGTTGAGGGTGAGGTAAGTATAAAATCGAACGTGCCGAGGATTAGGTCTCGACACGACACCAGATCCCAAAAGGCAACAATGACCGCAGGAATTTTATAGCATAACTCAAAATCTGAGGTTTTCACCCGTTTTTGGGGCTGTGCATAGCTGTCGATACTCGGTCGAGTCTAAGGGTCTATTTTTGCGTATCCGGAACCGGTTTAAAAGCGGAAGCCATATTTTTTACACCTTCAGGACCTCACTTTCGAACACCTGGCCGAGATGAAGTATTTGGATTGTGTCGTGAAGGAGTCGCTCCGGTTGCACCCGACGGCTACAAAGTACGTTTCAATTCGCTTAGAAAGTCACCTATGAGAAATGAACAATTTTTGATGTTCAGAGTATCGGCCCGGATCGCGGAACGTGAAACCGAATTGGCTGGGATTCATCTTCCGAAGGGGACGATGATACAGGTAAAAGGAGAGAGCGAGCGACATATGGGAGAGAGAGAGCGAGAGGGAGCGGGAGAAAGTGGAGAGAGAGAGAGCAAGAGAGAGAGAAAGTGAGAGAGAGAGAGATAGTGAGAGAGAGCGAGGAGAGAGTAGCTGAGAGAGAGAAAGAGAGAGAGAGAGAGAGAGCGAGAGAGACAGAGAGAGGGAGAGAGAGGGAGAGAGAGAGAGAGTCCCGAGAGCTCAAACCCCACTTTTCAGATCGACTGCTACTCGATGCAGCGCGATCCCAAGCTCTGGGGCGACGACGCCGAGGAGTTCAACCCGGAGCGGTGGGAAAATTCTCAATCATGACTTTTGAAAATACGGTTTAGCTGGTATTCCGTGACCCCGGAACAACAACAAGCCTACGTGCCATTTGGAGCGGGGCCCAGGATGTGTGTTGGTAAGCTCGAAAAAATTCTAACGGCAAAAAAAAAGATTGTATGAAGCTATAATAGCATTAAAATTCATATTTTGAGCAGAAATAAACTAATTACGCTATAGAAATTACACTTTCAGGACAGCGCCTCGGCTTAAATGAGGTGAAACTCGCATTGGCAAAGGTCTTATTGAATTTCGACATATTTTTGCCGGACGGTGGACCGGTAAGTGACCTTTCATCGGCGAAAAAAATCGGGAAATTTAGCAAACTTTCGACATCATCGGAGCGGTCACGGTGGCGCCCGTGTCGATTAATGTAAAAGTGAAGCGGCTGCAGGCATAATTGTGCGGGATTACATGCAATAAAGATTAAAACTTTTGCTAAAATTGTGGCAGTAAAATACACGGTTAAATATATGATTTTTCGCGTTATCGGGAGAGTCAAATTTTGAATAAACAGTAAAAATTTGCTTTTTCGAACAGAATTCTAAGGATTTGCAAGTTTTTTATAAGTTTTGCACTTTATTCAAAACAGTTTCATAATATTTGCTATTACGTCACGGCGTTAATAGTAGGAATCCTACCCCCCCGATAATGCAAACTAACCGAGAGCTTTTTAGATAAGAAACATAGAGAGAGAGAGAGAGAGAGAGAGAGAGAGAGAGAGCGAGAAAGAGAAACAGAGAGAAACAGAGACAGAGAGATAAAAAGTGTAAAAAGAGTGAGAAAGTTCCTGTTAAACTTCTAAAGTTAGCGTTTTTTTTTGTTCGTGGTTTTCTCTCCATTACGTAGGCGTGTACAAGTCCGGGCGTACCGTTTTTTCGTAAAATCTTTATCATCTCTCACTTTCTCTCTCTCTCTCTCTCTCTCTCTCTCTATCTCTCTCACTCTCTCTCTCAAATGATAATTCGCTGAATCCGCGAATGGGATTACGAGCAGATATCCGTGTGTGGGGGTGGATAGATATGAGCCGGGTGGTGCTGGATTTTTTCGGAACCCATGGATTTTTGGACTCTTATTTTAGGTTGTACTCAACTTATTAAAATTCAAAATTAACCTGATTTATACCCTGTATTTCTTATTCCTTTTCAATGCCCGTTGTCGATCTGTTATTTTATATTATCGTAATTTTAATGCCATTTTTAGGACTTTTCGAAGTGAAGAATGCGATTTCTCCTCTTGCTCATTGCTGTCGTTGCGTTCATTTGTCAATTTGGATTATTGGATGGTAAGCTTTTCGGAATGCTTTGTTTTAAATACCTTTATTATACAATGAATTTACATGAAATTTTAGCTAGAAAAGCCGCCTCCACCCTCGTAGCTACCGAAGCGCAAACGAACTGCACGGGTCCTAAAGCGAATTGCACGGGTATGATGCTTTCTGGCCGTTTTTCCCAAAGAGTCTCTGCTAGGCTGCCCTCGTCCTCAATTTCCCCAGTTGTCTTTGCTACCTTGTTCCTTTCTGATCACCCAAAAAACTGCTCCTCCGATTCCGCTAGGAAACTCGTTTTCCCAAATTATCTCTGCTGGGTTGCTTTTCCTCGACCAATTCGTCAAGCAGCTGAGTTTTGGTCTCGATTCCCCAAAAATATCCGCTAGTCTGCCCCCTCCTCGAATACTCAAGGCGCTCTTAGACCGTCAAAGAATCTCTGCTAGGAAACCTGCCCTCCTCGAAAGTCTCAAACAATATCGGCTAGCCTGCACTGCTCGAAAACCTTCCATAATCTCTGCTAGCTTGCCCCTGCTCCAAAATCTTCAAAAACCTCAGCTAGCCTGCCTTGTTCCAAACCTCAAAAAACCTCTGCCGGCCCGCCCTGCTCCAAGACCTCATAGAATCTCTGAATTCCTGCTAGTTTGCCCTACTTCGCTAACCCTAAAAGACCTCTGCCAGTTTGGCCTTACTTCGAACCCTCAAAGAATCTCTGCTGCCTGCCTCCTATTTCGCTTCAAAATCTCAAAGAATCTCTGCTAGTCCGCCCTAATCAAAGGATACCTCAATTTCAGGTGACGGCTTCATGTTCCTCTCTGATTGGGCGGCAAAGGCTGTTGGCGGGCTGTTCGCATCGCTCGGCGACTAGCAGAGGGAGTTACGGAAGGAGACGTCAATACGGACATTGAAATTTCTTGATTAAGGCGATTAAGGCACAATTAAGTCGATTTATGATAAAAAAATTTAATAACTACGTGCAGAAAACGCATTAGTACGCAGTTTAACGGTGGCGAGATGGTACCATGCAACTTTTAGCAAAAACAAAATTAGCATAGAAAATTGTCCATTTTTGAGGGAGTAAAAAATATTCTTCATTCTCACTTCACTATCCAAAAATGGTTGGGATTGTCGTGCTGCTGCTGCTTGCAGCCATCCTTCCGGGCAGCCAGGCGCAAAGTGAGATTTTTGGAAAAAATAAATTGTTGAAAAAGAATCGCCCCTTAAATCGACTATCGGTGTAGACAGCTTTAAGGCTACGGTTTACTTTACCCCCCCGCAGCCGGAAGTTTTTGGCTATAACTTTTTTATTTTACATTATTGTAGGCTAAAATTCAAACTCTTAGTATATTTTTCGACGCTCTATCGAATGGCGTTGCAAAAATCCCGACAAAATAAGCGAAAATACCGACACCTTTGAGACCCTTCGGCTGTGGGGGGGTAAAGTAAACTCTTACCCAGCTTTAAAATATGCTGAAAAACACGACATTTGGAGCATTACGTAGCTCTCGAGACCTAGGTGGCGTCGATTTTCGCACTTTTTGCTTCTCTAAGGTGGCGACCGGCATTGTAGGGTAATGAATATTTTTTAATCACGCAAACACGACCGGTTTGGCAAACTACCGGTGACGCTGCATGTCGCGGAATGGGCAAAATCCCTAGACTTGCCTTGCCCGTCCCTTTAAAACATCATAACTCCTTTCAGGCCCCTCGCCTCGCACCACCAATGACTATATGAGCATTTCGAGGGAGAAGCTGAGTAAGTAACACTCCAGAGCATGACTTAGGGTGCATTTTAGAAGAGGACACGATCTGGCTGGAGTTGGGGCAGCCGGTGATGAAAGTGCGCGTCGAGGACAATGCGGTGTGAATTTTGAGGCTTCTTGGCTAAAATTCGGATAGCCCGGCACTGGATTGTGAGCGGGGGGTTAGCTGGGGGACCAAATTTTTCACTGATTATCTACAGCCCTATAACAAAATATAACCCATTTTTATAGCATTTAACGCCAGTTTTTAGCTATAAAAAGCTCATACAAATCTATAAAAATCCTGATTTGTTGTTCAAAAGTGTATGAAAAATTGTCCAAAAAACGGAATTTCAATTTTCATAAAGGTTAAAAAAAATTTTCTGACTTTTAGCAATCAAAAACTACTAAAAACATTAGACGAGACATTTCTGGGCTTAAAAAAAATTCGGTTTTTCTGATAAACACTCCCCCCCCCGATAATAGGAAAGCACCTTTGAATCCCTATAATAAATCAAAGTTACACTACATAATACACCAATTCCAGCCGGGCTCGATGCAAGACATCCTCAACCGCTACTTTACCCATGCACCCCACGATCACGAGTCGACGGAGCGGGAGTGCAGTTGCAATGTGTACGGATTCAGGGCCAACAAAATCTCTGGTTCTGGGCTGTTAGCGGGGGGACCACTTTCAATTTTTCCACCTATATCTTTCTGTTGATAATATATAACGAATTTTATGGTGTTTTTAGTAATTTTTGATTAATAGAAAGACAAAAAACTTCGAAAATTCGTGAATTTAGCTAAATATTTATTTTTTTACTTTGTTTTCTATCTAAAAACTATGTAAAATGTTAACAAATGGTTTATATTTTCCTAGGACCGTTGAGAACCATAGGGAAAATTTGGTTCCCCCCTGCTAACAATCAAGAACCAAAAAATCCATGGGCCTGCCATGCAGTTCCCTTTAACCCGCCAATTTCCAGGGTAACCCTTCAGTCGATGGAGCTGTGGATCGGGGCGGGAGTCGCCACTTTGATCACATTGATCATCATCTGCTTGGCCATCGCCATCGCTTTCTACAGAAGATCTGAAAGGGCCAGCCGGGAGACGGATGAGCGTCGTTCGAAGGAAAATGGTACGCGAGGGCTCAAACTTTGTCCAGTTAGAAAATTGGAAAATCTCTGTGGCTCAAGTCTACATAGGAAACCCCCCCCCCAGCCGACTTTTCCACTTTTCTACCTTCCTTATTGTTATTTTTCGCTACTTTTTTCGACTGAACTGCAATGTAGTCTTACTAATTAGGGCTTAAGTGCAGTTTACCCCCCCCCCCCCAGCCCAGCTCCTCAGCCATACGTCCTATTAATGCGCCGAGTATCTCAAAATGTTCGCCGTGGTCGAAAACCCCTGGAAAACTTGTTTACTTGCGCCAAAAATTGTTAGAAAATTTTTTACAAAATTTTGAAAGTTGAAAAGATTAAGCCGCTATGCTTCGATGTACCAGAAGTCAAAAACTCAAATATTTTTATTTTCCGCTATTTTTTTCGACTTAAACGTACCGTAGGCTTATTCTCCAGAGCAAGAGCTACATTTTGGTACCATTGACAGCTTTGTACGTCAAAAGATAGCCGAGATACGAAAACTCACTTTGGAACAGCAAAAATTAACTAAAGAAAACCCAGACTTATAATTGTTATAAAAAATTTTTTAACAATTTTTGGCGCAAGTAAACAACTTTTTCTGAGGTTTTCGACCACGGCGAACATTTTGAGATACTCGGCGCATTAATAGGACGTATGGCTGAGGAGCTGGGCTGGGGGGGGGTAAACTGCACTCTTACCCTAATTAGCCTACGGCGAACATTTTCGTATACTTCAGAGCTCGCTAGCACAAAGGGAGGCCGAGATACAAAAGTTGGTGCCGGCTGGTGGGGGGGGGTTTCTAGACTCTTACCATCTCTGTATTGCCTTAGCAAACACTTTAAAGGCATTGTTTAGGTGTTTTTTTCTTGGCTTCGCCGTCATTTTAAATATTAAGCATTATTTTTCAGGCGCTCAAACCGAGGCGAAGAAATCGGGCTGAGGGCCGGCTTCACTTCAATTTTACAAGAATCCACGAATTTTAGTCATTCTCGTGCTGTGCAATATTTTATGTCCTGTCATTCGCTGTTTACTTTTATTTGTCGATGTGCGTGTTAATGTTGTGGGAACAGGAATAAAGTGGGTTTCAGAGCGAAGGTAGGCGAGAGAGAGAGACCCCAGTTGAAGATCGATAAAACCACCGCGCGAGTCGAGAAAACCACCGCGCGAGTCCTAGACTCTCCGCGCGAGTCGAGAAAACCACCGCACGAGTCGATAAAACCACCGCGCGAGTGATAGACCCTCCGCGCGAGTCGATAAAACCACCGCGCGAGTCCTAGACTCACCGCGCGAGTCGAGAAAACCACCGCGCGAGTCGAGAAAACCACCGCGCGAGTCCTAGACTCTCCCTGCGAGTCGAGAAAACCACCGCGCGAGTCCTAGACTCTCCCCGCGAGTCGAGAAAACCACCGCACGAGTCCTAGACTCTCCGCGCGAGTCGATAAAACCACCGCCCGAGTCCTAGGCTCTCCGCGCGAGTCGAGAAAACCACCGCGCGAGTGATAGACCCTCCGCGCGAGTCGAGAAAACCACCGGGCGAGTCCTAGACTCTCCCCGCGAGTCGAGAAAACCACCGCACGAGTCCTAGACTCTCCGCGCGAGTCGATAAAACCACCGCCCGAGTCCTAGGCTCTCCGCGCGAGTCGAGAAAACCACCGCGCGAGTGATAGACCCTCCGCGCGAGGCGAGAAAACCACCGCGCGAGTCCTAGACTCACCGCGCGAGTCGATAAAACCACCGCGCGAGTCGATAAAACCACCGCGCGAGTCGATAAAACCACCGCGCGAGTGATAGACCCTCCGCGCGAGGCGAGAAAACCACCGCGCGAGCTGTAGAACCGCCCCGCGAGTCGATAAAACCGCCGCGCCAGTTGAAAAAGAGATGCCCGAGCCTTAGCCCGAGATGTTATAACCTTAGCCCGAGTGGCCGAAGTGTATTCTATCCACCTTATATGCTTTTTGGCTTCAAAGAAGGATGATAGCTTTGTTTCGAAAGGCTATTCTACCCATCCAAGGTTCTGCTATGTTTTTTTAGTTTTAAGGAAGGGTTTTGGTATTATTTCAAAAGTAATAATTGCCATGCCGAGGTTCTCATAGGCTTTTTAATGTTTCGAGGAAAAGATACGTGTTTTTGGTTTCCAGGGGCTGTTCTAGCTCTGAAGTTCACACGGGCATAGGAAGCGCCGATTGCCCTGCCGGGGGGTCGAACGCAACCGCGAAGCGGCTATTTTTGCCGTTAAAACTAATTCATTGATGCTTCCCTCCCCATTTATGTCGCGATGCCGGTCATTTTTTTGATCTACATTCTGTATACATCGCCTCCTCCACACGGGTTTTGTTTGGATATTGTCACTTTTGAGATAAATAAGTGTCAGTGCATTTGGTCACATTAGAATGGCGTAATCGGTTGTTGCCCCCGGGTTGCTGGCCATCGAATCTTCAGATCGCGAGCGCCGACGTCGCGATAGCCAAGACAGTAGTGACTCTGGAAATAGGGGGTTAGCAGGAATCCTTTGAGGAAGGGAGGGGCAGGCTAGCAGGGATTCTTTGAGGAAGGGAGGGGCAGGCTAGCAGGGATTCTTTGAGGAAGGAGGGGCAGGCTAGCAGGGATGCTTTGAGGAAGGAGGGGCGGGCTAGCAGGGATTCTTTGAGGAAGGAGGGGCAGGCTAGCAGGGATTCTTTGAGGAAGGGAGGGGCAGGCTAGCAGGGATTCTTTGAGGAAGGAGGGGCAGGCTAGCAGGGATGCTTTGAGGAAGGAGGGGCGGGCTAGCAGGGATTCTTTGAGGAAGGAGGGGCAGGCTAGCAGGGATTCTTTGAGGAAGGAGGAGCAGGCTAGCAGGGATTCTTTGAGGAAGGAGGGGCAGGCTAGCAGGGATTCTTTGAGGAAGGAGGGGCAGGCTAGCAGGGATACTTTGAGCAAGGGTGGGGCAGGCTAACGGGGATTTTTAGTATTCTTACCTCGTGAACCAGCTGCTTCCTCGAGGTATAATTCTGTGCAATAATTGCGTGCATTCCAGTTGCTTGAAATGCTTGGATCAATTCATCAGCCATTGGATGTGTCAACTGGTATAATTGGGTTGTTGAGTGAAGATCCATCGTATCCATCATTTCCACCAATTTCGCCATCATCGCCTCTTGGGTGATTGCGAATTGCTTGATGGCATCCTGGAAGAAAAGAAAGTAACAAACCAAACAATTTTTTTTGAAAATTAGGCCCAAAAACGGTGGCTAAGTGGTTAGTGGTGGCGCCTTCAAATCCGACGAGCCAGGTTCGAGTCCCCGCCGCGGCAAAGTTTTTGCTTTTTCGGATGGGTACGGATCGGACGGATACCTTTGGAATTGGGGCATATCGATTCCAGCGTGGCGGCCGGATCAGCTTGACGTCAATGATGACGAGACGACGACGTTCAGGGGTTGCAGGGAGGGGCTGGAAAAGAGGAAAAGCGAGAATACCGACAATTCCAGAATATACCGACGCCATTACGTTGTGAACTTACGGATTGAAGAATATGATGGACGAGTTGTGGAATGATTGACAGGGATTCGAGACAATCTTTCGCTTCGGAATAACATTGTGTGAAACGGAGGAACGGAGTGTTGATCAGCTGGAAAGAGAGTGAGGTGAGAGTGTGAGAGACTGAGAGAGATATAGAGACCGAGAGAGAGAGAGAGAGAGAGAGAGAGAGAAAAGATAAAATTAGGGAGAAAGAGAGTGAGAGAGAAGAGAGAGATATATTGAGACCGAGAGAGAGAGAGAGAGAGAGAGAGAGAGAGAGAGAGAGAGAAAAGATAAAATGAGAGATATATAGAGACCGAGAGAGAGAGAGAGAGAGAGAGAGAGAGAGAGAGAGAAAGAGAGAAAAGAGAAAATTAGGGAGAAAGAGAGTGAGAGAGAGAGAGGAGAGAGAGAGAGAAAGAGAGAGAGAAGAGAAAGTGAGAGTGGAGAGTATGCTCACCTGATCGACTGCATCTTTAAAAGATTCCAGATAGTCATCAGGGAGTAGCCCTATGCCTCTAATTGTAGCCTGATACGGACAGGTGCCGTTCGGCACGCAACAAGCCAAATTCAACTCTCTGAAATAGCCTTTAAAGGGATCGGGAGGCCCACGTAGATCAGCTAAAAGCCGGTGACGCGGGGGAAAGGGGGGTCTCTGCGCTCTGTCCCCTGGGCGCCCTCTCTCGCCCTCTCGGACCCAGTTGGTTTGGCAGGTAGTTGGCTACCTGCCAATTAGAGATGAACCCTGATCTACGTGGGCCCTCCTTATCCCTTTAACCGAAAGAACAAAAGCCAAAAGAGCTACGCATCTCTCCCTCTCTCTCACTCTTTCTCTCACCGCGATTCCCCCCAATATTCGTGGCCGAAGTCTTCGTTGATCGTTAAGTTCCGCCGCCAGAAGATGTTCAGCTGTCCAAATCCATCTGGCAACATCTAAACGCAACAGGATAAGGTTTTGTTTACGCAGACTTAGGCTTGGCTTAGGCTTGGCTTAGGCTTGGCTTGGGCTTAGGCTTAGGATTAACGGTCAGCCCGACGGGGGGGAGAGGACTTTCTACTCTCGACTCGTAGGAAAAAGGTTGGTTCCTTTCCCCCTTCCCAGGGTAATGCGAAAGAACCTCAAAACGTCCTTGAAAATCAATATAAGACAAAACCTGTATTGGATGACACAGTGAGGGATCGATGGTGACATTCACCCGGCTCATCTTCATCCACTTCGTCATCCTGTCGACGATGCGAAAGTTTTTCGAATACGGGTAAGCCGTGACGCCCGCAGCCGTTGCCCTTGTTGGGACCAGCGTTAACGAACGACCCCTCGTGTAGTCGTCCCTGCAACGAAACGCCGACTGTTTGAGTGAGGGTCGGAGAAAGAGCTTGACAGAGAGAGAGAGAGAGAGAGAGAGAGAGAGAGAGAGAGAGTGAAACAGCGAGATAGCAAGAGAGATGGTGAGATAGGGAGAGAGAGAGAGAGAGAGAGAGAGAGAGAGAGACCTACCAATCGTAGAAAACTATGCCGGAACATAATCGGTTGGGCTCCAGGCGGATATGAAGATGAATCCTGACATTGTCCAATTCTGGGCACTCTTCCCACCATCGTGATGAATTCCTGACATTGAGACGGACATCCGACCATCGACTTCCGTCCACCTCCACTGGCTGAAGCAATTTCGACACTTTTGTAGTAATCCAAACAGCAGTAATAGTTTTCCCCCAAACAGATTGGCGTCGAAAACCATGGCCTCGTGGTCAGTGTGCGCGCGTATCAATCTGCCGATCCGGGTTCGACTCCTGGCAGCCAGTAAGCCGTTGCAGCCCTTAAATCTGATAAAAAAATCTTACCGGGACCGTCTCGCGAGCGACCTGAAGGTCGATTTTGCTGTAGTAGCCGTCGAGAAGGAATTGAGGGGCCCGGTGGGCGGCGGATGAAAAGTGCTGAAAACGACATTTTCGAAAAATCGGTTATCTGGCAGCCAAGAAATTCGAATTTCGTAATGTTATTCGGGTCTCGGGTTCAACTCCCGGCCGCGGCAAACTTTTTGCTTTTTGCGCCAAAATGTCAAAACACAGGGTGTCTCAAAAAAAATCGACCCCCCCCAAGCGGTCCGGAGAAAGGTCAGAACGGGGCGATTTTTGCACGATTCGAAAGCTCTCGGAAAGGCGAGAAAAACAAGCGCCTTACGTTTCACAATTTTTTTTAGCCTGTGCTCAATGTTCAACGATTTCTTATAGAAAAAAAACCAAAAATCAGTGACGTCCTGTTAGCTTTAAGAAACAATTAACATGCGGTTATTGCGTAAAATCTGCAGTTTTCAGGGATTTTAGTAAATTAAAATGGTTATATTAAAAAACGAAAGGTGCGTGTTTTCTCGCCTTTTCGGGAGCTTTCGATAGATACCTAAATCGTCACAGTCGAACACGACTGCGGCTCGCTGAAGGGAGGGTCGATTTTTTTGCGCGCCCATGTAGGCTAACAAAGAAAGGAAGGAGGAAAGGAACGGAAAAAAAAGAGGGACAAACCTTGGAGACGTATCGCAAAACAGATTTGAGTCCAAATGAGAGATGGCGATGTACATGGCGTTGCTGTTCCGTGCTCAATTTCAGATAGGCGAATCCACCACGTTTGACTGTCTGCATTTTAGAGTCGGCTGAAAATATTTGGGTTTAGGATCGGCGAGAGAGTGAGAGAGAGACAGAGGGAGCGAGAGAGAGTGAGAGGGTGGGAGGAGAAGTAAAAGTAAAAGTAATGAAACGAAGTGTCCATCTGCTGGATTGCCGGGTCAGGCAGATGTTCGCGCACTGATACAAACTATAAACGCACTTTTGGTCGATCACTCTCGCTCTCTCACTCACTCTCGCTCTCTCTACCTCTCGCTCACCCGCTCGCTCTATCGCACTCACTCTCTCTCTCTCTCTGTGTATCTCTCACTCTCTCTCCCTCTCTGTGCCTCTCTCACTTGTCTCTCGTTCTCTCTCTTTCTCTCTCTCTCTCTCTCTCTCTCTCTCTCTCTCTCTCTCTCTCTCTATCTCGTTGTCTCTCCCACTCTCTCTCTAGCTCTCTCTATCTCTCTATCGCTCTCTCTATCTCTCTCTCTATCGCTTTCTATCTCTATCTCTCTCTCTCTCTTATTAGCCGTCATATAGCCGATTCTTATAGCTTTTATTTCATTTCCATCGGATGTATAACAGCATTCCGGCCATTGCTTTGTCACCGTTCGGCAATTGGATTCTCGCCGTGCCTTTTCTGCCTTGTGGCATTGCTCACCTGGCCGTCATCGCATCGCCGCGCAGTAAATGCATTTTTTTAAAGTACTTAAGACTGCGCTGCGTTGCGCTACGAAACACTTGAGATGTAGTACCATATTTTCACAAAGACTGTAAAAAAAGAAAAAATTAACTGGCGTATTTTTCGAATAATTTTGTGTTTATAAAATTGTGATTATCTTTTTTTCTTTAACTTTCATAAAGTTCCTTAAAAATTTGAAACGTCAAATTCAGAAACTACACAAAATTCCGGCTACTGTACTCAAATTTGTCTTTGAACTTTTTCTGCCTAAAATCAGTCAGCATTCCCACGCCCTACAATCTGCCATAATTTCCGCGTTCCTTGATACCGTTTTTCTAGTTTTTAAACGCAGCTGAAGGCCCGGAATTCATTGAGACGCACGAGGGCGTAGTTGGGTGACAAGCATTTGGGTGTCAAGAGGAAAGAAACGGAAAGAAACGGAAGGAAAGAAGTAGAGAGAAACGGAAGAATTAGCCCAGAGGTCGAGGACGGCGCATAATTAGAATTAGGCAGAAAGTGAAGCCTCATCCAGACATTTGGCCTCATCAGACTCCAAGAGGATCTCTCGTCTAATTTGCATATCCTAGAGTTGGTTGTTCACTTGGTGGTTGGTTCAATTTGGTTCTTTTTATTGTTGAAATCTAGCTATAATATCGAATTTTTTGTATCTTTAAAGTTTTGTATTTTCGTTTATCGCTCGTTCTTAACTTCCCTTTTATATTATTGATCTAATTGTGTAAGATTAAATTAAATTAACAGAAAATACATTAATTAATGAAAATCGCAGTCACAAGATTGTCATTATTTTGGTTTAATCAGGATTTTAAATTGTTTGTTTGTATATTTCTTCGAAATTATCTTATTAAACCTGTTAGTGAGGACAGAGAGAGAGAGAGAGAGAGAGCGCGAGAGAGAGTTAGAGAGCGAACGTTAACTAGTTTTAAACCACCACAGTTTCTGATCACTCTCTCTCGCTCTCAATCTCTCTCGCTCTCTCTCCCGCTCCCTCTCTCTCGCTCTCTCTCTCATTCTCTCACTCTCTTCCTCTCTCTCCCTTTCCCTCTCTCTCCCGCCCTCACACACTCTCTCTCTCGCTCTCTCATTCTCTCACTCTCTCCCTCTCTCGCTTTCCCTCTCTCCCGCCCTCACACTCTCTATCGCTCTCTCTCGCTCTCTCTCTCTCTCTCTCTCTCTCTCTCTCTCTCTCTCTTACCAAATTGAAACTCTTCCCAAAATCCCATCACCCATAAAGCCCAAAAGATTGCGGTATTTCCGTTTCCAAAGCACACCGGGTACAATTGTACCGTATCAATGTCCCCTTGAGCACAAAATATACGGGTCAAATTTGTCATCGTAATCCCCGAAAAAACCACAGCTCATTTTCAAAATCCGCACGCGAAAAATACGCCATTTTGCGGAGAAAAGCCGGAAACGGCACGGCCCATATTTGTGAATCGAAAAACACATCACGGGGTGTGCACGGGGTTTTTCGTCAATATGAAATCAAAGGCCAGATCTTCGGACTACGGTATGAATGGTTCGTTCGCGTTATCGTGGGGGGGGGGAGGGTAATTTTTTCTTAGGAGCTATTTTTTCGAATAAAAATAACAGACGTTTTTCTAAACGGTTTTTCACAATTCCTACGCGTAAAAATGTCACAACTTTTTATTAAAAATACAAAAAAACTCGATTTTCGACACAAAAGACCCGTTTTTTTAGCAAAAATTGCGTTTTTTTTGGCAAATAGTTTTATTTTAATAACACAATTTTGTATAGGATTTCTCTTCCAATCCGAAAATTCGTAATAATCCGAAAACCCCCCGATAAACTCCCTCCCCCCCCCCCCGATAAGGCAACAGAACCGTCTGATTGAAATTACAAGCTACAAAAGCTGCACAATTTACCAAAATTCCCAAAATTCCGGATTTCCGGAATTCCCCCCTAAAAAGTGCATATTTAATTTGGGAGCGCGGGAGACGGAGGTGGAGAGGTGTACTGTGGATCCTTCGGGATCTCAGATGAGGAAATGTGGATTTAAGGGAGCTATTGCTGATGAAGAGAATTTATGCGCGTTCGTTGGAGTCGCTTTGGCCAGTGTCCTTTGGAGCCTCGCGGAATTTGCGTCATCCGCAGGACTTTGAGGGCACGTTCCGGGTATCGTCAAGTACTGGCTGGCCGCGACTGGGACTACGGTATTAAAGGCAGCTGGAAAAGCTCATCCCGCAGCTTCGTGACTCTTACTGTCATTTTTAATTTTTTCTGTGTTGGTTAAATGTTGAAAAAACTTTTGAAGTTTTAGGTTTTAATTAAGTTTAAAGGTTTGATTTTAAAGATATTTGGAGGTTAGCAAAAATGTTTTAAAACCAAGCCAAAGCCAAACCCCAAGTAAAGCAATCAATTTTTGATGATTTTGATAAATTTCTAGAAATTTTTAGTTTTCAAGTTTTCAATTTTTGTTGCCGGATGGCGAGCTTTGCTAGAGTTCCCAAATTAACTACGAGCTTGTCTGTTAGCCGTCCTGCTCCTCCCACTGTTAATCTCGTGCTCCTCCCACCGTTAGCCGTCGTGCTCCTCTCTCCAACATACTAACCTCCTCTCTACAGTACGTTTCGGTACCCGGTTTCAGTACCGTAGTGTCCTCAAATTCCTGCCAGAAACGGGCATTCCGCAAAGCTCCGAAAGACACCGGACGCATGGCTCGAAAGAACACGCATAAATTCTAGTCAAGAGCACGAGCTCCCTTAAATCCAGATTTCCTCAACCTCAACCGGCTCCCGGGTTTCCAAGTTAAATATGAATTGTTTAGCGTGATTTTTTTCGTACCAGATCGTTTTTGCTTCGCCAGGAGTATGGTTTTGGCGCGATTTAGCACATCATCTGACTGTGCTGCAATGTGCCCAAACCTCCAGCTAGGACAATGGTCTATTCTCGCGCTTCCCATTTCTCGTAAATGAGAATTTCCGGCTGATTCACCTATGAAAGTTCAGAAGCTATCCCGAGCCATTTCCTAGCTTTTACATTTCCGCGTTTGGTCATTAATTTCCGAGACGCTCCGCTATACTTCCGACAGGATCTGAGGTGACGCTCAACAACAGGAAAGTCTTTCAACGGTATAAATATGCTCCCGTATGACCAATTTTTGCAATATTTTGGGTTTTTTCGTTGTAAATTTTGCTCAGGAAAACGAGGAAAAGCCGATAATTATCTTATCTGATCGCTTTTTACAGTATTTTAAGGTTTTCCGGTGAAAATGTCACACTTCAGAAACCCGGTACGTTTAACATGTTGAAAATATCGTAACTTAATGGGTTTTTAAGATATGTTGCCATTTTTCGATCAAAATTTTAATCAGCTAAAACCAGGAAAAGCCAAAAATGTGAAAAAGCTGGCCCAGAAGCTTTTTAAAGATTTAAAAATCTTCATAAACCTTGAAAACCAGTTTCATAAAAAATATACAATTTCGAGTTTGCCAGATATATCAAATTTTTAGATTTGTTCCAATTATCTCGTTAACTTAATTTTTGTTCAATCATTTTTTAGATTTTTAAATTTGTTGAAAATTTTAAGATTGATTTTTGAATTTGTTTAAACTCGTTAACTCTTTTGCATTTAAAAATTTCTCGACTACGGTAGCGCCCCGCTGACTGGGCGGCGCTTTTTGATCCCCCGATGAAAGAACTATTTTTCCCCAAAGTCCCCACACACCGGAAATCCCATTTAGGGATTTGCGGACGACGATAAGTGCCTACGAAAAATTCTAAAAAATTATTCTCGATCACAGCCTCCAAATTCGGCACCCCACGCACACGCCTCCAGACGCATCCCCTGGACGGTCACTTACAGATAAAAATCCCTGATTTAATTTTAGCACCTGCCCCGGAATTGCATCAGCAAATCCGATTGGCGACGCCCGCAAATTCGATTAAAAGGCAGGGCAATTAATGTATGCTGAGAAATCGCATCATCAGGTTTTGCCTGTAAAATTTATACATAAAAAAATTCCAGAAGATGTTTGAGCACAATAAAACATATAAAATATTATTTTGTTCAGTTCTGTATGGTTCGACTTCGATTCTTATAACTTTACATCTTTTAATAATTTTCGTTGATGTCTTGATATAATCGAAATAAGTTTGCGCATAATTGTAAGCTTTACCTAAGCTAATCTTATCTTTATAAACTTTATTTATGCAGGTTTTTAAAAGCGCTTTCGAATATTTCCAAGCTCGTCTACAGCGAAATTCTTCATCTGGATCTTTAGGTATTTTTAACTTACATTTAGTTATTAAAGGGTTCTTTAGGATTTCCGGGGGAAGACCCAAAATGACTAAATTTTCGACTTTTTCAAAAATTTTTTTAACTTTTTTAGGAGGTTCTTCAACTTTAAATATAGTTAAAATTTACTAAAAACAATTTGAAAAAACTTTATATTTTATTACTAAATCAACCGGGAAAACCAAGAAAAAATTTGGTTTCCCCCCCGGAATCCTAAAGAACCTAATACCGATATCCGAAGCACTGTTACAATATCAAGCTGGTCAGGACCAAATTACTAATACATTCGACATGTTTTTCAACTAATAAGGTATCCTATAAAAACTTTGGAGCCACGCCCATTTCTCGGAATCTCCCAAGAATAAGCCGCTCATTTTTCGTCATTACACGAAACATTCGCAATCTTAAGCCGCCGGAACCATTCAAAAGGGCTCCAAGCTGCTTCGAAAAGCCTCAAAAAAACATTGGCTAACAAATTATCGACACCGCAGTTTGCTGTAAAATTAACGCTACGCAAGTGACAAGTTGCTAACTTAACTAAACTGTCAATTTTCAAAAATACTTTTTAAAATGGAGATGGATACCATTTTAAAACTGACAACTACCGTATCGCATTGTATATTTTTGTTGCTTTGTTTGCTCGAAGGTTATTTAATTAAAACAGGTTTTTAAAATTTTTTTTGAGCTGAATGCAAATTTCCTATGGTTCCGACCGATTTCCGTACTTTAAAGGGAGTTGATCCTGTCCACTCTAGCTTTTCCGATCTTCAAACTACACCGTATTTTCTATCCGTATTTCAAATTCCACAAATGTTTTAGCATGTTTTTCACTGCATTATTTTGGTTGTCTTCCTAACTATTTAATTCCAGCCCCTTAAACAAGCCGTCCTCAGCGTTCAGAGGCGCTTCTCGTAGCCCGCGAACACGTCATTAAATTAGCAATTTAAATTCGGTCTTTTTCTCGCTGGTTTAGAGGCGTAATTTGGCAATTTTTGGAATTTTTAGGTCCATTTTAACCCTTTTGGCTAGGTTTTTGAACTTTCCAAGATGAATAGCTGGGGTGAGGGTAAGGGGTTGGTTTCTAATTTTCTTGGACCCACTCCCAGGCGCAAGATTGGACGGGCTGATAGTCGGGGCTCCCCGCTCCTTTTCTCGTGCTCCATTCATTTCCTTTCTGCACCTCCTGCTCCCCATTCTGAATCGCGTGACGTTGCACCGTCACTGCGTATTCTAGCGGATTCTGTGCGTTCCATTGGTGGGGTTCCGGAATTTCGGGGGTATTTAAGGGCAAGTGAGCTCCAGAGCATGAGGTTTTTTCAGAATACCTCGACTCGGGCCCACCGGATTCTAAGGATGAATCAGCTGCAGTCATTAGTGTGTGTCATCTGCGTACTGTTGATCCTTCCGGCTGCTACTGACGCGCTGATAGACTGGAATGGGCAGCTGGCGTCGTTGCAAAGGTACGACCATCTTGAAAATTCACGGGAGATCTACCTAAGATTTTCATAGCGTGTCTGATTCAAACTAATTTTGATTTTAAAAGCTCCGTACAATTTTTAATTCAAGGGTTCGATCCCGATGAGCAAAACGCGTTTCCTATTTTTGCCAAAAACCTAGACTGTGACGTTCCTCCCAGAACGTACGTTGAGCACGGACTACGTAGACGCCTGTTTACAGCCGCGTCTTTTTGCCGTCTTTTCTGTCTTTCCTTACATTTCTTTGCAAATAGGCGCCCACCTAGTGCCTTGGCGCGCCCTAAAGTACGGGAAATTAGCGCGGATTTTTTGCGCCGCCTGAACAGCCTAAAAACGTCGTAATCAATTACGCAAATCGAAATGGCGCGTCGCGTGCCGTGGCGACGCAAAAATGCCAAACTAGGAGGCGGGAGATTGACCCCTTATCATCGATCAGGTACTGACAGCTACGTGAGACTCCAAATGACATGCGTTTTGGCTGCGTCCAGAAATGACAGCTATGCACGCAAATCACGAAAAGCTATTAAAATTGGCTTTTGGGGTGTCTTAAACTGTAAATCTTCAGTCAATGAAATGGGTCATTTCCCGCACTCTCTAGTTCCGTTGAAGGCAGCAGGAAGCTCCAATCGGAGACACTTCAGAAACACGAATGTAAAAGTCAAGCCAAGCTTTTTCCGGAACTAAAAAACGCGCTCAATTTCTGGCGCAATGCCTCCCTCTTTTAAAACAGGGACAAAGTGAACGAAAGGGTAGTCTGCTAATTTTTACACACACCGGGAAGTGAATAATTAGTTTCCGCTTCTTAAGACCAGCCGCCCACCCAGACTCCTATTAGCCTTTTAAGACCAACGAAAAGGGACAAACAAATTTTCGAGCGACTCTTTGGCCTAGAAAAACTTCCGAAATCGCTTAAACGTAGGAGTTAAAAATACATTAAATAGTAATAAAAATACATTTATGAACTATATTTTCAGATATCGTGCCCTGCAGCAACGCCAAGCACTCCAGAATCGCCCTTCAGCTCTGACCCGCTCTAGACGAGCCGAATACAACCGCAATTGCTTCTTCTCGCCGGTCCAGTGCATGCTGTAGGTTTTTTTTAGATTATACTAGCTTTATTAAGCTAATTAAACTCAATTAAAAATTCATTTTTTTTGGAATTTTGGGGTTAATACGGCCGATTTTAATGGTTTAGAAGCCCTAAGTGAAGCCCAACGCACTTTACTGCATATTTGGAGCTATGCAAGCGTGGTATAATTGCTACATTATTTTGCATCAATTAAAAATTAAACACACTGATTATCAAACGACCTTTTTAAAACATTGTAAGACATTTTTCAGCCAATACAACGGCCACGTGCGTCACGCTCGACTGTCGAGTTGACCGGCTGCGGAGGCGAAGAGAGATCTGGGCAGGGGCATACGGTTGGGCAGAGGTGTTCTATGAATAAATTGTGATCCAGTTGGCGAATACTAAAAAGATACTGCAAACTAAATACCAGATATAATGCAAAAAAGCAATAAGAAACCAAGTAAAAGGCTAATCATAAATTTCAAGCTCCGTTTTTCTCTCCACACCAGCAAATTTCGGGTATTACATGGACCCATTTATTCGCAATTTTTCGTTTTGAGCTCCAGTTCTGGTTTTTCATCCATGTCATGTTTATCAATTTACAGACAGAATGATAGGTTCCTTCTCTCAGGCAAAATTCAGAAAATTCATAAAACGTGGGAATTCCCGGAAATTTTATTTCCTAGGGGATGTCGAAGCCGAAAATAACCAATTTCTCGGTAAACAAGCCTAAGCCAAGCCAAAGCCATGCCAAAGCCAAGTCAAATCCAAGCTAAAGCCAAGCCTAAGCCACAGTCACGATTCTCGCCATCGCAAAAAATCACCCCCCATATATTGCAAAAGCTCCAAACAAAGGTCGATGCACCCAATTTGCCGATATGCTATTGTTTATCTCCCGCATTAACCGCCTGCAATCTGCCCATGGAAAACATTTGTGAAAGGGAAAAGCCTCTAGCCAAGAGCCAGCCATGCCCCTTCAGCCCGTACGTCCTCACCGCCCGCACCCAATTTTTGATTGACAAATGTGCGATCGGGCGGGCAAGATGCAAATTGCCGTAGGTGGAAGGGGAAGGAGGAGCACGTCTCAAAAAACCGGGCGATCGACGCGAGGAAGGGACCGGGAAATCGGTACATTTCCTTGGAGCCGCACCTGGAAGAACTTATATTATTTGGTCGAACTTGGGCAAATAATGTGGCGGCCTGGCTTGTGGTTATATTTATTGCTGTCTACCGTAACCGCCTCGTGGAAGGCCCCGAAAATTTCCCCGCACCGCTTCCCATTGGTGTCAAGTCGGAATCCGGAGGTGGGTGGGGTTTTTGGGTCGTAGAAGCTAGGTTTTAGCTTAAGTTTTTAGCTCGAGTTAACTGACGCCCAAATTTTCGATCTAGCCACCGCTAAATTACCATTTTTGAGCTCGTGTTCAATGAGTTCAGACTCAACTTGACGCTTAGGATACCGCCACTACAATAATCTCAAGCGCTCAATCTCAAGCTTTTGGGCCTTTTCTGTTTCTGTTTCTGAGTTGATTCGGTTTCTGAGCATGCTTGCTGCTGCTTCGTCTCGATTTCGTGCTTACAATTGATAGAATACTGTTTTTGATGAAACTAGCCAAAGCAAACACATCTCAAGCTGGAGCTAAAACCAGGGCTTCTTGAGCTCGAACTATCTTTGATGTCACTAGCCAAAAGTAAACGTTGCTGAAGCCGAGGTTCAGTCTCTGACAATTCCAAAACGGAAGCACAAATTCAAGCAGTTCAGGCTCAAATTTCTGGTGTGCTGTTACAAGCATCGCAAACTGGGAACTCAACCTAGCGTCGCAAGCCAGCGGCTAGCGCTGCACGTGAAGCGCAAGGTTAAACGGTTTAAGGGTTAAGTCAAGCTCAAGGTTTTGCAAGTTGAAACCGTTCAAGCTCCAAGCCGTTAGCGGAAGCAAATCCCAAAAATCGCGACTCATTCGCTAAACCCACGCCTATATTCTTAGCGCTCGAGTTCAAGCAGTTCAGGCCCAAGTTTATCTACAAGTCGAGCTAAAATCGTGTGTGAAACCCATAAAAAAATCCTTTTCAGCATATCACGTTTGAGGTGGAGACAGAAGATGGCGTCAAACTCATCCCACCATTACCCATCAGAAAGGAGCTCAGCTGTTATCGGGTGGTAAGAAGTTAGATTTTAATTTTATGCAAAATTGGACCGCACGATTTCCAGGATTACTACGCGAAAAAAATTCCAGAAACTCGGCCACCTCGTCTACATGTCAACGCCAAAATGCGGGTCAACACAAATGAGGAGGGTGAGTGGAGCGTCGCGTAGTTTTTTGGAGCTCGCTAACTAAAATATAAACTGAATTAAGCTGTTATAAAAATTACAAAAATAGGAAAAGTGCGCTTCAGATAATGTGCGAGCTGATTTTGCGCGACGAGGGTGTCGAAATTACCCCAGAGGTCAACGACGATGTGGAGAATAGCCGGTAAGATATATTTTTATCATATTTAAGCAATAGTTTCAAATATAAAAAAATATATAATCGTTTGTCATTTATGATACACGTAGAAAATTTTTACTAAAACTGCTTTTGCTTAAGTTTTCACACCCATTTTATGCCTGATTTAATCAAAAAAAAAAACTGGATTACGCTCTTAAACTCGCTCTTAAACTCGAAAACGCTATAAAATCAGACAAACACTTTAATAAGGTTATTTTCTACCGTATATTTCGACTTTTTAGTCCATTCTGCATGCGCAGCCAGGGACTCGTTCAGGCCGGCCAACTCCTAGGATGGAATTCCCCGAAAAACAAGCTGTTCTTCATCTGGCGAGACCCGGTCGACAGGTTCATCTCGCAATATGGATATATTTGCAAGTATGCTGTTTTGAAATACCTTAAAATAACTTAAAAAACCGCTAACGATTTATAAAAGTGCAAGCATGTTCTAGAAAACACGGCGAATGCGGCGAAGCGGGTGAATCTTTGCACACGGCGGCGAAGGGATTCTATAATTACCTCCAATATGGCCAACTGCCGAAGGGCGCATCAAACGTTTCGAATTTTCGGCATCACATTACGCCGCAGTCTTGGTAAGACCCGAATTCATACATTATGCTATGAAAATACCTGTAAAAGTATTGATAAAAATGCTAAAACTAGGGCAACTTTTAATTAGGAGCATCGGAGCAGCTGTAAAAAGGCCAGTAAAAACTGGCGCAGCTAAAAACCTGCTGTTATTTCTCGCCCCGTGTAAAAAACGCCTCGCGTAAAAAAAAACGTAAAAACGCAACGCGCCGTACACGCGGACCGAGCCCATGGGTGGTTGCGGTAACCTTTCGGCAATAGATTACGCTTTGAAAATGGCTTCAAAAAGCGCAAAAAAAGTGTAACTCTACTTTTATTCAGGCACTGCGATATCGGGGAGCAGCCGGGACGCTTCCAACGCGTCGAATACACCCAGAATTCTGCTGAGCTGGTGGAAAGGTTGAGGCCGGTGCTCGATTGGACCGGAATGCCGCCGGAGGACATCGATGCGGTAGGTTGCCGCAAGCCGCAAGGAGACTTTTCTATTTGTATCGACGAACTTTCAACACAGCGGGCCAAAAATCCGTATTAATTCCATTTTCCAGGCGCTGAACCGGCTGCTGACGTCGAACACCAACGAGGAGCGGGCGGCCGACAAGAAGGTGCACAAATACGACATGTGGCGGGAGGAAGTGTTGAAGAATCGGACGACGCTTGGCTACGTGTTGGCCATAAACTACCATGACTATCGGCTATTCCAGAAGGAGTTGCCGGAAATACCACCGAAATGAAGCTTTTCGCTTCAAAAAGGTCTACAATAAATATTTAACGCTTTAAAATTGGCGCGTATCTTGAAAACAGCAAAATCAAGGCGACCTATCGCCTCGAAACGCCCAAATAAAAAGAAATAATCCACACAAGCAATCGATCCACCACAAACGCGTTTTTATTCCCACAAAAAACAGGCAGTTCAAGGACGTTTCAATATTTGGAATACACTTGACGTATTCAGAGGGTTAATGTGAATGCAGAAAAGAAGGGAAGAGGGCAAAAGGTGGTGGCTGAAGATCGCGTGGCCGGAGAGACGATGGCGGTAGCGGAAGTGGGGCGCGTTGATCGTTCATGGGGCCTCGGCGCTCACAGACTGGAACGAGAAAATTGTATGGGTCTTTAAAGCCATAAAATAAATAACCTCAATATAAAAACTTTTTAAAAGTTATCGAAAATACAAAAAATATATTTTTTTCGAGTAAAAATATAACAAAATATTTTAAATATAGCTAAATTTCTTTCTGAATTTCTGAACTTGTACAAAAAAGTACCTAATTTTCAAGTTAACGTCATGAATTAGCTATCGTAACCGTATAAACCTCCGCAAAATTTCTCACGAAATGCATGGGATTCAGAAAAATGCAAAATTTGCTAATTGTGTTTTATTTTGCTGATTGTATTTTGTATTTTGCCTAGTTCAGGCGCCGGAAGTGGCGCCCAAAACAAACCTATGCCACATTGACATCTGAGCCAAAACAACTGACGGTGGCGCTGGGGACCTGGTGCGGGGAGCGCGACCGCTGCTCGCGCTCAATCACCGAGTTCTTCGGGTTGCCGACCGAGGCGCGTGTCTCGTCGAGGTTCTTCCACACGCCCTCCATGTCGGTGCGCGTGTCCAGGTTGACCGACCTGAAAGTCCGGGCTTTGTTTTAGTTTGTTGTTAGATTTTTACCGTCTCAAATAGTTAAAATATGTTAAAATAATAAAATCTGGTCGAAAACCTGTTTGGGTTATACACGCTCGCACCCCTTTCCACCGCCACCCCCCCATAACGCACAAGTACGCGAGAAAATCGAACCAGACGTGCTTCTCGACGTAGTCCTTGAGATGGGCCGGGGTGCCGGAGGGGAACTCGGGCATTTTCCCCTTCCGGATGTAGGTGGCAATCTTTTTAGCCTCCCAGTCGGGCCACGGCTTTGCGCCCTCGTTGAACGTCTCCCAAATCATCTACAAAACACTGTAGATCAGGAAACGATCTAGAAACTCACGACGCCCATGCTCCACACGTCCGACTTCTTGGAGAACTCGCGCTTCTTCTGCAGGCATTCCGGGGCCATCCAGCTAAAAAGACAAGTGTTCTAGTCATTTAACGGGAGGGGGGGGGGTTCCGGGCGGGAAACCAAATCTTTCGTCTCTTTCCCCAAAAAAAGACAATAAAAATCGTGAAAAATTGAATTTTCTCCATAATAGAGTTTTTTGTACTTTTTCGGGTACTGGGCTGTTAGCGGGGGGAGAAGACACCCAGCCCAACCTAATTCGGAATTTTTTTATCCGCTTTTGGTTTATTTCCATGGCATTTTATCACATTTTTCTCAAATATCCCTCAAAAATCCAATTTTTAAAGATTTTAGGAATTTTTATTTACTTTCCATCTTTAAAAAACGTATAAAACCGATATAAATGGTACCCGTTACAACGATTTCGTGTAAGGTTATTTTTTATAAAAAAAAACTGACCGGAGGGGCAACCCGAGTTGAGCCTCAGTCTCCTCTTCCTCCTTGTCCAGCTTGCGGCCGATCATCTTCGACAGGCCAAAGTCGGCAATCTTGATCCATCCGGTCAGTCCGATCAGACAGTTACGCGAGGCAATGTCACGATGAATGCAGCCCTGTTTATGGAGGTAGCGCATCCCGTCGGCCGCCTATAATTTGGAGTTTTTTTACAGCGTTTTACACATAATAAAATTTATATAACCTCTAAACTAAACTAGCGTTTCAAATGCTTCCCGGATTGTGCTTATTTTTGCCATATTATGCTTTAGATTGTTTTCGGCTGAAATTACGACCCTTATTACTTTTTTACGCCCTCAAATCACGTTAAAAAATTTTAAAAATACCAGTGTCGCAAATGTGTAAATTGTAAAGCAATAATTTCTAGGTGTAAAGTGTTTTGCAGCGTCAGGCGCTTGTCGTTTGGCGGGGGGGAGGGGAAACGCCAATTGTTATTTAATAAAATTTTTATTCAGTTTTTAGTAGTTTTTATTTGCAAGAAAGTGTCACAAAAGGGCTTTTAAAAAATGTGAAAATGAATTTCTGGTAATTTTCATTTTTTTTATTGAAAGGTGAAACTTGGAATTTTTATTGGAATTTGATATTTGGAGATTTTTATGTGCCTTTCTGATCCAAAAACAGCCTAAATCTCTGGGGAAAATATTTCGTACGTAGGAATAGATCGTACGAGATTACGAGGGTAAATTGCCACCCCCGCGAACAGCCCAGCACTGTCCACAACCGCCCATGGGTTCGGTCCAGATGGTTCAAGGGAAAGAGCGTACTGTACGTGTTTTTTCGCGCGATGCGTGCGGGTGCGCGGAATAGCAACCGGTTTTTAGCTGCGCAGGCCTGCTTTCGCAATTGCGCGACGCGTCTATCGCACGCGTTGCGGTCTTCCCTCCTTTCCAAAGCTACCGGACGTTTCATTAGGACCCGGGCCGCTGTGTGTCGTTCTTTTTCGAAAAATGAGAGCCAGTGTCCCACATCAAGCATGTAGAGGACGCGCTCGGCCGGCTCGATACGGCTCTTGTGCTCCTGGAGATGTCGGTCGAGGCTGCCGGCCGGGCAGTACTCCAGCACAATCTTCACCGGCGGCGAGTCGGCCGCCACGCCGTACAGCTGAAAAAAAGTCGTTTTTTTAGTTTTTAATCAAAAATTATGAAAAAAGGTCGAAAATGAGTATTTATAAAATTCTAGATATGTTTTTGTCAATTTAGGTATCGGAAACTACCTAAAGTAGTGGCAAAAAACGTACACGGATGACGTTGAGATGCGAGTAGGAGGAGAGGAGCTCGGCCTCGCGCAGCATGCTCAAGCGCTCGTTGGTGATCTGCTCGGGGGTGCGCTGCTCGGCCAGCGGCAGGCACACCTCAAAAAAAAATTTTTAAAAATCGAAAAATCTCCTGACCTTGACGGCAACGGGCACCGTACGCCCGTCCACTTTGTAGGTGCCCTTGTAGACGACGCAGTAGTTCCCGGCGCCGAGTCGATCCTAAGAGAAACAATCTTTTTATCATACGTATTATTTTTCTAAAATCGGCCGTTTTTTGATGATTTATGATTTTTCATGGAGTATTCATAGCTTTGAAGATGTCGCTATTTTGTAAATACAAAAACTGTCTAGAAAACAAAGTAAAACGTTAGAAAATACAAAATTCTAGCCCAAAACGGCGTCCCCTCTCCAAAAACCGTAATTTTCTATATTTTCAATTAAAAAGCCTGGTTTTGCAGTCTGTTAAAGGATTTTAGGAGTTTTAGGAATTGTGAAAGTTATGTAACAAATTTGTCCCAGTTTACATTCCACGATACCAAAACGCTACCTTGTTCTCATCAAAGTTGACTTGCTCGTGCTTGATCAGCCAGTTCGGTCGATTCTTCGCGTGGCCCATTTTGATGCCGCCGATGCCACCCTTTTTCTAAAAAAATGGAGGTTTCGGGGTGACAAGCACAAATTCACAAACATGATAGTGCTCAATCAATCCGGCGACGGTGGCGAATGAAGGGGCAGTCTTTTTGCTGATGAGCTGCAGCGTGAAGCGGCCATTCGCGTCTTTCCTAGAGAAAGCATTAACCAAAAAAGAGCCTTAAAATCCTACGAAAGTGTGAGGTGGCGATGGCCCTTCTCGGTGTGCACAGACAGCACGACGGAGAGGTGCCCTTCCTTGTCGTTGTCGGTGGCGCGAACCAGCCAGTCGCCCAACTCGGTCAGCAGCGCCCTGCAAAAGATAATGGTAAGTCTTTATTCTATTTTGATAGTTTTTTTATAGTTTTAGTTCAATTGTAAGAGTTTTACTATATAAAAAAACGTCGTGAAATTTCATTCTAAGACCTAACATGAAACTTTTCAAATTAAAAATCCAGATAATGGACCAATTTGAGATTTTCAAATTTGTCTGAAAGTTCTGCGCGTTTATAATCATATTTACAACCATAAGAAAGCCATAAGAAATCGCCAAAAACGCACTCGCACTCCTTGCGCGGCCGCATCCCGTGGTACCAGCTCTTCTCCTCCAGACTGACTTCCTCGTCCCGTGGCGTCGACGGCGACTTCGACTTGCCGGTCCTCTTGCCGCTCATGTTGGGCCTGACAAAAACGAGAATTGAATGTTGAAATTAGAATGCGAACGCCAGAACCGGGACTTCCAATGGCGCGCCAAAAAAACCAACCGAGCTGGAAGGAGAAGCTGGAGAAGTGGCTTTCATTCCAAGGCGCGCGCCGTGCGGACGGGAGCTTCCGGAAGTTGAGCCAATTCTGGATTCAAATCCAACTTAGCTAGATCTTAACTCGAAAAAGCTTTTTACTCTGCCTAACCATAGAAACTTTACAAACTTGATTAAACTACAAAAAAAATCGCTTTTTTGAGCAAAAATTGCAATTTTCTCAGTTTTTCAGATCGTTTCCACATCAAAGCTAGTTCAACTGTACTGAAAAGGCGATTACAATACTTCTTTTTGATTCACTAGACTTTTCTGAACTGCTGGCAAAATAGCGCGAAAGCCATTGACCCCAATATTTAGACTTCCGGTTACTCTCATGGTTATTTTTATTCATTTTATTTCTCCAAACAACAAACCGGTTATACATCAACGAAGCAATATGGAAGAACAATAGGCGCTATACATCAAAACAAAAAAACTGCCATAGTAAACAAATAGGCAGAAAAAAAAACAAATTAAACGATGGGGACGTAGCCCGGCTGGAAGGGGCACGAGATCAGCGGGTTGCCCTCGGCGTCGGTGAGCATGTGCTGTTCGAAGACGGGCGACGGCGGTGGCTGCGTGTTCTCTTTGTCAGTGGTGGCCGGCGGAAGCTCGATGTTCGCACCGAAGCCGTCGTCCTCGCTGGATGTCGGGATCGCATTCCAGGCTGAAATTAGAGTTCCTGGAACAAAAAAAATAGCTAATTTTGCCCTTTTAGTCATTTTTCATTCATTTTTTACTAAAAAGTCGAAAAATTTCGACATTTTTAGCCGATTTTTCCTTCCTTAAAGTCCAGAAATATATAGTAACGTCATCTATACGTATTTTTAGTAAAATTTAACTATATTTAAAGTGAAAAATTCCTACAAAATTAGCGAATTTCATTTGGAATTACTTTTTGGTCGAAAAACCTAGATTCTCATTTTTTCGCAAAATTTATAACATAACCACGTTTACAAAAAGTAAAAACAATTGCAACCCGCAAAAAACTAGGTCCCCCCGATACTACGAAAGCTCCAAGTTTTCCAAATTCAACTCACCTAGAGCATCGTCGACAGTGGCAGCGGGCAGCTCGGCATCCGGGCCCTCGGAGACTTCATTGGATGGGGCGGGCAGATCCGCGGTCACGACGTTCTCGAGAACGTTCTCCGAGCCTTGAACATCTTCAACTGTGGCAAGGGGCAGCTGGACATTTGGGTCCTCAGGGGCTTCATCAGAGGGGGCGGGCGCTTCCGGGGCCACAACGTTCTCGAGAGCGTCCTCCGAGCCTTGAACATCTTCAATTGTGGCGGACGGCAGCTCCACGTTTTCGGCCTCCGGCTCTCCGTTGGACGGTATCGGCACATCCGAGCCTTGAACATCGTCGAGAGCAGCCGACGGCGCAACATCTCCGACGTGCACGCCGTCATTGGTGTCCGGAGCGTCCGGCTGAAAAAATATCATAAAAATCATTTGAGTTCTTTGGCATTTCCAGGGGGACAGCGCCGGGAAAACCGATTTTTTTTTTCCTGCACGTCGAGTTATACACACTAAATCCATAACAAGTCTTTTAAAAGTCATTCTAGTAAAATTTAGCCAAAATTCAAGCCGAAAAAAAGTATTTATAAAACTTTCAAAAATGTTTTAAAATCTTAAAACAGTCGAAAACGCTGATATTTTATAATTTATGATGAAAATTGGTCGGTTTACTGTTTTTAGGAATAACTAACAAAAAATGCAAAAAAAAATCTTTTAGACTTCGGCACTTGTAAAACATACCTGCGAGTTGTTGTTGCCGAGATTGTTGTCGTGCTCCGGGATGACGGTGGTGTTCGGGCCGATCTCTTGGTCGTCGACAGCCATGGCTTCATTGTTGTTGTTATTGCACGGCTCGACGACGACGTCGAGGGCATCTCCGGCGCCACGCTCGACGCTCTTCTTGGCACGCTTCTGTCGAGGCGGAGTGGGCTTGTCGAGCGACTGAAATAAGGAATTTCCAGCCGTCAAATTGTAGTTTACCACGTCCGGGAGGCGCTTCGAGGGGCGGCCGCGGACGCAGCCCTTCGGCTTCTCGCCTGCCGAAAGTGCTGAAAAAATGATTATTGGGGAACAAAAAAAAAATCAATTTTTTTTAATATCCAAGCTTAAAAGTGTAAAAAGAAAAGTGTTTTCAGGCTATTTTATGTCTAACCTTAAACCGAAACCAACAATAAAAAATTTCGATTTTTCGTCAAAAATAGTTTTTATCATATTTCGCATCCTTAAACGTTTTTCCACGCCTTCCAAATAGAATTTCCTTATCAAATTAGTTAGATTTTGCTAAAACACTACTAAATGTCCAGTATTAAGTGACAAGGAAGATCTGGATTTATAAGGGAAAGGAAAATAGAAAATGCTGTGAACATTTTTTCCTCGTTCGAACAGTTTTCCCATGCCATTCACCTACTTTTTTGTTCTATTAGAAACACTAGACCACGACCGCACTTCCGGAAATGCCCAGAAGCCAAAAACCCCTTTCCAACCTCGGGTGGCGGTGTTGAAGATGGTGTGCAGCTGGGCGGGGCCAAAACGGCGAGCGCCGGCACGCTTCTGGCCGAGCTCTTTCCACACCTAAATGCAGATCTTCAAAATAGAGCTCTGTCAAACCGCGAGAGTGACCGGGATGCACTGGACGGAGGTGGCGATGGTGTCCATGTCGATCGGCTCGAAGAAGTCGTTCGGGTCTGAAACAAAAAAAAATGGAAAGCATTTCTTCGCAATAATTACCGGTGGAGGCAGTTTGCGATGAGGACATCTTCACTTGAATCCGTAGCAGGTGAATGTCTAAAAAGATTGATAATTTTGCTTAGAACATAAAACTGGAAAAGCGGAAAAGGAGAATTCTTGCGGAAGAAGCCTTATTCGCGTTTAGCGAAAAGATTCGAAACCGCACGCAAGGCTTCGGAAACCCCATGCCGCACGATTTCGGAAATTTGGGGCGAACGTGTCCGTAAATACGGTATCATTTTCAAGACATTTTTAGATCCTAAAAATAGTACATTTAGACGGCTAACTAAGGCGGCACGTGTCGAAGTGATTAGGGCCAGGACTGGACCACAGATCTGCTTGGTGTTCCTCTTTTTTTGATGCCTCGGGACATAATCGACCCAGATGTGGTGTTTGAAGCGCTGCAGTCCATGCACCAACGGCCATCTTCGACTGACTAAAACTCCACAGGTTGCCCGATTGCGCCCTGCGGCGTCAAAATCGTGCAAAAGGCTACGAATCTGTCTCCCCGAGTTCGTCGTGACGGGTCCCTTGGTCCTCTTTTTGATAACATGAAAGCTTGATATCTTTTCTTTTGAGTGAAAATCCGTGAAAAGGAGAATTCGGTACTAGTATACTTTGGGGGGGCCAAAAAAATTTTTCGACCAAAATTTCTCATTTTCGATTATTTTGTTCAGTTTTTCATGCTGAATCCAATGAAAGTGTTCCCAGATTTTTTTATATCATGTTTTCTAGTAATAACTAACTATTTATATTACAAGTAATTTCAATAGTTTTTCAGTAGTATACCGTAGCACAAGCCGCAGATAAGCCTAAGCCTAACCTGAGCCTAAGCCAAAGCCTGAGCCTAAGCCTGGGCCTGAGCCTAGGCCAAAGCTTAAGCCTAAGCCGCAGCCTAAGCATGCGATCCATTCGCAACTTTTGGTCGCATGTAAAGGAGATCCACCCCTGCTAGTAATTTTTATTGTTGCCTAATTGTTATGTTCTAGCAAAAATAAAAAATCTGGAAACACTTGCATTCGATTCAGCATGAAAAACTGAACAAAATAGTGCAAAATGCGAAATTTTGGCCGAAAAAATTTTTTGGCCCCCCCAAAGTATACTAGTACCGAGAATTCTTGTGCAAAAAAAAGCGAATATTTGCGTTTTGCGAAAAAATTCGAAACCTAGCATCAGGTTTCCGAAACGCCACGATCTACAATTTCCGGAATATGGTGTAATTCGTAGCGACTCAAAAAATCTTTTTCTCGTAGACGAGTGTATTCTGAGTGTTTTCTAAAAAAACCAGCCGATTACAGCCGCTTCGCGACTGCAATCGGCTGGACTTCGGGCCACCCTCCATATTCTACACCACCACATTTAATCCCTACCTTACGCTGATGCCTTCATGGCAATAACTACACTGATGGCTTCAGATACCTCCTCTAGCCAACCCCCCACAAAAACATAGCTACCTTCCCGATGGCTTCAGATACCCCTCCGGGCATTCTAGGTTCCTTCCCGATACCTCCTCTAGATATCTAAATACTCCACCACATCCTTTCCCACCTCCCTCAATACCCCCCATGGCTGAAATCCCCATCAAAAACTACCTAAATACCTTCCTGATGGCTTCAGATACCCCCCATGGCTGAAATCCCCTTCAAAAACTACCTAAATACCTCCCTGATGGCTTCAGATACCCCCCATGGCTGAAATCCCCTTCAAAAACTACTTAGATACCTCCCTGATGGCTTCAGATACCCCCCATGGCTGAAATCCCCTTCAAAAACTACCTAAATCCCTTCCCGATGGCTTCAGATACCCCCCATGGCTGAAATCCCCTTCAAAAACTACCTAAATACCTTCCTGATGGCTTCAGATACCCCCCATGGCTGAAATCCCCTTCAAAAACTACCTAAATCCCTTCCCGATGGCTTCAGATACCCCCCATGGCTGAAATCCCCTTCAAAAACTACCTCAATACCTTCCTGATGGCTTTAGATACTTTAAATAATTAATTAACATAATTAAAAAGTATTAAAAGTATTAAAGTAACTCAAGAAAGCCCCTGGGCGCGCGAAGGGGCCTGGGGAAGAGGGGCGAAGAGAAAGGGGGCGTGGCCTCCCGGGGAGAGGGGCCCCCACTCGTTTTATTAAGGCGCCACTTTCAAAGTTAATTTTAATAATTTAAACAAAAACTTTTTCGTAATTTTTTTATCAGTTTGGGGGTTTCTGACCACGCTCTATCCGAATCCGAAGAGAGCTAAGCTCTAGCTCCTTTCCCCTTCGAGTTGAATCCGGGACACGACGGACAGACAGACACCACTACTTTTTTATTATAGTTGATATTCGTTTTGCTTTAATAAATTATCGTTTGCAATACAATTGATATAGCAATTTAATGACTCAATAATGTTAGAATTTATCCTCCACGGCCGTTCAAGCTTTTGTTGTATTCCTACGGTTTTTTATCCCTTTGTTGCTCGTATATAATTTGTCCTGAAATACTCTAAAGTGCTTCCCGCTCTCTTCCTCTCTTCCGCTTTGGGCTCTTTCTCCCCTCTTTGGCCTCGGCTGGCGCCTTGCGTCTCTCTGCGTCCTCCTTCCACTCTAACTATCTCGGCGCTGTTAGTAGCCTTCGTAGCGCCCTCAATGTGTTTCCAGGAATAGCTTGGCTCATCGGTTGTCTTTACATCCTTTTCTTGTTCTCTAATTCATTATAAGCTTTATAATACCCCAATTTAGCAATGGCCGCCCAGGCCGCCGCGCCGATTGTACGCCGAAACGACCCGGGGACCACTAGAGCGGTAAATTTCGCCGTTCTTCTAATATTTTATTCTTTCTAGCAATGGTCCGCGTGGCCGCCGTTGGCCTACGAGGATATGGACAGCACGCTGAACGTGCAGCAGTACATCCAGCAGCTCATCAAAATTAACCCGTTGGACGTGGACGCGATTTTGACGCCGCTTCCTGGTTGGTTTTTTATGAAGCTTTTCTGGAGGCTTCTGTATAAAAAATTAAGCAGAATTTGAGGCATTTGATCCCGTAAAGCTTCTGCGTGTTTATCTTACTAGTTTTTCGTTTTTCCAAACGTTTATTTGAAGGTAATTTGGTTTCGCAAAAGGCTAATTGGGAGAGGATCCTTTTAGATTGTTAAAAATCGAATTTTTTAGCCGAATACAAGGTTTTTAGATAGCAATAATCAAATTTCGATCAATCCTGGCTATCTACTGTTTGAAAAATCCGTTTTAGACGCTCTAGGTGGAAAATTGGTTGAAAATTCGCAAGGAGCAAGAAGTTGGCACTTCAAGCCATGATTTCGTTAAATAAACTTTTGGCGCATCGAAATAAAAAGAAATGGACTTGGCCAAGCGTCTGAATTCTTTTTTTTTTCAGAAATGGACGAGGGTGTCTGGAAATACGAGCATCTGCGACAATTTATCCTTCAGCTCAACTGCCTCGCCCTCCGTCTACAAGTATTTTGCGGTCTTCTTAAATTTATATTTTTTAGGCCCAATGCCTGGCGGATGTCTGCCTGCAAATGACGGCCACCGAACAGTGGATATTCTTATGCGCGGCTCACAAAAATCCGAAAGAGGTTTTGCCAATTTTCTGGTTCTTGGAAATGTATATTTAGTGCTGCGCGATCGATTACACCCGGCACACCCTCGACGGAGCGGCCACGCTGCTAAACAACAGCAAATATTTCCCGAGTCGGGTTAGCATCAAGGTATATCTACATTTTCGGCTTAGTTATTGCTAAAATTTAGGAATCATCGATTTCGAAACTGGGCTCCGTGTGCCGACGGGTTTATCGCATTTTCTCCCACGCCTACTTTCACCATCGGGAACTTTTCGAGAAGTTTGAGGCCGAGACGGCTTTATGCAAAAGGTATGAAGGCTTTTAGAGTTTTTGTAATTGGTGCTTTTGCAGCATTGCAGTATCGGGGGGCGAGGGTAATTTTTTCTGATCGGATCGGTTCGGATCTGTTCAGGGTAGTTAGAAGAGGTCGCAGAAAAGATTTTTAGCCTTAGTTTTTATAAAGTTGTTTAGATTTCAAGAGAAAAAAATGGTTTTGTGAACATTTCCAAGTTTTCTATTTGAAACTTTTTGCGAATTTCGAATTGGGGCCCAGACCTAATTTTTCGCCAAAAAGTCCAGATATGTCTAGTAATAGGAGATGTCATGTTTTCAAACGATTTTCATATATTTCCATGCGAAAACTAACGAGAAAACGGTAGGAAAAACGTTGAAAAATTGATATTTGGGGAAAATCTTTCTTATTTTTAGGCAAAATTTTGAGTTTTTGATATTTATAGTAGTTTTTACGCTAAGAAATAATATAAAAATTGTGTAGAACCATTACCTTGACTCTTATTGGAAATACTGGATCCTAAAAAGGAAAAAGTACGATTTTTTACATTGATATAACTTTTTTACAGGTTCACCACCTACGTGACGCGGTATTCGCTGATCGCCCAGGAGCATCTGATTGTGCCGATTCTCCAGGAATCATAGCCAACCAACAACAACTAAAACTTGTATTCCGATTCCCCCATGATTATCCATGTCTTTGCAGTCACTAGCACCCCCGATTTCCCTAACTCGCTGTGTGCCCAATGATTTTTTGTGTACGTTACTATCTTTTTCTCTCACACCCCCGATTCCCCCGAATTATTGACAATTTCGAATGACCCGCCTCCTCCTGATTTCATTCCGGCTTATTCACCCCCGATCATTTTACCGCCCTTTTGACGGGGCGTCATCAACACGTGATGCTCCTGATGTGACAAATAAATTACTGTACGAACTCGTTTGGACAAGTCAGGAAAAAGTGACACTCTATGCGAAGCGGAGATTCTTACTATTTTGTGGGTGCTGGTGCGTTAGCGGAGGGGGTATTTTTAGCAGGGGAAAACTAACTTCTGTATTCTGCCTTACGTCGAGTTGCAATCGGTTTTATGGTGCTTTAGTTTCTAACAACGGAAAAGTCATAAAAAATTTACAGGAATTGGAAGGGTTTAAATTTTTTGAGCGTTTCCATACTTTTTTCACCAAAAGCTCAAGTTGTGCGTGAATTATAACAGTTTTTTTTTGATCTTTCGGTATCTTAAAAGAGCTGAAAATTCTTCTGAAAAAAATTTATATTTCATTGCGGGGCACTTCCGCTCGGAAAAGGAACTAGTTTGCTCTTGACTGCAAAAATCCTTCTTCCCCCCGTTAAAGCACCAGAACTTTCTAATGGCAATTAATCGTTATTACTAATATTATTATTTTGTTCAGGCATTTGTTGGATGGATGGGTGGCGAAGGCAGATACTCGACGAATACGGCTTCAAGACGTTCCGGCTACGGCTAGGCGTGCCGGCTTTGGACGCGGCGATAGGTGCGTTTTCCAGTTTCTTCCGCAAGTTTGCTTTTTTAGGCCCTCTACAAAGTCAAAATGGCAGCCTCTTCGAGATTGCTGGGCTAACAGGCACCGGGAAAACGCAGGTAACAAAAATCAGGTCAAAAATTTGTTTTTCAGTTCCTCTACACGCTCGTCGCAAATTTGCTGATCGAACAGCCGAACGAGCGCTGCATGTGGCTCGACACGAACGGCTCATTTCGACCCTCAAGGCTCATACAAATTCTTGAGAATCGGGCGTATCAGGTAGAAAACATTTTAGAAGATTTCTAAGTGTATTTAGAATCCCGCTTCCGCCCTCACTCGAATAGCCTTCTCGCGGATAAACGGCGCCCGAGCATTGATCACGGCGCTGGAGAAAATTTCGGTAGTTTTCTAATTCTGTTTCTGGGGTTCCGAGAAAATCCAATTTTTCTTAGGATCCTGAGCACTTATTTTGAGCTGTGTTTACTATTCGTAGACGTTAAAACTAAAAAGTCGGTTAAGATACCAAAAATATCGATTTTTTTTAAACAGAAAAGTTCGAATTTGATCAAAATTTCCAGACTTGACAATTTTTAATGTTTTCCAAATGGTTTTCCACTTTAATTATAACGAAATTTACCAAAAAGTTTATTAAAATAACTACTATGACGTTATTATAAATAACTGCAGTTATAAAAAAAATTTCGGCGGAATAGATCGTATTTAGGAGCACCTCGATCTCGTCACCCCGGCTCTTCTCATCATTGACAGTTCGATAAATGCGCTCTACGGGACGACGTGCGGCGACTTGAGAAATGGTATTATTATTTGTTTATTGGTTCTATTTCTTTCCAAATATTTCGGTATTTTTAAAAATATAAACGTTTAGAGAAATCTATCAAGCTTTTGAAAGGAGCTGTTGGCCCAAAATCTGTGAAAATATGGCGAAAACGCCTCAATTTGAAGCTTTTAAAAAACTCTTTTCATAATTCCGTTATAATAAAAGTCACTGTAGCGGTACCCCCGCTATTTAATTTTCAAAATTAAATTTATGGGTTTTTTTCTAGGTCGATCAATTGTGACTGAAGTTCTGGAGCTGCTCGAGGAAATCGCCACCGTGGGCACCGTGGTGATATCAGTAAATGGAATCACCACATACGACGATGTTCCACGGCCACATTTGGGACAGGTAACTGAGAAGTTGGTACCTCAGGAACTTCTTTTTTAGCAATGGGTCTCAGCATTCGCGCGGCAGCTGGTTTTTGTGCAAAAGGAGGACGATTCGAGGATTATTAGGGTACGATTTTGTGCGTTAGAATGTTATCAATCAGTTTAGAAACGTTATTAAAATCCTAAAGTTGTTTTTTTAGGTTCCCAGCGGCGACGTGAACAACGGGGCGTTCGGCATCAGCGAGCTGCCGTTCCGCATCACCGAGGCCGGCGTCGAGGCGGTCAATTTGTAATATTTTGCTTTTTCTGTAGTTTTCTTTCCACATTTTTTTTGTAGTTGTTAATTTTTGTAAAGCTAGATTTTTTTGCCATCGCTTTTTATCGAGCGTATTTATCGTATTTCTGTAAATCCAGAATATATCGACTGATCTGATTTTTCTTTACTTCATTTTCCCTTGCCGTTACTTGAAGCGGTATATGTCGGCTACGCGGGGGGGGAAAATTTTACGCGGGGGGGGGGGGGACGGACTGTTGGGGCCGAGCTAACTAGTTTTTTGCGTTTCTTTTTGCTACAAACAAAACTCTTAGTATATTTTTCGACGCTCTGTCGAATGGCACTAAAGAAATTTTGTAATAATGTCGAAAATGTCCAAAATTTGATTTGCTTCTATATCCTCCATGAAAACAACGTTTAATACTTGTTTTTGTTATAACTATTTTATATTACATTATTTTGAGCTAAAATTAAAACTCTTAGTATATTTTTGAATGCTCTATCGAATGGCATCTTTAAAATGTCGAAAAAATATCGCGAATATCGAAAAACAGCCGCTCAAACCGATTTTCAAAGCTTCTTTTTGTAATTGCCATAACTTTTTTATATTACACTAATTTTAGCTAAAACAAAAACTCTTAGTATATTTTTCGTAGCTCTATCGAATGCTGTTGCGAAAATTCCGAGAAAATAACGAAAACATCCAAAAAGGCCTGCCTGTCCCGTCCCCCCCGCGTAAAATCCCCCCCCCCCGCGTAGCCGACATATACCCTTGAAGCTCTCTTCTCTATTTACTGTGATATATATTTTTCGGACTCGGGGATGTTACGTGCTTTTTCGTTGTGGCAAATACTTTGTGATTTTTACGACACTTTAGAAATTAAAAAAATAAATTACAAACGTAAAAATGCCACGGTTCTTTCGTATTATCGGGGGGCGGGGGGATAAATGTTTTTTTTAGTCTGGAAATGACTAGTAAATTAATAGGAAGCGTTCTTTCATGTTGTTAGTACAATCTATTCTTGTTTCAACTGGAAAGGCTATCTAAAATTTTCCAAAAGATTTTTAGATAGAAAGTTTGGTCGCAAAAGCTGTATTGTGTAAAATTTTGTATAGTTTTACGTTAGTTTACGTAAAACGTTTAGTTTACAACGTGTACGTTTAGTTTACGTATAGTTTTGGAGTGGCAAAAACAGTTTAGAAACGTTTTAGCTATTTATATTTTTTTTAAATGGATCTGAACGGAAAAAGATGGCCCCCCGATAACGCCAAAGAACCGAACGGTCCTCGAGGACCCTTTAGAGCTGAAAAACTCAAAACTGCAAAAGTGAAAATCTCCATTGTAGGGCAGCGGTGCAAAGTCTAGCGCTGATCTGAGGTACAAAAACTGAAAAAAAAGGCTTATACAATGGAGGCCAAAATTTTGGCGTCCCACTGCGAGGGCCATGTGCCCTCAAATTCTGCGATTCCGTGTAAGTTTGAGGCTCACAAATTTTGCAAGCGTCCGGATGCGTTGCTGTGCGGAATCTCGAGCGCTATATTTTCTGGGCGGGCTATGCATTGGGCTTTGTCTAGCTTCAATTTTGTATCTACTAAAAGAAGCCTCTCACTACCACGCTGCCAGCAGCCAATTGATAGCTTTTCGATTGACCTGGGTAAGTTTAGGGGGCTTCGAGAAAAACTAAGCAACTTTGGTACTGGACTGTTAGCGGGGGGGTCACCCCGGGTAATCACGTACTGTAGATAGTACTGTAACGCAAAATAGACCATTTTCTAGAATTTTACATCGTTTTTTTAGAAGCTTCAGCGTATTAAGCGCTGAAAAAAAGTTATTTTTGGTAAAAATGCATCGAGGTGGCCAAAAATCGCAAAAATTTTAAATATGGTAAATGATAAATCGACAGATAGATGAGAAAAGTAAAAAAATTACACCCCCCCCCCCGCTAAAACTCCAGTACCACGTTCATTTCAGCATTTCCCTGCTCACCGAGAAGAGCCAAATCCGATGAGGATGACCGAATTTTCCGAGGATCATCGCCAGAACATAGAAGCGACGTTTTTAAGCAGCATTGTCGAATTTTTCCAACTGAACGAGCCGAAGAAGCTGACGATGGGACGCCAATTAACGAAATTAAACGACTCTTACCTTCACAGTGCCTACGTCACCTTCAAGGAGTTATGCCCGTCCAGTGAAAATTGCAGCTTGGCGCCGCCATTTTTGGAAGCCCCTTCACAATACAGGGTGAGCTTTGCCGGGCAGGCTAGCAAAGATTCTTGTTAGTCCAGAATATAAAAAGAAATAAATAAAAAAAAAGAAATTACAGCCTTGTCATAAGAAGTATTTTAATACCCTTTTTATCAAAAATTGGCTGTTTGCCAGGTGGCAAAACAATTTAGAATTATTAACCCGTAGATAATTGCGTGAAAATTTCAAATTTGATGAAAATTGGCCATTTTTGGTGAAAGACCCTAACTTTTTCTATTTTGTTTTGATACGAATTTGTAGATCGTCCTTTTTAGCAATAGTAAAACCCAATCAGCACCGCTCTAAATTTAGCTCTATTTAGTTTTCAAAGTCCTACGGCCTGACGGCGTGCACCATCTACAAAAACATGTCCACCCTACTGACCGCGATAATGTGCTATTTGCACGACAAGAAAAGAAGTCTCAACGCAAAGGCTGATTTTTATAGCCAGTGGGACGATCTGAGGTATCTAAAGTTTTGTATTTAAGGTTTAATTACGTTTCAGGCCTTGCCGAAACCAAAACGAGGCCGAAGATTGGGGCAGCGTCGAGGGCCTGATGGGGCTGAACATTACCGATGTCGCCAAGTTTTCCTTGATCCGCCATCCGCTCGAAAAATTCATGTGCGCATGTGCATATTTGCCTGTGAGTTGGATTAAATGGTACTGGGCTGTTAGCGGGGGGAGGGGCAAAAAGATACTTACCTTTTCAATTAATTTTCTAGGCATTTTAGGCGTAAGAAAAGGCTTTTTTTGCTTTATTTTTCCGATTTCAGCACAGAGAAGAGCTGCATGGAATGCCTGGACCTGAATTGCATCCTCGACAAACTCCTCCAATTCGCAGAGGATTTTCGAGCAAAGCGGAGATGGGGAAGGAATCCGAGGCGTCACCTCAATGCCCATTTCCTGCCGCAAAATTGGTTGGTAAAAGCATAAGCCATGCCTAAGCCAAGCCTAAGCTAAGCCTAAGCCAACCTAAGCCAAGCCTAAGCCAAGCCTCAGCCAAGCCTATACAAAGACCTTTTAGGCACTGCGACTTCGGCACGATGCTTGTAGAATATGAGTTGATCCGCTATAGCAGTGAGGAGGACCAGAAGATGATCGCCGACCTGGAGAAGGTTTTTCGAAATGTGCATGTGACAGAAGAAGAGATTTCTTACGTAAGAGCCATAGGATTCTCAAGTCCGGTTTCAGATCAGCTTCAAATTATCGAATGGTACAACAAAACATGCGACTGCTGGTGGGAGCGAGAGAAAAACGGAGCTCCAAAAGCTCCTATCGACACCGGCTTTAATGAGAAAATACATGCGATTGTATTTCTTTGACTATCTGGCGTTAGGATATGCATTGCCCGACGTAAAGACATTTTTATTGAAATAAATAACATACGAAAAATAAAATACGAAAAAATTCTTATAGAAAAAATGGAAAACCTTCAGATCTGCATACACCCGATGTAATTCAGCCACAGCAGCACCGCAGCGCACCCGCTACGCATCGACGAGATCTTGAAAAAGTCTGAACTTAATGCCTGAAAAAACTAGTGGAGAAATTCTAGAAATGGCCGTCGACCGCAAGAAAAGGAGTAAAAAAGGGTTGAGTTCCGTGGACATGCTATGTGATTCCAGCCCCGCAACGTACACGTTACGCGTTCAAGCGTCATCACAACCTAGTGGCTTTAAAAAAGTTATAAATCCCGATCCTCCAATTTTTCTCTGTGCACTGCGTCCAATTTTGTGGACAGCGGCCAGATTTCAAATTTACACGCAAGTCAGGCGGATGCTGCAAACTTTATTGAATAACCCCAGCCAAAAATTGAAAATCTCCCGCTGCGCGGCCCACATGTTCGCAGGGACGTTTTTCGCTTTTTCGCGTTTCATTTGAATCTGCGAATGTACTGGCTTGGCGAAGTTCGATGCCGGTATTTCTTGGGCGGACTTTGTATTGGGATATTTCTTTCTGGGATATGCTTTTTAATAGCTGAACTATCACGCCATCAATCCTACAGTCAATCGATAGCGTTTAGGCTGACTTGGGTAAGTTGAAACTACTTTAAACCTGTATTCTGTTTAATTTTACGTTTAAATTTAGCGTATTGAGGGTTTTGATCATTAAGGGACTGAAAAGCATAGCTAAATTTTTGGATAAAGTTTTTATTAGGTATTTCTACTATGTAATTTGCTGTGTAATGGATTTTTGCCCTAAGACGTGGTTTTAAGCCACAAAAATTACAGAAATTTTACTTTTAAAACCGATTCTAAGGTATGGAAAACGTTGCTAAATTTCTAGATGTGTTTATTACGTGTCTATGCAGCGTAATTTGTCGCGTAATGTAGTTTTAACCGGTTCTAAACGTGTTTAAAAAGCTAACGCAGCGAAAAAATGTTTTACCATCCCAAAAATGGTATAAATTGCCTAAAAGCAATCAATTCGATAAAAGGAATAGAAACAATTTAGTTTTTGATTTATACACTTTTTAGTGCCTTCCTGACCCTGATAATCTAACTAAAGACGAAGCTGAAGTTGATGAAACGATTGTCGAACAGCGCAAAACCATCGAAATCGATTTTCTCGACGACTTGGAGCTGTATTTCGGGCTATCCGAGGCTCACAGATTGACGTTCCAACGTCAATTATCGACTTTCGAAGACGGTCCCTTGATCAATGCCTACGAGGTCTTCAAAGAGTTATGCCCATCCAAGCACGCCTGCGAATTGGCAGCACCATTTTTGAACATACCGTCGCAGTATCGGGTCAGTCTTCACGAATCTTGATTGAAACCTGGCGGCAAATGCTCTGGGTCATTATCGGGGGGGGACAACAAAATTTTCCCACTTTTCCAGTTTGCTACACATTACAACCTAACCGCCTGTACCATCTACAAAAATATGTCGACGCTTCTCACCGCGATTATGTGCTATTTACACGACCAAAAACGAAGCCTGAATGCGGAGACCGATTTCTTTACGCAATGGGACGAGTTGAGGTATTTTTGCCATTTCTCTCTTCTCACACACACTCTTTCTCTCTCTCTCTCTCTCCCTCCTCTCTCTCTCTATCTCGCTCTCTGTCTCTCTATCTCTCTCTCTCTCTCTCTCTCTCTCTCTCTCTCGCTCTCTCTCCATCGCCAAATATCCATTTTCAGACCGTGTCTCGGCATTAATGAAGCGGATCGCTGGCCAAAAGTACCGCGATATATGAGGAAGAAGACAGAAGATATCAAGAAATTTTCGCTGGTTCGGAATCCGTTAGAACGGTTTATGTCTGCCTATGTGAACATATGCTTGTGAGTGCAACTTTTGCTCTCTCTCTCACTCGCTCTCTCTCTCCCTCTCTCTCTCCCTCTCTTTCTCTCTTGCTCTCTCTTGCTCTCTCTCACTATCTCACTGGCCTCTCTCTATCTCTCTCTTTCTTTGCTCTCTCTCTGATTTCTCGCTCTGTCTCTCCTCTCTTTCGCCGAACCCAGCCTATTTCAGGGATCGAGCTCGATGCCAAGAATGCCAGGATCTAGAGTGTATCCTCGACAAACTCCAAAACTACACAAGCGACTATCAACAAACTAGCGTCTGGTCAAGGCGAAACGAGCATGTGAATGCGCATTTTATGCCCCAGAATTGGTAGGTACTTCGGATAATTTAGCTTTGTGGTCTGTTGCCTAGAAAATACGGTTTTTTCTGATAACGCTCAACATTTCAAACCCAAAAAAACGCAGGAAAATAACTATTAAACAGGGGCAATTTAAAAAAATATGATTACGATTTTTAGGCGCTGCGAATTCGGCTCAATGCTAGAGGAATATCACTTAATCCGATACTCTAGTGAAGACCAGAAAAAGTTGCTCGACGATCTTACACAATATTTTAAAGGCGTAGGGGTCGATGAAGAGAGTATAGCTTACGTAAGTTTGCTTTTAAGGGACTAGATGGTGCAGAATTCCACCCTCTCGATTATCTAGGGCTAGACAACTACGTTACACACCCAAATGACGCTTTATTCGTACCTGTTTTTGCTCAAATTTCACATTTTAAAGCCGGAGCTCTTGGAGTCGTGTTTGGGGGTGTAGTGTAGCTGTCAAGACCTAATCAAAAAGGAAGAGTGGATTCTCGAGTTTCTGATATCATTAAGCAGCAAAATGTAGTTTTTAAGGGGATCGAGAAGCCGAAAATTCCGCAAAAATCGTCTCTAATTTTAGATAACACAGCAACTCACATCCGGAAAAACCCCACACGCAACGGCTGGCAAGGAAAAGCGCAAAATAGAACTCCAGAAGCTCCTCTCTACCCCGGAACTGATGCGAAAATACATGAAGCTGTATTTCTTTGATTATTTGGTGCTGGGATACGAGATGCCAGAAGCAAGGCTGCTGGGATCGGGGTCGGATCAGGGGTCGAAGGAAGAATCAAATGAGGCCGAAAGTTGATGATTGCTGTATGAACATGCTGAATAAAATTTCTCTAAAATATACATAGCGACCCCCTTTGCTTTCTTTTTCACTCTCTCTCTCTCGCACTCTCTCTCGCACTCTCTCACTCTCCCTTTCTCTCTCACTCTCACTCCCTCTCCCTCTCTCTCACTCTCTCTCGCGCGCTCTGTCTCTCTCTATCTCCATTTCTCTTTCTCTTTCGCTCTGTCTCTCTCTCTATCTCCATTTCTCATTCTCTCTCACTCTCTCGCGCTCTGTCTCTCTATCTCTCGGCCTCATCTTGATCTTCTACTAGGCCAAGATGACGAAAACAGGGCTGGTGCCAAAGTTCGAAAATACCCCCATTTTTCCAAGTATGACCCCGTCTCAAGGCCTCTCGCAATTTCAATGCGAAAAATATTACCATATGAGCGCAGTTTTGCCGTGTTCTCCAGTCTAGCAGCGTAGCGTCTGGTGGGTTTGTCGTTGACGAAAAAATTCCACAGGTTATCGAGCCATGCTGTACGTCTACCTGCTCGTCCTCGTCCTCTACACCAGCGGACTGAACGCCGCAAACACGACACTGACTGCCGAGATGTGTTATACGGGTCCCCCTGGCTGCGACGGTATCCTTACTAGGATACAGCCATGCGGTCCTAGATTGTGTGAAGGAGTGGACGTTGTGCCCGGGAAAAGACGGTGTCCTCCTCTGCACCCTGAAGCAATATCTCGTCGATCCGGAATCCGGAACATGCGAATTCCAAGGTAGACAATAAGCCCTAGTCGTGGAAAAACTTCAGGTAGGAACTACTCTCTTATTCCCCCCCCCCACCCCACGCCCCGAGCCGAGTTCACAACCTAGCGACAAAATACCCCGTTCCAGGCTGCCCTCTGGGCCAGGTGGAGGTGACAGTCAGCGGCAAGAGGAGCTGCGTGCCGCTGAATCGCATCGTTAATGGCAGTCTCACTTCTAAATGGCAGTGGGATGGTAAGCTTTCTAGTTTTGCTTTCGACGGTTTTCGGCTACGGTTTACTTTACCCCCCCCCAGCCGGAAGTTTTTGGCTATAACTTTTTAATTTTACATTATTGTAGGCTCAAATTAAAACTCTGAGTATATTTTTTGACGCTCTATCGAATGGCTTTGCAAAAATCTCGACAAAATAAGCGAAAATACCGACAACTTTGAGACCCTTCGGCTGTGGGGGGCGGGGGGGGGTACAGTAAACTCTTACCCCAAAATGTTTGTAGTGCTCTTGCGAAGATTTTGGTATACTTTACACACCAGTAGATAAACGGGGAGTTGAGATACGCTAGGTGGGGGGTCGGCTGGGGGGGCGTAAACTGCACTTAAGCCCACCGCCCTCCCCCGGATAATGCCCAAGTACCAAGCTTTCGACTATCGATTACTCACATAACCCAGGATCGATTTTCAGGCTGTTCTAAGCAGTTCTACATCAACTGCGGCAACTATTTGCCAGTTTGCGTCAATGCCGATACGTTGACGTCATATAACGTCAGCGCGGGAGGCTGCGTTACCGAAGGCAGGCGCTAATAACAACACTACCACGCATTTTCTGAAGGTTGAATTGAAGTTATGATTTAAGGCTGCCCTCCTACGACGCACCCGTGCAAAGTAGAAAACGGAACGGAATGCCTTTACTACGACGACCTGAAGGAGGTCATCCTGAAACGCGGGGTCGACGAGTGCATCCGTGCCACGGCTGAAGAGAAGGCTGCTGCGAGGGCTACTGTTCCGCCGGCCGCCCAGGAGAAGACCGAGCCAAAAGGTTTGTAGATCGAGTAGTACGCATATCCATATTGCAGCATCATCCTCGTCTTCTTCTTGGCATCTCGTGATCTCCGCCTTCACCGTCCTTGCCACGAAGCTAAACGCCAATGTCTGCGTCGTTTTTTAATATATATGTCTTCATGAAACCTTAAAATAAATACGTGTGCCGCGAAAGCGCAAAATAAATCACACTCAAGGCCATGAAAACCCAAAATAAGCATATTTGTTTCCAATAACAAAATTATAATGCGCTTTTACCGCATTTCAATATATTTCTCAACTACAAAAAGCCGTCATCTACCCACGGAAAAATCATTCTTCATTCGCCCTCCCCAGCCAGCAAGTCTCCAGGTGCGTCCCTTTGAGGCTTTTGCGGCCGATGCATGTAGAACTGGAATGCAAATGCAAATGAGGTTTCAGAGATATGCTCGGAGTGGCCTTCATCTACCTGCTGATCCGCGTACTGGCCCTCGGGATGTGGGCGTGCGGCCTCGACGCCCAGAACTCGACCGACCCTTCGCCATGCGACCCAACCGAGGTGGCCTGCCCCGGGAAGGATGAGCGACCGATTTGCGTGCTGGAGAAAAATGTGGTCAACGTCACCGCCACAAGCTGTCATGTCGCGGGTAAAATTTGAGATTCTGTAACGGGCAGGGGTCGTACATGATACTAGGTTGCATCTAACTTCATATTACGTTGCAGGCTGCCCGCCGGGCCGTGCCGGTCTGGATCTGGAGAAAGGTGTCTACTGCGTGCCGTTCAACAGGCTTACTGAGGGTCATTTGCCCCGAAGCTGGACATTTGCTGGTTGGATCTTGGACAAGGCACGAACGTTTCCGACTAGGCTGCCAGAGACCGAACGAGGTGGATTGTGGAACGCGCGACGTGCCGCTCTGCGTCCCAGCCAAGGAGCTCAACAGCTACAACGAAACGACGAGGATCTGCACATTGACTGGTATTGACGAAGAATAGCCGGAATTCCCATAATTCAGCTTGCAACGAGGAGCCCTCCAACTATCCCTGCAAGCAGCCCAACGGCGACTCGTTGTGCACCTTCTTCTCCTACATCAAGACCATCCACGTGAACCGCACCTGCGAGCCGTCGGCTGAATCCAAGGGTAATCATCTTCAAGGTGCGATACGTTCCTCTCTCCAGTCTGCCCGGTCGCCCACGTCAACTGCGGCAAGTACGACCCAATCTGCATCCGCGTCTACACGCCGCGATTTCGCGCCGCTGACCTGCGATCCTTCAACGACCGCACGCGGGAGTGCCACGATGAGCGTGGGTTTCGTTTTTGATCCATAAAATTATCGATCTATTTCCAGGCTGCCCCATCGGCCACCATCCATGTTCCATCCGCGAGAAGGGCGACAAGAAAATCTGCATGCCCTACTGGCATATCAAGTCCGTCGGCGACCACGACAGCTGCCAGCTCGTCAACCCCAACGAGTTGCCGAGTGGGTACTAAACCTAAGCCTAAGCCCAAGCCTAGCCTAAGCTAAGCCTAAGCTAAGCCTAAGCCGAAGCCTAACCCGCCCCAAAGGCGACTATAGCCTCTCAATTCCAGACCTGAAGCCGGCGAAGGAGTGTGCGGGGCTGAAGAACACGTTGGCCTGTTGGGCGGCCAACGACGACTACACGTGCATCGGCTTCGAGCGGATCAACTCGATGACCGTCGACAAGCAGAACAAGACCATCTGCACATTTGCAAGTGGGAAATTAACCGGAAACTCTGAATTCCTGCTTCAGAATGCACCGGAGAAGATGCCCTCTTGTGTAGCGCCGAGTGCCAAAGCATCCATGAGGTCAAGAGGGTGCTGCCGGGAGGAGAGTGCGAATGTACGGTAGCGAAGAGCGAAGAGAGAGAGAGAGAGAGAGAGAGAGAGAGGGAGGGAGCGAGGGAGAGAGAAAAGATTCATTTTTTAGTCCGCACCCTCCGCCGTGGCCAGATCATCATGATCATCTCGTGCTCCATCATCGGAACCGTGGCCGTGATCGCTATTGTGGCTCTGCGTGGGTTTTTGTGGTTTTTGAGGGCCAGCTAGCAAAGATTATTGCGGAAAATACGCTTTGCCATCACTGTACCATCCCTTTAGTCACCCGCGTCGTCATCCTCCAGAAGAACCGGAACAAGCCGATCGAGCATCGCCCGTCCAGCATGGAGAACAAGCACCAGGATGGTGGGAACTTTTTGTGGAGCTTGTGCATTATCGGTGGGAGAGAAGCCTGAGTTTTTTCCAAACCATTGCTTTTTCAGGTGACAGCAACGAGAAGCGCCCATTCCTGCCCTCCAAGAACCCGAAGGCCTTCAACGAGAAGCCCCAAGTCTAGAGGAAGCCCCATCTCAAATGATCATCTACTCTCCACCCGCCCGCCATCTTCAGAAGCCCCCATCAATCTCTCATCCATCCATCCACACATCTATCAATCCATCAATCTATCCATTTACTTGCAATCACCGATCAAAAATTAGGTTTCAACACTAAATACCCGCTAGCCGGAATTGTGATGATCAATTGTGTGTTGTGCTTGTGATTGGATATGGTGTGTGTGTGATTTTGGAGGCGAATAAAGTGTTTTCTGGGTTTGGCTTCTGGTTGCTATGACTTGCACATTGGAAAGTTTGGAAATCTATAAGACACATCTATAAGACGAGCTGAAGATATTGCAAAATAGAGCAAAACGAAATTCAGCTTTTTGGAGGGGGCTGGGATTGAACTGGCGGCAGCTCTGGCTTGGTACGCCGACGCTCTACTCACTGCGCCACAGGGCTCCCAGGCACACGACCCGGGTTCGATTCCTGCCGGATTTCAGACCCCTTTTAATACCCAGCATATTTAAGCATTCTGGCATGGCAACGTACCTTCAATTCTTTACCGTTCGCGAGTTATTTCGACTCAAACTGTGGGCTTTTTTTTTTTGCCCACCCTGTAGTCGAGTCTGATTTTTACGATTTAGGTATCTATCGAAAGCTCTCGCAAAGGAGAGTCCAGCACGTTTTACCGATTTTTTCAATGTCGGAATTTTTTGCTTTTTTTTCATGATGTTCGGCCTTTTTCACTAAAAAATCTCACGCTTTTTCGTCAAAAACTCAATTTAACCGGTTTAAGCGCTAAAGCTGGGTTTTTGCAAACGGCTTTCAAAAAGCTGTCGTTGGGCTGCCAGGAAAAGCATAAAACCTTAAATTGTAATTTTTGGGGAAAAACTTTGGTCAGAAAAGCATCAGAAAATCGGCACTTTTCGCAAAAAATATTAGTAAATGTCAGAAAAATTTCAAAATTTTGAGAAGCGGGGTAGCGCGCTGGACTCGCCTTTTCGAGAGCTTTCGATAGATACCTAAATCGTAAAAACCGGTCACGTCTGCGGACCGCTAGGTAAGGGGGTTTTCTGGGCCACCCTGTAAAATCGCTCAAAAATACAAGAAACCCCCCACCAATACGATCTTGGGGCATGCTATCAAAAGCCTCGTTGATTTACCAAAAAAAAATTAAAATTCACCCTTCACAATCCCTTTAAAATGACCACCTATTTCTCCAGCTCCTCTCGCGCCGGTCAATACCAGTCTGCCTCCCCTCTCCTCCAAACCTCCCTCCTTTTTGGCCTATATATTTGATCGTAATCGAGTCCAGCCCTCAGATCTTTTCATCCCCCCATTCAAGCGGCTCATTTTCCGCGGAACACCTCCTTCCTCGCCCCTATTAAACCAGTCGTTATTTCGGTGCTTTCCGTAGCCCTGGTGGTGGCGATTTTTGGTGCCGATCCCCGATTTAGAAATGGGACGCACAAACGCCCAATCGCTTTTTCAATTCAATAGTTTGCGCAATAATTATTATCTGAGTTTTGTCTATGGCCTGTTCGTTGGACTGCTATTTTTCTATTATATTTTCGGACGTCAAAATCAGTACCCGTATCAGTTGGTAAGTGGAAATATGGTAAAACACTTTCCCTTTTTATCGCTTTCTTTGTCTCTCCTCCTCCTCTCTCTCACCCCCTTTTTCTCTCGCTCTCTGTCTCTCTCGCTCTTTTTCAAACCCATTTTGGCTTTCAAGTTCCTTGAATCATCAAGAGTCATAAAAGGCAAACAAGCAGCGTTTTTTGCGGAATTCGGAGAGCGAGAGACAAATAGACAGAAAGAGAGAGAGAGAGACAGAGAGAGGCAGAGAGACAGAGACAGAGACAGACAGCGAGCCAGATATTTTTTACTTCCAGCAAGGCCATCCACTGATCCTCCCCCGAACTTCCGACCCCTACGAATTATCTCCAAGGGGCTGGACCCCAGCCGAAGTTTTCGTGGTGGGACCTTATCCGTTAAAAGCTTAGTTTTGATGTAGATTAACAACTTCTGAAGTAAACCAACTATACCTTTAGGAGAACATCGTCTCAATTTTCTCGCTCTCCCCTCAAAATCGGAAGATCCTCTCGTCGCAAATCTCAAAGCTGAACGCCTCCGAGTTGACGAATGCCGTGGACATCTTCAGGAGGCTTTGTCCCTCAAAGATTGATTGCCAGCTGGAGCCACCGTTTTTGAATATTGATTCGCAGTATAAGGTGGGTGATACTTACTGATACTTCACAAAAATTTTCCCGAGAATTCGCAAGGACATCTGTTAAATTTCATTTTACCTTTCGAGACTGTAAAAAATTAAAGTGTAGAAGTAGATTCCATTCAACTATACAGGGTGTCCCAATAAAAAAGGTCACGCTGGCATTTTGTCATTTCAAATCCGATCTACTTGAAATTTTGAACAGAGCTGCGGCAGGGAATTTAAAATGTTCACAGAAACTTTCACCCCGATCGGTACAGTAGTTTTCGAGTTATAGCAAAAATAAACTTTAATTTACGTTTTTAACCTGGATTCCGCCGGAATTGAGTCTTCGAATGTATCGCAAAAATGAAGCGCCGACCCTTTTTTACCTCCAAAAATTTTTTATTTTGTAAAATTCGTCTTGTAAGCAGGTTGTTTAAATAATTTTAACAAGGTGTTATCATTCCCGCTGTTAAGAAGAATGAGGGATTGAGGGCCAAAATCCTACTATATATAAAAACTTCCGTCACCGTGTTCCAGTAGTATCTCAAGAAGGGGAGTACTTAGGGGGTATGTTCGATACGTCATTAGGTGCGTAATGGCCTGGAGATGACTGCACACATATCAGATTTTACAAAATATGATGTTTTCGACATTAAAATTCAGTTTTTCATGGAAAATCGGACACCCCAATTTGTTAGGATCAAATTAGCATGCACCGGAAGTCGCGGTAGCCTATATAAAGGGACGGCAAGAGCATTTTTCATTTTTCGTCATCCGAATCCGGGAAAATTATGCAAAGCCAAAATATCATCGGAGAAGACGGGGCCAGGGTTGAAAAGCCGCGAAGCGGTTTTTCAACCCTGGTTGATGTTAATTGCTTGCAAGGTCCAAAAAGATAGCCGAAAAAATGAAGCAAAAGTGTGGAAAAAAACAGTATTTTTGCTATAACTCGAAAACTACTGTACCGATCGGGCTGAAAGTTTCTGTGAACATTCTAAATTTCCTTCCGCGGCTCTGTTCCAAATTTCAGATCGATCAGATTTGAAATGGCGAAATGCCAGCGTGACCTTTTTTATTGGGACACCCTGTATAAGTTCTTGCCTTTATTTATCAATTAAACTCCTAAAACTCTTATATTCTAATCCACGATTTCATGCTAAAGTATAGTAAGAAAGATAGCACTTAAAATTCTAAAAATTGTCTATTTTTGCCGTCACCCACCATTTTCCAGGTAGCCCGTCCCTATGCCCTAGCCGCCTGTACAATCTACAAAAATATGTCTACCGTGCTGATCGCTATTATGTGCTATTTACACGATATGGAAAAGAGTCTGAACAGTACCGTCAGATTTTTCGATCAATGGGATGAATTAAGGTATCCAAAATTACCTTTAATGATACTACTATGCTATTAAGTAGCTCTAATATTCACTCTGATCTCCTTGCAGACCGTGCCTCCGCTCAAACGAGGCCCCATCGTGGGCGCGTTCAATGGAGCGTATCGGACTCGACATTGACAATATCACCAAATTCACGCTGGTCCGAGAGCCGATGGAGAAGTTCATGTCGGCGTATGTACAGCAGTGCTTGTAGGTTTAGGGAAATTTTGGCGGTTAAAATGGGCTAGGAAACTCCAAAATCAAGGTCGTAAAGGTCTAAACAGCTACGCGACGCGCCCAATAAGCCGGCCGGATCAGTCGCTAAAAGCCTGATTGTAGCTACTCAAAAAAGGCGTCCTTTGTAGTCCCGTAGCTGCCGAGATGTAGTCCTTCCGTAGATCGATTCCCTGACTTTGTATGTAGAAACGGTAAAAAAACGATAGTTGCTGATTTTTAACTCCAAAAAAATGCAAAAAGCCTACGACACTCGGGATTCCCAAGCCGTCTCCGATCCAAGTACTAACCGAGCCCAACGTTGCTTAACTTGGCAGATCGGACGGGATGCCGTGCTTTCAACGTGGTATGGTCGTAGGCGAGGGGGAAGAGGGGCAGAGGGGGCCAAGAGACTTTGGGAACCCGCGCACCAGCAGCTCTGCCTTGGCGTCAGAAGACATAATTCCATCGGATAATAATAATCTTAACAAAACCTGGGATTTCTAACAAAAATTATACAACAAGTTTGTCTTCCTAGTTCCTTTAAAGCTAATTCCTTCCTAAGGAACTTTACAATAGAAAAAACCAAGCATTTTTCTCTAGACTATGGATGAAGTGCGAAGCGTGCCACGACCCAGACTGTCTACTCGATAAATTACTCGGCTACGCGAAGACGTTCCGGCTGAAGGGCATCTACGGGGCCCAGGGGATGACAAGATCGCATCTTAATGCTCATTTTCTGCCTCAGAATTGGTATGGAAAATGATAATTTAATACATGCAAGAGTAAATTTTATCGTAGCGAATGGTATAACAGGACAGATACCGCCACGCCTGTTTTTTTTGTAGCTATAGGAATTCAAATTTGCCTGGAACGGATACCTTAACAGAATATACCTTGGTAGGCGCAGTTTTTGACAATCTTTCATAGCTCTGGGGGCTAAAACGATACTTTAAGAGAATATACCATAACAGATGCTGTGTCGTAAGCTTTTCAATGGCTATTATGGCAATTTTTAGGCGTTGCGAATTCGGGACGATGCTCGATGAATATGTAATGATTCGATACAGCAGTGCAGACATTCAAAGGCTGCTCTTCGACTTTCAGGTGTTGCTCAAAAGCGCAAAGGTGGAGCAGGACAAGATTGATTTTGTGAGTAGCTTCATCCATCTCTCCCCCTCTTTCGCTCTCTTGCCTTTACCTGTCCTTTTTAGGTGAAAGAGAAGCTTGCCTCCGGCCGTTCGAGTCACACGACTACGGGAAGCTCCGATAGACGAGCAGCACTTCAACAAATGCTAACAACTCCCGCATTATTGAGAAAGTATATGAGATTGTATTACTTTGACTATTTGGCCCTGGGCTATGAGATGCCACCACTACGGGCGTTACGGTAAAAATAAATACTTTGCCTTTACTCGACAGAGAAAGCTAGAGGGAGAGAGGGAAAGAGAGAGAACTATAGCGAGAGAGAGAGCGAGAGACAGCCAGAAAGAGACAGAGAGCGACAGATAAAGGCGTCGAGAGACAAAAAGAGAGAGAGAGAGAGAGAGAGAGAGAGAGAGAGCGAGAGAGAAAGAGAGATAGAGATAGAGAGAGGGAGACAGAGAGAGCGAGAGAGAGAGAGAGAGAGAGAGCGAGAGAGAAAGATAGAGAGATACCTTAATTTACCATACCTTTAAGCTGAACATCTGATTCATCTTTCCCAAGCTCAAAAGTTCAATTCCGGGCCAATACCCCGCGGCAAGTCTTTTAAGCTTCCTCTGCATTCAGCGGAAAATATCCCCAAACCCCCACGTATCTGACTGACTCACCGCTGAGAGAGCGAGAGCGAGAGCGAGAGCGAGAGCGAGAGCGAGAGCGAGAGCGAGAGCGAGAGAGAGAGAGAGAGAGAGAGAGAGAGAGAGAGATAGAAAGCCAGAGAAAGCCGTTTTTTACCTCCACCTGACGAATTTCCGTGGGTTGAACTGTTCGAGCAGCCGAATAGCAATTAGCCCGGCCGAACCCATGGTGGTCATGGCGGTTATAAGTCCCGGAAATGGCTTGCGGTTCCCACAAAAATATCGTCAGTCCTTCTAGCATCAAAACATGCATCTGATTCACCTTGTATTAATAATTCTCTTGTCGGCTTTTCTTGTAGAATGCGCTAAAAATTCGACAAAATTTACGGCGGAAGAATTGAAAGCGTATGATGCATATTTGAAGCAATATGAGAAAAGCTATACTACAGCCGAGAAGAATCGAAGGATCAAGGTGAGGCATTAAAGAGTATATTACTAATTTTACTACACAATTAAATCTTACAACACTTATTAAGTTTAAATTTAAAAGCGGATTTTTATTATTTTTGTAATATACTAATCGACATTTAAATTAAAATTTAAAAACTGAAATTAAACCCGGTTTTTAACGATTTTATTGTTATATTTTAACGTGTATACATCTACTATTCCGGTGATTTAATAATTTCTTTGTTACTTAATCGTCATTTCATTAAAAATATATAGATATTTAATGCCGAACCACAGACAAAAACTTATATTTTTCCAAGTTAATTTTATTAATTTCGCTATAAGGTTTTATAAATGAGTTTGCTAGCTTTCTTTATGGATCCTGTTAATTTCCTATATTTCCAGTTCTTCCTCCACGCGCAGAAGAAAATCAACAACTGGAACAAGAAGCAGAAGACGCAAGAATTCGCCCACAACACCTTCTCCGACTGGAGCCCCAAGGAGTTGAAGAGGTTGCTGGCGCCAAAGAATTGGACTGAAGAGGTTGGGGAATAAAGTGTAGCTTAAAAAAACCGAAACGCATAGAGAACACCGGAAATGAAGAGAGAGAGAGAGAGAGAGAGAGAGAGAGAGAGACAGAGAGACAGAAAGATAGTTCTAACTTATTATTTAGGCCTTATTTCGTAGACATTCTATGTAACCGATTCAAGGCGCCATTCCAGGCGGGTCCGATCGAACTGTTCCGCGTCGCCAACACTTCTACAGCCCCATCATCAAGCAGTATGGCATACGGCGCTAATCAGACCAAAATTTTTGTCGACTGGAGGAGGCAGGGCGTCGTCACACCCGTCAAAAATCAGGTTAGCTAGCCGTAATAAAACCTATACGTCTTATTAATTTGTTAAATAATGTTTTAAAGGTTAAATGTTAAAAATAAAAACGGCCTATTTTCAGGGCAAATGCGGTTGTTGCTACGCTTTTGCTGCCGTCGCAGCCGTCGAGTCGGCTTTTGCCTTGAAGGGGCAGACTTTACGTAAGTTTAATTCATTAAAAAAATTAAATTTACCAAAGTTATACTACTTATTAAACGTATTAAAGTTACTAAAAAATTGTTTAGAAAACCTCTCTGTGCAAGAAATCGTCAATTGCGTGCAAGGCGGATGCAAAGGAGGGGCGCCGTATAAAGTTTATCAAGTAAATTTGTTACAAATTGAATGTTTATACTTTATTCAACTATCAAAGTAACCGTTTACTATAATAAATTAAATATATCAAAGAAATAATAGTTTTTAGTATATAAAAATCAACGGCATCCTCGACGAGGCGACCGCTCCATTTTTGGGGAAAAGAAAGACTTGCACGAACGAGACAACGAATAGTATTATTGGAAGTAAGGGTACTATTGAAGTTGGGGGGGCAAAATTTTTTTGGGTCATTTTTGGGCTAATTGGTCAGTTTTTCTCTGGCTTAGGCTTAGCTTAGCTTAGTATTGGCTTGGCTTAGGCTTAAGCTTGACTTAGGCTAGGCTTAGAACTAGTTTAACCTAGGCTTAGGCCTATGCTTAGCCTAAGCCTTAGTACCAGGTCCTTAGCTTGGCTTCGCCACAGCATCATTGCTTTTGGCTTTGACTTAGCTTTGTTCAAGCTCAATTTAACTGTGCTTCGGCTTAGCTTAGCTTAGGAGTTGAGTATTGCGCTGGATTAGCCACGAAAAACTGACCAATTAGCCCAAAAATGACCCAAAAAAAATTTTGCCCCCAACTTCAATAGTACCGAAGTAAGTAATAAAATGAATTCAATTCAATATATTTAACTCTATTAGGTGCGCCTGCGCTTCGAGGAGAAGCTGAACTCGAGGATTTTGTAAACAATACAGGTTATAGAAGTTTTTGAAAATATACAAAAGCTATTTAGGGCCGGCTTCTGTCTGCTTCAAGGCGCCAATGTCATTTGTCCGCTATAGTAATGGCACTTATCAACCGACGGAGGCTGAGTGTAATGCCACGAGTAATGGTAAGTAGTCACGAAGATTAAGATAAACTTTTATAAGCTTTAGAAGCTAAGAAATTACCCGATGAAAACAAATATATCCATTTTTCAGCCCATTGTGTCGTTGTGATCGGCCACGGCGTCGAGCTCGGCCTTCCCTACTGGATTTTTAAAAATAGTTGGGGTAAGTTGTCTCTTATAGAATATGCTGTTAAATACGTATTTTTACTTTTTAAGTTTTCTCTAAATTATAAAAAAAACTATTTCAGGCGTAAGATGGGGCGAAGACGGCTATGGTCGTTTTGTAAAAGGCCAAAACGCCTGCGGTTTCGAGCGCCGATCGGTGAACGGACCACTTCTTGCCACTAGCTAAACTATGTGCTTTTCTTAATTTAATAGTGCTCAACTTATTTTTATTATTGCTCTTTGTAAACCCTCTTGCCTATGGTGCCTTTATATAACGCTGATCTCAAGCTTCCATGCCCATTTCTGGTGTAAATATCAAACCGTTGTGTTCATATAAAACCTGGGTATTTTATCATGGACTCTACACGATTGAAAAAGCTTTCAATGAAGAGATACACGAGTTTTCTAACTTTTTCAGACGCTGTTATTCCTTTCCGCGACGATACTTTACACGATCGTCCTTCGTGCGCTCTGCGCTATCTTACCCATTGTATTACGCGTGGGAATTTCCGCCGCCGTTTCAAGTTTTTTTCACTTTTACTTGATTTTTATTTTATAGTTTTGCTAAAGTTTTCGTTACGTTGAAAAAGAATATAACATTTCGTGGCTCGAGCCCGCTTGTTTCTAAAGCTTTTCCATTCCTTTCTCTCTGTGGGCCGTTACAGTGCCGTTTTTTCCTTATCTTTTGGTGATCTACTTTTCTTTCCGCTGTTTTATTTCTGCTAGAGCTTTCAGAAGCGCTGAGTTTGCTGCTTTGGGATTGTTGGGCGTGGAAATTTCAAACTTTTCGTTTTTTTTTAACTGATTTCCCAGCAGAAAGCCAGCCAACCGGATTCAGGTTGATTTTTGTGGATTCTCTTTCCTTCTGCTCCTCTTTCCAAGCTATTTTTTTGCTTTACTAGCCTATGCAAAAGCCGTGAATGCGCCGTTTTGGCTTTTTTTGTAAAGGGGGTAAAAATTTGTTGTTTTAGAACGGATTTTCTTGCATGAAACCCCGCTAATCCTTCTATTTCAAGCCGCCTCAATTTTTACGTTTTGCACCTTTATTTTCCTGATCTTTTAGTTGCAATAAACGTCGTTTCTAACAAAAGCCTCACATTTCGCGTCTATTCCTTCCAGTTTCATCAAATCTTTTTAGCGAACCCGAAGCCTCAATCAGCGCCTCAAAAGCGCCCCAGGGAAAGGCTGACATGGCAACAAATGCCAAATGGAGTACCCCGAATCAGTATCCGTGGTAATAATTGTTTGTTTTTTTAGTTTTTAACGTAAATTTCAGGTACGTGGGCACGAACTCGGCTTTCATCACGAAAACGCACGCGGCTTCGGACGTGCTGGCAACGCGGAGGAAGGAATTCGCAAGGCTCACCAACGAAATGTGGGACTACTACGTGGAGAATAGGGAGGCAAGTTTTATTTGCTAGATTTATTTTTTCAGCCAATCAAGCAATTGGCCGCGAAGAAAACTCTGCTTCGCCGGATCGGGAAAACAATGCGAAGACAGGTAGGGGCTTAGATTTAATCAAAATTCCTTTTTTAGATCGAGAACTTTTACGGCTTCCCCGAGTACGTGCTACTGATGTCAGGTAAGAGTTACCGTGCTTTTTCGGTCGGCGTGAACAAGGGGAAGTGCTAAATTTTCTGATTTCACTTGGATTTGCGTATTCATAAAAGACAATACAGTTTTTAGCCGTTTCTTATCACGAAAAAGATTAAAAACATAATTAATATCGAGAAAATTCAAAACTTTTTGGCAATTTGCTCATGTTTTATGCATAGTCGGGGGCCGAATTTTTCTCTTACTTTAGAAATGTCTGGTCATGTAATACTAGGTATTTTATTACGCTTTTTCGTAAAGTTAAAGGGATACCGACGGCATAGTCAATCGGTTACGCGCTGGAAAGAAAATGCCTCTGCGCCTCTCCCCAGGGCGCGCTCTCTGCCCTGTTGGCTACTTGCCAATTTGTTGATGGGGGGGATCGACACATGCCGTCGGCAGCCCTTTAACTATCGTTCAAGTGCGCAAGCTTAGGCAGTGTTTTTTTAAACTTGAAATTCTGGTCGAAAAATCCGATATTTTGTATTTTTTTTGACAGATTTTGCTTCAGGAATTTTGACCGTTTGGAAACGCCGCCTATTTCTATTACAAGATCCGAAAGCATCCTTTCATTAGTGTTTTTAGGCAGCACCGTGAGCGGGCTGGCGACGAAGGGCTCCGACGTCGACATGGTGATCCTCGCCGATCCACTCCGGGGCCAGCCAGAGCAAGAGTGAGCAACTACAGGATTTCTCCAAAAAAAAACGACCCCTCTAACGGCTCGATTTTGATAACTTAGGCAGCACTAGAACCCGGGCATATGGGCTTCTAGAAGAGGCATATAAACTTGGAAATTGTCATTTTTAAGCCCGGAATTATCTGCGAAACCGGAAACGCGCAGGAATTAAATTTTTTGGAAAAACTTTACACTTATAGCGATAATGGTTTTTTGTATTTTTATTTGAGGTTTTTTGTCTATTAACGTCCTAATTTTTCAAATTAATTTTGTTTTTAAAATTTGTGATTTTTCAGATGTCAACGGGCATACCTGCGCGATCTGGCGTATCGCATCAGCCAGGACCAGTCGTTCCAGGACCTGATCGGCGGCATGCCCCTAGCCATCAACGCCAGCGTAACTTTATTTTATCGAAATTAAAGCTTGTAAAAATTAGATTCCGCTGCTGAAGTTCGTGGCCGACATCAGGGGACACCCGGTGGAGTGCGACCTCTCCGTGGCGTGCAATCAAGAAGCCTTCGTCTCCTCCCACCACAACTCCTTCCTCATACGCAAATATGTCGAGTACGTTTGATACTTTTTACGTCTTGAAGCGCTGGTGCGTTATCGGGGGTTGGGGCTAACATTTTTCTTTTTTTTCCGTAGAAATAATGATATATTTTGAACTATAATTTTTTCTTAATGAAATCCGAAGTTTTTATAACAGTTCACGCCGATTTTGGATCAATACACAGTACATTTCTAAAAACTCTTCGATTTTTGTTCCATAAAATTTCGATTTCTAGAAATTTTCAAGGGAAAAACTCGTGATCAAAAGTGCATCAAAATGATAATTTTTCAAGATTCGTTAATTTTCAGAAATGTCTGCATAACTATTTGGTGATAGCGATGGGATTTTGAATTTTTGGACATAAAACATCCACAAATTTTAGCTAAGCTTTCGAAAATGTGGACAATTTGTCAAAAATAGAGAAAAATCTTTGGCAAATTTTAATTGTTTTTAATATTTGTGAACGACTTTTTGTTAATCGAAAATCACAAAAAAAAACTAGAAAAGGTTTCTCTTTTTATTAGAAAGGTTGTTAAGAATAAAGCAAGGTACTCTCTCCCCCCCGCTAACGAACCAGCCCCCTTGGTCCGCTAAAATTTTTTTAGGTTTGACGCTCGGGTGGCCCCGCTGTGTATGATCGTCAAAAAGTGGGCGAAAAACTACGGCGTGTACGGCCCGATGCACTGTCGCTTTAACAGGTATCCAAATCTTTCAATTACGCATTACAAAGTAACTATTTTCTAGTTAATACTATCAATTATTTGTTCAATTTTATATTTTATTTATAGAAAATTCAGGATCTCTGAAAGTTAGCAAATTTTAAAAAGAAGGCCTGCAAATTTAAATTCGATTTAAAAGAATAATTAAAAATTGGGAAACTTGTTTTTTACCTGAAAATGGCACCTTTTTAGTTATGCCATTGTGATGCTCGTGCTGCACTTCTTGCAGTGCGGCGTCAGCCCGCCGGTGATCCCCAACCTGATCCCGCTGTACCCGGGATATTTTGCCTGTGGTGTAAGTTGGATTTTCATTCAGTTAAAACTATTTTTTTTAGGAGCAAGATTTCCCGCACCGCGTCGACTACCATGCGCCGCCGCCCGATCCGTTCCCGGAGGACGAGCGTGAGTTTTTAGAAGGGTTTTTGGTTCTGGTTCATTAGCGGGGGGGTGGGGGAGTTGCGACTTTTCCTATTTTTCAGATAAAAATTATCAAGATTGATTGTTTTTTTGAAAAATTGACTTTTAGGATTTCAGGAAAAATTTTTAAAGCTTGTTTTTGCAACTTTTTGGCACTCGGAAGCTGCTGAAAACTATAAAAATAATAGTTTTATTCTTTGGAGGTTCGACTGCATAAAGAAGCTACCCCCCCCCCCACCCCCGCTAACGAATTAGCTCCTAACTAATGTTAATTTTAGCCCGAAACGAAAGCAACCTGGGCGAGCTGTTCTACCTCTTCTGCTTGTACTACAAAGAATTCGACTTTGCCGCCACGTCCATCGACATGAGAAAGGCCGAGGCGAGGCCCAGGGATGATCGGTAAGTAGAGCTTTCATGCGCTCACCAATTTTTTCCATTTTCAGAGACAGAGACCAACCCCAGAGCCCGCTGGTGGTGCTGAAGGATCCGATCGACACGCACAACCCCGCCCGGACGGTTCGCCGGAAGAAAGACGACATTTGTGAGGACCCGATCTGCGTTGATCTCCACGGCGGCCCGATGCACCCCTTCGAACAGATCAAGGACTCCTTCAGGTAGTTTTTGTTGTGCTTTTGCGTTATCGGGGGGACGTCTTTTTTTCTTAGGATCCGATTTTTCTAGCAAAAGAAACTATGCCGCTCTTGCTATCAACTATAATAAAAAAGTAGAGACGTCTGTCTGTGTGTGTGTCTGAAGCCGAATTCAACTCGAAGGAGAAAGGAGCTAGAGCTTAGGTCTCTTCGGATTCGGATAGAGCGTGGTCAGACCCCCAATAAACCCCCAAACTGAGAAAAAATTATGAAAAATTTTTGTTTAAATTATTAAAATTAACTTTGAAAGTTTTTTCCTTAGTAAAAAGGGAGGTTGGGGTGATTTTGGACATAGTGAGCCAGGTCGCGCGCGTTTCGTGGATGAAAATTTTCACGGGGGATTCCATTTCTTTCTTTTCTCTCATTCCATCCGGTCGGTCGTTGTTTTTGTTTTTTAAGGGGATTTTGGCTAGGGGAGGTATCTGAAGCCATCGGGAAGGTATTTTGGTAGTTTTTTAAGGGCATTTCGGCTAGGGGAGGTATCTGAAGCCATCAGGGAGGTATGTAGGTAGTTTTTGAAGGGGATTGGGCTATGGGGGGTATCTGAAGCCATCAGGAAGGTATCGAAGTATTTTTTGAAGGGGTGGCTATGGGGTATCTGAAGAGGTTGGTGTGGGTATTGGTGAAGATAGAGATGTAATGTGGTGGCGTAGAACTTGGAGGGTAGCCCGAAGGCCAGCGGATTACAGTCGCGAAGCGGCTGTAATCGGCTGGTTCCAAAATAAAACGTTTATAAAACAATCTGGTTCTTTAGGATTCCCGGGGGAAAGTATTCCCGGGGAAACCAATTTTTTTCCTGGTGGTCCCGGTTGACCTAGTAATCAAATATAAAGTGTTTTCGAATTGTTTTTAGTAAGTTTTAACTATATTTAAAGCAGAATAACTTTCAGAAAAATTTAGAAAAATGTTTGAAAAAGTCGAAAATTTGGTCATTTTGGGTCTATTTTTCGACCTAATTTTTAATTTTTTACATTTTTTTTGGTTAAAATGTGTGTAGTTTTTATGCACAGGAATAGTTAAAAACAATTTAGAAACGCATCCGCAATTTATACAAAAATCTAGGCTTTCGCCGAAAAAAATTTGGTTTCCCCGGGAATACTTTCCCCCGGGCATCCTAAAGAACCAACAATCTTTTTCGGGCAAAAACGCGCTAATTCGCAATTTCTTGAGCAAAATTTCGGCTTTTTGAGACATGATATAGGTTTTGTAAATAGTTTTCTCGGTTGAATAGCTAGATATTTTCAGAAGAACTATGAAAAGTGAAACGTTCCTAAGCTGTCCCTAATAAAAAAACTCTAGTGTTTCTAAAAAAGAATGATACTCGGCGAAAATGTCCGATTTTCAAGATTTGTTAGTTTTTAGTAGCTCTGCCACTTGAAACATAATTAAATTTGCTAAAAACTATCAAAGTAGTTGTAATATGTAATATTATGTATCTAAAGTTATTGAAAAGATTCGTCCTCCCCATGATAATGCACAAGAACTATTCTTTTCACATCTGCTCTCGCTAATTGGGGGCGAAATCCAGCTCTAACGTTCCTTTTTCAGCGCAATGGTCCACCACTTCGAAAGCACCAACGTGCCGCTCCAGTCGCTCAGCCGGCTGATGCTCGAGAATATTTGGGGCGATTGAATATCACGGAGGGTCTCTTTTTATTTTGGCAACCCAGATGTTTTGTACCGGTGCGGGTATATTTTGCCTTCTCGATCTTTTGTGATACGTTGCTGCTTTTGGAATAAATTTTATGTGCAAGTGCATTTGATTTTTTTGTTTTTATTAGTGGTGGAAAAGGTCCAGGAGAAGTTTATTTGAAGCATTTGAAGGCCGGTTTGAATACCGTACGGATACAACGGCATTTGTTAACTGTCCGTTATAATTATAACCGGCAGTTATAACCGGCTTGGAAAGCATTCGACAATTGCTGCATCACCACCGGAAGTTTTCGAAGGTTTGAGCTCTCCGCGCTCTCATTTGTAGTTTGGATTCTGCGGGGCAGAGCCGGAAATTTTGGAGAAAAGCTGCTGTTTCTAATTCTACAAATCGTACAATCTCAAAATATTGTTTAGATACGTCTTTTTTGATAGGAAAATAGAAAACTGCAGCCTTGACATTTCCTAAACAGTTATTATTAGTGGTGAAAATTTGTAAAAACTTGCTTTTCGAAAAAACCATTTAGGAATTCTTCTTTAGAAAGCGAGCTAAATTATTGAGCCCTACACCTTCCTTTTTATCAATTTTTCTTTGGGGGCCATTCATTACTTCTTTTTCCAGGATGACAAGCTATATCACGCGCGCGGAGCGCTCCGGGTCCATCTTCTTTCGCGTCACCGGCTTGATACGCTCCGGGCAACTGTCGTGGAACGATCGGCCACTATGGTAAGGTTCTTCCTTTAAAATAGAATGTTTTAACTTTAAAAAGTTGATTTTTGGGGCTCTATTTACTCTTTTTTTTTCAGGTACGACGTCTATACGGCATTCCCGCCCCTAAAAAGCCCGAGCTGGGACGCGAAGCACGAGAAACACGACGAGCCCGTCAGGAAGTTGATGTACAAGGAGGATTTGATAAGAGCGTACGCTTTCTGCACTTTTTTCTAGAGTTTTTCGTTTTTAGGAAATTCTACCGAACCTACCGCCAAACGGCCGGCGTCGTGAACGTCATCAGCGAGCAGGACAGCGTCTCCCAGCAGTTTATCAACGAGTGGCAAGCGCAGAAGAAGCAGAACCCGGATTCAAGTGAGTGATAGGTTTTTGCGCAAAATTTTGTGTGGCAAGCTTTTCAAAAGGGCCTAGTTTTGCTAAACTAAATTGGGGAACTTTTTTTTTGAACAATTCATCACTTTTTCTAAACGTAAAACTGTCAAAAAAAAAGCGTTTTTTAAGCAAAACAGACCAATTTTTACCAAAACTCTAGGCATCCAAATTTTTTCTGAGCTTCCTAGTAGTTTTTCATTTGATATATAGGTAAAGCTTTTCAAAAACGCTATTAAAATACTTGCTAGGTGTTATTGGACAGATCCAGCCCTTTTTCGATTTCAAAAGCAAGTGAAACTCCGCAATTTGGCTGTTTCAGACGATGACCAACTATTCGACAAGACGACAGACGCGCTCGAGGCCCAAGGCATCGCGCTACGGAAATGATTGTCGATTCTGATCTCACGGGTGCTCGTCGTTTTACTGTTTCTTTTTCTTGTGCTTTGATATCTAGGTGATAGCTGTAAATAAATAGTTTTTCTTGAACGGCTTGCATTTATCGTCTCTTTGTGTCGATTGCGCTGTATATTCTGGAAATGGTGGTTTAGCCGTGAAATCCGGGTGATTTGTTGAAGTGTTACGTTATACTTACTTATACCTTAGACGCTCCATTCAACATGTCCAAACAACCAAAGCCGGCGGGTGTCGATTCTAGAAAGGTAAAAGCTACAAAAATGCCTTTTTATTTTGTTTTAGATGTCAGCCGAGCTATTTTCGCTGACGTACGGGTCGCTGGTGGCCGAGCTTTTGAAGGATTACGAGGATACCAAGCAGGTCAACCAGCAGCTGGACAAGGTAATCTCTTTGCGCCGGCTTTTTCACTTTTAGAACCTTAGTTTTCAGTTTTCTCTTTAATTAATTTTCTAGCCTTTCTAAAACTTCTTTTCCAGATCGGCTTCAACATGGGCATCCGGCTGGCCGACGATTTCCTGTCAAAGCAGGCGACGGTGCCAAAATGCACGGATTGCCGGCAAATGGCCGACGTGCTGGCGAAGACTGCGATTCCCGCTTATCTAGGTGGGATAAATTAATTCTGATTTTACCCGACTTTTTTTTAGGCGTCCCAGCAACGATATCCAGCTGGGGAAATAGCGATCGCGAGTTCTCGCTGGTGCTCGAGAACAACCCGTTGACAGAGTTCGTCGAGGTGAGCGTGGACCCAAAATTGGGCGGTGCTTTGCGTTTTGCGGAAGGAACAATTTATTCCTCAGTGAACCCGTACGGCCCTCTAACGACATATAATCCATTTAATAGTGTTTTACACCGTTTTCAGCTATGAAAATCTCGTAAAAATCATGAAAAAAAAATCGTAATTTTTTTTCAAAATTGAAGAAAGACGGCCAAAACGGCTTGACTTTTGTATTCAAGAATTCCAATCAAGTTTTTATCATTGCTAGAAATCAAAACCTGCTAAAAACACTAAAAAAAGACACGTTGATGTATTTATTACTAGGTTTAATCATTTTCGAGTATTTTAAACGTAAAATTATGTTTCCCTATGCCAAACCGGTAGCAGGAATTTTGCTAATTTCGATCAGCCATGTTTTTTTCGAATTCAAAGGCTCGATTTTAGTTGCCCCCAAATCTCTCCACCTTGCACTACTCGCAAGTGTTGGCCGGCGCAATTCGAGGCGGACTCGAAGCTGTACATATTAAGGTATCACAGTTTCCTGCTCTTAAAAATACCTATTCCTTGTTAGGTTATAACGACGGCCACCGAGAACCCCTCCAACACCGAGATCCGGGTACGCTTCATCGAGATTCTCAAGGACAACCTGCCGGCCGGAGAAGAATAGCTAATGGTATTCTGTATTTTTTTTCCATTTCCGCATTGCCCATCTCAACAATTCCCCCCTGTGCACCCTGCCATGTGATATCGCCCCCCGCGTCGCCTGCGTAATTTATTGTGACTTTTTGCGTAATAGAAATTCCACGGCTAGTTGTTGCGTTTCGACACTTTATTCGATCGCAGCACAGTCTGACATCGACACAATAATCACACAGAAATCAATGGGAAGAATGGTGTGTTTTTGTTTAATCGGTTGCTCGAGTTGGGGCGCATCTAGCCGGCGGGCAGCGGGCTGAACTTGTTGAGGAGCTCGTCGTTGAACTGGCTCAGGTATACGTGGTGCTCCTGCCAGAAGCGCCGCACCTGAATTGATACGGTTTGCTCGGCTATTTTCGATTTTCTAGTTTCCAAGAGGGAACCAAGATGCTAGAATTTACTGAGTCTCTTTTGCATTATCGGGGGGGAACTTCGTTTATTTTCTTCTGCTAATCAATAACCTGTTTCTACAGTAGAAAGCAAATTATAGATTTTTTTCGACCAAATTTCCGATTTCGAATATCATCACAAGTTTCTAAAAAGGCGTTCGACTTGAAATCTAGCTGATGCTTATCAGAAACGCTTTTAAAAGATTTGCTATTGCTCTATGGATCCCTCCCCCCCGATAATGCCCAGGAACCATCAAATTCGATTACCCCTCGGCCGCCCCAGTTCGGGTCACGAGTAGAGCGCAGCAGCTCGCACAGATCCTCAAGCGTCGCCCGCATCTCGTCCATCGTGTACTGGCACTGGAGCTGCATCAGCGGCGTCTAGACAAAAATAGTTTATAATAATGCTATTAATTAAAGTGACTATTTCTAATTTGATTAAATTCGAAATTCGCACCCATTCACGATTCTCGGTCTCGACGATAAGCCGGATCACGGCCGCGGCCACCAGCGACGGTTGACGGCCGGCGAGTTTCAGGGAGAGCGCTACAAACTGGCCTTTATCAGGGAATAAAGCCTACTGGTGACAACGGCGAGCATTGTGGCGTAGTCGGCGCGCTCGTACCTCTGCTCGCGCGACATCTCCGGGCCTTCGGTGGCTTTCTGAAAAACGCGAAATAGTCTGCATTCCAAAACGGTTCCCTTACCAATCCCAGCTGTACAAAGTCGTAGATGGTGTGCCGGCCCACCTCAAAAGCGCTGATGCGGAGCAGCTGGAATAGAAGATTGCGTACTACCATATTAAGCCGAAAAGCCTACGTCGCGCTCAAAGATCAGCATCTGGTCGTAATCCACGCTGGAGTCCACCTCGAGCGGGCACTAAAACGTGAGGAATAAAAAATGGAACGTGGAAAATTAAATTACCTGGGTCTCAAACTTGACGGCAATCTGCAGCGCGGCCAAGCCGAGCGCCTCGAATGCGCGGCCCCCGGACTCGGTGAGCACCTGGAAAAACGGGAATGAGCAACAACAAACACCAAGACGTGTACCGAGAGGAAGCGGTCGGCCAGATGGCAGGCGATGAAGTAGGTGTTGTAGGGGTGCTGGTCGATCTGTTTGAAGCTCCACACGCTGTGCACCCAGTCGAGGAACAGCAGGCGGCGCCGCGCGTTGAAGCACGAGATTCTGTAGTCGGCGGGCGGCACCTGACAAAAAGGGAATCTGAAAGAGATATTTTCGAGCGCGTAGCAAACTGTACTTTTCCAACTTTTTCCAAGGAAAAACTTCACATCGTGTGATTAAAAAAATACAAAAAATTCGGATTGGTCGACCAAAAAATTTGGCATTAAAAATTTTTCAAGTTTTGATTTTTAAATTTTGTAAAAAAATCGCTGCCTTTCTGAAATTATAGTAAAAAGCTGGTTAAGGAATTACGAAAAATAGCCAAGCAATACCTGGTACGACTTCATGTAGTAAAAGTTGTCGGTGGCCATCTCGATGTCGCGATCGTCGCCCACCTTCAGCATCGGCCAGTTCAGCGCCGGGGGCTTGGGCACGGCGCGTGGGGCAGCCGTCTGAATCCTGGAATTTCGGCAAAGGTGCAAGACGCTACCTCGGTCACCCACAGCTTGTTCTTCAGCGTGCTGACCAGCCGGTGCATGATGTCGTCGCGCTAAAAAAAACAGAGTTGTAGGCAAGGGCAAAATTTAAGGAATTACCCCGCGCTCAGGAGGACGAGCGGATGCGGAACGGCGGCTGGGCGGGAGGCGCATCATGCGGCTGCCGCGCTCCAGCTGAAAATGGCAATTAGGTGCTTTTGCAATATCGGGGGGATTTTTCCTTAGGGTTCGGATAAGTCGCTTAATCGGCCAGCCACGACAGGCTTTGCAATAGCGGTTTTGATACACTTTTATACGTAAACAAAGTCCAAAAAATATTAAATCTGGGGATGCTTAATTTTAGTCAAAACCTACATTTTTAAATTTTCTAAGAAGTTGGGATCAATAACCACTAACATAGTATGACAAACAAACTACAAAACGTAAAAAGTAATAAAAAAAATCCGAAATTCTTGAGAACACCGAGCAGGCTAGAAGGTCTGGAAGCTGGCAATTTTGATCGAAAATCCAAATCTTCGTTGAAAACAGATATTTTATGATAAAAACCTGAACTCAAAAAAAACATTAATAACCATTTAAAAAGCTAGAAAGCACCGACAAATTTGACGGGGCCCTGCGGGAGGAGGCGAAGGCCGTGGCGCTTGGGCTCGAGGGCGTCGGGCACGACATCAATGCCCATGTTCGCCTCGACCTAAAACAGGTAGTGGTTGTACCTAATTCAAAGAAATCACGTACGCTGAGGGAATTGCTGCGTCGCCGCGGGAAGCGATTCATCCGGGCAGCTGTGGTGGAGCCTGGCCGCGAGTGGCGAGGACCGATTGTTGGCGCCGGAGGGTTCGAGATGATCTACGTATTCGGCTCATCTGAAAGTTCAAAGATTATTCGACTTCCGGTGATGGAAAATAGAGATTGAAATCTAAGAAAAGGAGATAGGAAAAGCTAGGAAAAAACCCATCAAAGCCAGCAGGAATCTATGCAATGAAAAAATGTAATCAGGGAAAAGAAGTAAAAACCAAGTGAATTTCGGGTAATAAAGCACGGCAAAAATGTTGGCGACCTGAGGTTCAATTGGTTTCATATGCTATAGCTTCTGCACTTGTCCTTGTGTACCTCACTCCCGCTCGGCAAGTTCAAGAGGTATAACCTCAAACATATTTCAGCTCAAACATCTATTTCCTTTGCTTAATTCGATCAATTTCAAGCGAAGCCCAATTTTAAGCTCCCAGCCCTACGTACAAAAAGCATTTTTGGCTAGCGCTAGCAAGAAAAATTCCAACAAGCCAACAGTCGACAGAGAAGTCCAGTAGGTGAACGACGTCTGCTCGGGCGAGTAGGTGTTCACGAAATAAAAACCGCCAAATAATTTAAGCTGCTTCAAAATTACAATTGTTCGTGCAAGCGGTAAACGTAATCTGCAACTGAACGTTTCCCGCACAACACAAAGCGTAGACTGCCGTCGAAGCCGAATGCACACAACACTCTAGCTTCTTCAAAAATACAAATGTCATGCAAGCGGTAACTGCAAACCTCAAATCGCTCGAGTCACAGAAAAGTCTGAAAACGCGCAAACGCCACGACATCGGCCTGTGTGTGTGCGCGGTAGATGTTCACAAAATAACTCTAGCTGTTCAAAACTACAAATATGTCGTTGTATTACAAATACCATATTTTAGATCCCAAAAATACAAATCGGTCCCGTTCTCTGTAAACTGCTCGCATCACAAAAAATCTCGTCGTAAACACCAAATCACGAAACTTTATTGAAAATAAACGCTTTAACAGGAGCAGGGGCAGCAGTAGCAGCAGCAATAAAATGGAGGAAGCATGATGATGATGACGGGGGATTTAGAAAGAGGAAGGCGGGAGAATCAGGACTATTCTACGGATACGAGCACTACTAGATGAAAGTGACGCGGGCTGTGGGGGGAGGAGATACCTGTATTTGCACCGGGAAATTCTGCGCGTCACGCGCAAGCGCTTACGCGCGCGGGCAGAAATCACTTTTTAAATTTACGGGGGTGGGCGGAAGCGTTCAACAGTAAACGGGGATCATTTTTGGGGGGTTTGTGTGGCAAGATTCGGTGATGATATATCCCAGCTGATTCAACTTCAACGCCAAAAAAGTGTGGTTCTGTGCTGTTAGCGGGGGGCAAAATTTTTAGCTTTATCGGCATCTAAATTTCTTAAAATTTTCGTCAATTTTTATTAATTTTTGACAAAAGTTCGACATTTTTTTAATGAAAATATGCTTAAAAAAACCATCAAAATAAATTTTTCCAGAATTTAAACTCCCCCCGCTAACAGCACAGAACCGTAATTTTCACCAGCCGAAAATGAGGGCTTACAACAAAGGAACAGAGGGGACCCGTGAGAAGTGAAAAGTTGAGATTGATGGGGTGGAGATGGCGGAGAGGTCGGCTTATTCGTAGTAGTGGCTTCGCGGCGGCGGCGGCCCAAAGTTTTGGTCATCTAAACAAAAAAAGTTATATTTTAATTCGTACCAAAAACTCACATCCTGGCGGAGGTCCATGCCAGCCGGGCGGAGGTCCTTGAGGTGGTAGGCCTCCTAAAGAAAGGTATAATTCGGCACCTGAGAAAATTCATTTTTAGTTCTTTTCCATTATCGGGGGGGATTCCTCCTATAGCTCCGATAATCCTAGTAATAATAACAAGCGCTCTAATATTAGCTTATTCAAAAATTTAAACAAACTTAATAATCTCAAAATTAATACCTACACGAAAAGTCTCTAAAAACCTTACAAAAATCGTTAAAATTTCAATTCCGAATTGTTTTTCGAATTGTTGTTAAATTTATATTGGAAAATTGTTCTACCTATTAAAAAAAGTTATAAATTTTAGGTTCAGAACAGGGATTTTTAAAACACTAGAAACAATGCCAGAAAAATTGGAACCGGAGGAAAAAGTTCGTGTTTCGCCGCCCCCTCCCCCCGATATTGCAAAAGCACTCAAAAAATGTAAAAATATTCCGATTGACTAGAAATTTTTACAAATCGAGAAAAAACCAACTTCCCCGCCCTCGTCCGCGCATGCCGCCCCTTGGCGGCGGCGGCGAGTCGCGCATGAAGCCCATATTCGGCGGTGGAGGTGAGTCTCGGGCAAACGGCGACTGCTCCATCATTCCACGACCGCGTCCGCGTCCGCGCCAGCCGGGTGGAGGACCTGGAGGATGGCCTGAAAAGGAAAATACAACCAATGGATCGTTTTGAAATCAAGGTCGTCCAGGCGTTAAAAATCTCGAGAAGCGTACCTCTTCCCCTTGGTGTTCCTCTACCGCGTCCTCGACCGGGTGGTGGCGTGCCGTAGAAGCCGTTTTCCGGGTGTTCGCCCGACGGTCCCTGCCAGCCGTTGTTTGGTGGAGGGAAATCGTGATGGGGCACGAAGTGGGCAGGTGGACCCTGAAAAAACTCTGGTATTTGTGTGTTAGCGGGGGAGAAGACCAAATTTTACGTTTTCACATCAGCCTGTCTGGTAATATGACAAAGTACGTTTTTATCTGTCCATAAACAATTTTTTAAGCGCTAGAAAATCCCCAAACGTTTTTTTAAATTGCTGAAAAGGCGGAAAGCTTACAAAATTTTTCATTTTAAAATAATTTTTTCAGCCTTTGAATTTAAAATTTTTTCAAAAGTAGTTTAATCCATCTGGCAAAATCCTTTTAAAAAAGCCTTAAGGTAAAATTCTTTAAAATTGTTTTCCAATAAATCCTTTCCAGCTATCAAAACAATTGACGAACCGCATCCGGCGGATACCCGAAGCGCATGGCCGGTGGCGGGCCCTCGAAGTCGAAGTCGTCGGCAGCAAAATGGCTCAGCATTCGCGGGGAAGGGGTGAACCGCTGTTCGCGCCCGTTGTCAAGATAAGGCGCCTAAAAATAAGAAAGTTCAAATTTAACAAAAAAATCCAAACCATAGCTTTCGGCGGGGGTGGAGGCCCTCGGAAAAACATGGTCTCCGGGCCCAACGATGATGGTGGGGGTACCGGGTCGGGAAGTCTTGGCGGAGGCGGGGGCGGTGGAGGGGCCACGAGCAGGGACTCGAGCTTGGAGGACGCTAAAGAAAGAAGTATAGAAGAAAATAATTTTTCGTACGTGGTGGTATTGGAGGCAGAGCAGGTGGAGGAGGAGGCGGAGGCGGAGGAGGGCCAGGTGGACCGGGTGGGCCGAGGGCTAGGCTCGAGAACGTTGCTGAAAATAAAGCATGAATTGGAAATTTCGCATCAATTTTCAATTCAAATCATTTAATTTAACTTAATATAAATTTTTACTTTTAAAATTTAATTCCACTTAATTGATTCAAAGCTTGCGTTCAAAAAATTCAGCTTCATCTGATTAAAGAAAAACCACTACTTACGAGGAGGTATTGGTGGTGGCCAAGAGGGCGGTCCTGATGATGTCGTAGCAGCTGGTACGGTCGGAGGTGCTGAAAATTCGGATTCACGAAGTACTTTTGACATCTAATGACGAAATCATTAACTGTAGAAAATTCACCTCCACTATTGACGAAGGCCGGCGGCAATGGAGGTGGTGGCGGCAACGGGGCTTGCCCAGGGCTGCTCACCATCATCGGAGAGCCTAGAAACGTCAGCGTAAAGCCGGAAACTTCATAAACATTCATAAAAAAATATTAGAATTTAAGCAAAACTTTGTTTTTGTATCAAAATCTATCCAAGCTATGAAACAATTGAACTTCTCGGAAATCAACGTATGGCTTTTTAGCAGAAAATAAAATCTTGCTACAAAAATCTTATTTCAATTATTAAAAATGCCTTTGATGAATATTTAGTAATCAGATTTTGCTAGATATTTATAAGCTTCGCAACGTCCCTTCGCTAACAGACCAGTACCCTCAAAACAAGCTTTAATTGTAAAAAGGGAAACTTCAAAATATCGTTAAATTTTAATTTAATGTAAAACAATACATGCACTTTCTTCTCCCTCTTCCTCGACCACCATCTTCTCGTCGCTCTCAACGTCGCGCGTCGGCTCGTTGTTTTCAATTGTAGCCGCCGGTGGTTCGCCATTTGCCTCCTCGTCCTTTTCGGCCTCGACAACTGGCGGCATTTCGGCCTAAAAACACAAATAAAATATAGAAGGCGTGTGGACGAACCAGCATCTTTTCGAGACCGTCGCCGGTGAACGTCGAGTAGCCCACTTCGAGGGTGTCCATCGAAGGATACTTTGGGAGCGTTTTCGGTGGTTCCGCATCCCGTTCCTGAAACGGAATTTATATTAGTTTAATGGTCAATAGTTAAATTAGCCGCATATTAAAAAAATTGTTTAAATAGGGTTCAAACGGCTGGATATAAAGAACTTACTAACCGGACCAAAGCTAAAACAGCGAAAAAAGTAAGCAAAAAATCATAGTTAAAATTATTTAATCTTTAAAAATAGCTCCGAACCTAAAAACCAAATCATAATTTCAATTATTTAAATCCGTTAAAAAAGCGGAAAACTTAATAACAATAAACTCGTAATTTAAATCCTTTCAATTGTTTAAAAATAGCTCAAAAACTACTGACCGTTGGAATTGGGACGGGCTCGGCGATGGGTTCCTCGGGGGGCGAATCGGGGCTCATCGCCGTTTCCGCCGACCCGGCTTCTCTGGCAGGAATCTCCTCATCTTGCGTCAGGTCGACCTCAACCTCAGGCCCAACGATATGCACCGGACGGTTGTTGGGCATCGGACGGCTTGGCCCCGGCTGCTCGCTGGCTTTCTTCCTGTCAAAATTAAGTTAAAATCAATTAGATCAAACTCAATTAAAATGAGACAAATTAGGTATTCGTAAAATTTAATCTTCCAAGATAAACTTCCAAAAAATTAAAAAATTTCCAAGCTTTTTTTGGCTAGTTTGTCCAGCTTTTCGATGAGAAAGAGTGCCAAAACATGATGCTTTAGAAATAAAAAACCAGAATTCCCCTAATTTCGAATTCTAATTTTTGAAAGCGCACATTTTGATCCTCTTGATGTAATCCATGCATTGCGACTGCACGAGCGCCGTGTCCTCCCTCGACCGTTCCCGGAAGCTGACGAAGCGCTGCACGATCGCCAGCAATTCCTCTAAAAAACAGAAGTTAAATTAACCCAAAAAATTACCAGATTTCCAGTCATGTTGAAAAGCGGCAATGACGTCTTCGACCGTGTCTACCGGGATCGTATCGGCCGTCAGCTTGCGATTATTCCGTATGCCCTCGTAGAAGCTGAAAATTGGATTTTGAACCAAAAGCAACAAAAAAACTTACGACGCCGGGATGATTGGAGCACTCGTCACTTCCTGTTCCTCCTCATCGTCCTCGCTGTCGTCGTCCTTGGTGATGACGGGCGGCGGTATGAATACTGGGGGCGGAGCGTGACGGATGGGTGGGTCCAGGGTTACAGGTGTTGTGGTCCTGAAAATTCTGAATTACTGGGAAATTTCAGATAAATCCTACGCCGTTTCTGCTATATCTGAACGTAAAAACTGTACAAATTCTGACCAAAAAAAATATGAAAAATATCCATTTTTCTGTCAACAATCGCCGGTTTTCGACCAGTTTAAAATTTTAATCTATTTTCTAATTTTCTAATTCTAATTTTTCTCCTCATGAAGGAAAAACTCACAATAACGGCATCCGTCGCACCGGCATCGTTCCCGGCATTGGCGATATCGAACTCCGTGGCGGCGGTGGGCTGTCGTTGATCTCGGTGGTGCCGTCACGGCGTGTCCAAAACGCTGAATTTCTCAATTTGCAGAATTTTCAAAATTTTCTTACATTGCCGAACAGTCGAGCCAGAGGGTTGCGGAGTGGTAGGACGAGGTGGTGAGAGAATGGGCCTGAAGAAAAAGTAAATTTTAATGGAAATAAGATCTTAACAATAACAATTTTATAACAATAAAATGAAAATATTTTTATCAGTAAAAACCAAATATTTATGCCAACAAGTTGAAGACGTACGGCTTGAAGCTGCGGTTAATCTCCAGGTTTAGCGGCGACGCGATGACGAGGTAGGAGGTGGCTGTGGGACGCGTTGGCTCGAGCGAGCCGTACGGGAAAACGCATTCTAAAGAAATTCATAATAATCGATCCAGAATAAAACTATGAAACTACAAATTAAATTAAATTAGCTTACCTGGTGGTGGTTCCGTTCGCGCCAAGCCCAGTAAGTAGCACGCGTATTCGACGCCTCTCGCAAAGACCGACGGGATGGAGAAGCGCAGCACTAAATCAGTAAATAAAACATAGTTAAAAATTTAAATTAATTGTAACATTAAATAGATAAAAACAAATGAATTTAATTTCTCTACTCACCCGAATTCGTCTCGAACAGCTCCTTCAAAATGCTGTAGTACAACTCGGCGAGGCGGGGGTTGTGGGCTAAAAATAGGAATAGACAATATTAAGAAAAATACGACTCGCGCTGTTTTTAAAAACAGCCGAAAAAATGCCGAAATTTCCGAATTTCGTAATTTCATAATGCTGAAGTTCACAATGCGAAAATTTTAGAACTTCGAAATTTAGGAGATTTTAAGCGATTTTTATCATGGTAAACTGCGACACTCGGATATGTCGAAATTCCGAAATCTCGGCATTCTGAAATGCCGACAAGCTGAATTTGAATTTCGGCTCTACGAAATTTCGACATTCCGAATTTCGGCATTATGAAATTTCGATATTCGGAATTTCGACATTATGAAATTCCCGCACAGAAATCCCGGAATTCTGGCTTTCGACATTTTCCTTTACCTGGCTCATTAATGCAATAAACGGCGCACACGTCCCGCCCGTGCCGCTTGCTGAGGTTGTCGAGGATCTCGTAGGCGACAAATTTGTGCATTTTCTCCTAAAAGCAATCTTCCAAAAACTTAAACGATTATACCGCAGCGACCAATCTGGGTGGCAGTCGGGTCACCAGGGCAAATGTGGCTCCAAGCTGCGTCGTCCAGGGCGAGAGGCCGATTTCTGTCGATAACGGGCCTAAAAATCCATAAGAAAATAAAAATAAGGCCTGGCATTTAAATTTTGTTTGATTTTATACGTTACTAAAGACAATAAAACCACTAAATTGAAAATAAAAAACAACAATATAAAAAAGCTGCCTAAATCGCCATAAGAATGAATTTTTATTAGAATTTAGTTTAGAAAATAGCGATAACTTGTAAGTGAAAATAAATAGAATAATTTCCATTTTGACTACTAGTTTCTATTATCTGATTTTTGAAATTTATCTCACAAAACAATATTAAAATTCTGTTTCTGAAAAAGTGAGCAACTTAAAAACACACCCAGCTCCAGCATGCCCTGCCAAATCTGGTCCTTTTTCTTCGGCTGCTCCTTGCGCCACGATTCGACGCCGGCTTTCACCGGCGGCCGATTCGCCCGCCAGTTGTCTTCCTTTGGCGGAGGTTCGGCCTTTTTCCAAGATTCGTTCCGGGGTGGGGAAGCGGCCCTGGAAAATTTCTTTCTAAAAAAAAAATAAGAAAAATTACCTAGTAACAAGTGGCGAGAGGTGGCGAGCTACTGGCGACTTTTCTCGCGGCGACGGACGGCGGCGAGTGGAAAAACTAAAAAAACTGTTGATGACTGTTCAGCCTAAAAATTTCCGCAAATCTTAAAACCCGTCCAAGATTTGAAATTTTGATCAAAAATCGAGACTTTTGGTCGAAAATCGATATTATTGTATTTTTAATAGTCTGTCGTAAGAACCTTACTTTTACAATCAAAAAAAATGGAGATCTACTGGTTAATTTATATCGTAAAATGGCTCCTAAGGCAAAAGCGTCAGAAAGCATAAAAGCACCTTTCCGGACTGGTCCCAGGCGGCCGCAGCGGGCTCCTGTCCTTCTTTTTTCTGCCATCACTATTAAAGCGACGCGGCGGGGACTTGATGCGCCAGGGCGGGGAAGCGTTGGCCTTCTTGGTTTCCGGAGCATCATGTCCCTTCCAGGAGCCCCTGAAAAGTTAAGTTAAATCATGGTTTCGCAGCTCAGAATTTTGAAACACCATTTTTCCAAAGTAGCAATCCCGTAAATCACTTTTTAGAAACTTAATACTGTGAAAATCCATTTTCGAAAGTTATAATTTCAAAATCACTTTTTAGAAACTCAGAAGTCCGAACAGTAATAAATTTAAAAAATGTTTTTTTTTTCTATAATAAAAGGTGGCTTTCGGAAAGACGATTTTGGAAAACGTGCTCAAAATCCCAAAATTTAAAAATATCACTCACGTTGGTGAAGCGTCCCCTGCGGCCCCTCCATAGTCGTCATCATCATCAAAGGCTGCCGGTTGGTGTCCGTTCGAGTTTCCGAGTCGCGAGCCCAATTCCTGCCGCCGGAGCGCCTTCTTCCGCCTTCGCTCCTCCTCCTCGGCGATGAACTTCGCGTTCTCCTCGCGCTCCTTCTCCAGCCGTTGGACTTCGCTCTAACTTTTGAAGGTGAAATTGATTTTTCTGAATTCACCTCTGTTTTGGTCTTGCAAATCCGGCATCTCGCGTCGTACATGTGGGTGCCGTGCTCGAGGGTCGTGTCCCGCTCCTCGTCCAGTATCGAGTCCAACACGTTCGACTTTTTCTAAAAAAGAAATATTGGCAAACACTTGAAAAAATTACCCGATCCGCGGCCAGGGCTGCCTTCTTTGCTCGTTCTGCATTCCGCTTTACAACTAAAAACATGGGAACATAAATAACCATATTTCTAATTTAATTTTAAAATATACGACTGAAAATACCTCCTTTATATGAATTTAAATAAATAAGACGCACCATCAGATGTAGAATTCAATTCGGCGGCGCATAGGGGCTTCTTGAAGTCCTCCGGCGAAAGCGAGGCCAGCATATGAGGGGTAAGTATGCCGGTCGCAATCCGAGCATACAATCCCTAAAAATAGAATTTTAATACAATTGAACGGGTTGCTGACCTTGTTGGAGGCCTGGGTGAGCTGGTGGAAGAAGGCGGTCATCCACTGCTTGTATTTCAGGTCTTTCACCTGACCGTTCATGCGCTAAATTCGGAATTGATGTGTTTTTCTTTAGCTTTTGCATTATCATTGCAAAAAGGTGTAAAAACAGGATATTACGATATAACGAAGCTTCATAAACCAAAAATCTACCGCATAAACAGCATGCTCAATCTGCACGCCCAGCTCCTTCAGGGTCGGGGTGGTGGTGTTGAAGTCGGCTGGTTTTTTTATTCTGCAAAAAAATACGATTAAACCACCAAGCGCACTGAAATTACCTGCGGATCAAATAGTCGGCGATGGCCTTCTGGCAGCTGGCGCGGATCTGGTCGGACTCGCGCGACTGCTTCTGCCTGTCCTCGTCGTCCCGGATGCGTTTTTGCATCTAAACAAATGATAAATTTATTTTTATCTTTGCTTTACCATATCCGCTCTCTCGTGTCTGTTGAGAGGCTTGGAGCCGGATTTCGAAGAGAGCCGAGCTCGATCACTTTCACTGCGTTCGCTCAGCTTCGGGATTCGCGGGAGTGCGTTTTCATTCTAAAAAGAGAAAATTAATTTGGTTTTTTTATCGGGGGAGGGCTTCCGCTTCTCGACAAAGTTTTCACTTTCTTACGCTTTTTTCAAATTCCCTACGTAGTTTTCGGCTTGGAATAGAGCCAATTTTAACAAAAACCATCTTAGAAACTCTTTATTACGTCATTAAGATATCTAGATTTCGGAAAAATTAGTCCACGGATATTGAAAAGCTCTATTAATTTTTATAATGCCCAACCTGCTGCTTTTTTAATGCCGGCAACACGGGAGTTACTTGCGGGTTTTGCAGCAAAAATGGAAGAAGATTACCGACGGTGACGCCCTGAAAAACGCAGATTTGGTCCGAGATCATCAATCTTCGCAATCTGATTCGGGCAACAAAAGTACCTGAGAAGCAATAGACCCATTTTGCATGACCATCACATTAGCCGTTTCCTCGCCGAGCACGAGCCGAGCGCGGTCGACGATATTGTTGATACAGGCATTGCTGCAGTACTGCGTCGGTTTGCCCTCGAAGTCGTTGGAGCCGCTCTAAAAAGTTATATAACTTTTTATAATATGAAATTAAGAAAAAACCGTTTCTTATTAAAGTTTGTAGCTTAATTTGGCACCTCAGATAGCAGCTTGCCGCAGAAAAAGCATGGCTGATCCTCGGGTTGTCGTGGGCGCTTCTAAAAACGAACAATTTTTTGACTATCAAACGAATACAAACCTTTATTATCGGAGCCTCCTCCTTCTGTGCCCGTTTTGCTTCCTTGGCTCGTGCCCTCGCCTCCTCCTCGCGTTCCTTCTCCTTCCTACGCCTATCTTTCTCCTTTTCAGCTCGTTCTCGTTCTCTCTCGGCTCGTTCTCGCTCTCTTTCCTTTTCCTTCTCCTTCTGCTTCAAAGCTTCGGCTTTTTCGGCTTCCAGGTTTCTCTCCGGGACGGCTTTCTGCAAATCAGAGCTTTATTTAGCAAAAAAAATCAGGTACCTTGAGTTCAAAGGCGCTGAGCAGATCAGCATCCGACATGCCCGTCGCGTCGTAGAACGTCCATTTGGATTCATCCTGAAAATATTTTTTAAAAAAATAAGAAAAAACTAACCGCTTGCTTCTCAACTTCAGCCGTTCTTTTCACGTGCTCAACGAGGGCCTTTTCACGTTCTATGGCACGTCGATGCTTGTCAATAATGTCTAGCTGGCTTTCGTCCTGAACAACGATATTATTTCTTATGAAAACCTCGTTATCTTTACAAAGATCATTTTATCAAATACAGTGTTATAGCATATTTTCAAAAATAGAAATTCGCACAGGCCTTTTTAGACATTTAAAAAGTTTTACCTCCGGCTCTGCAACAATAGGTGGAGTCCGCGGTCTCCCGAATTCATCGAGCTCGACTTCTTGCGCTGGTTCCTCAACAGCAGACGATGTGCTTGGCCGCTGATTCTCGTCGACGGGAGCAGGAGCTGGAGCTGGCTGCTCCTCGGAGAGCTTCTTCTTTTTCTCGGCCTTCTTCTCCTCCTTTCGCCTCTTTTTCTCCTAAAAATGTACATTAAGAGCGTCGTAATCGCCAACCGCTTGCTCCTCAGCTTGTCTTTTCTCTTCCGCTTCCTCCTTGCGTTTCCGCTCCTCCTTAAAAAGCTTCTTCTTCAGCTTCTTCGCGGCTTTCGCATCGTCTGGCGTTTTCTTTGAGCTTTCAGGCCCCTTTGGCTTCTGAAAAATGGTTAATACAACAAAAACTTCGTTTCCTACCTCCGAGGTCGAGGCCGGGGCATCAGAATCATCCGAGCTGTCCACGACAAAGGCTTTCGACTTGAATTTGCCTTTCCTAAAGCGAAGCTACGCCTGGCAAGCTAGAAAATACCCTTTAGGAGTGCTATCGGATGGGCTCTTTGCACGACGGCGTTTTGCAGAGACCGATGAGGCGCGAGAGCTTGCAGAATCTGAAAAAAACCTATAAAGCTACGACGGGAAATGCAACCTCCACAAAGCCGTTTGGCGCGCTCGTCGAAATCATCGGGAGTCTCATGCCTGTCAGCCGCCCGCTTTTTGCTCTTGCTTTTTGAGACTTCCTAAACCAATCGTAGGAGAATAGCGTGTAATTTCTACTTCATAGGTTTTGAAGCACGACGGTTCCAGCGCTGCCACATCGATGAAGCTCGTCCAGATCGCCGGATCGTAATTAGGGACATCTAAAGCCATAGAGATCAAGCGGAAAGTGCCTAGCTCACGTTTCACCAGGCTGAACTGCTTCTCCCTTGCATCACTGCTTGAATCTGCCGGAACCGGTGGATCTTCATCAGCCATTACCGTCGTGAGGAGCTATAGCTGAGCGCACCTGTAAATAAAACATCATTAGCCACATTTTTGAAAATCAGCTTCAGGTAGAATACGAAATTGTTCGTTAGCTTATTAGCAGGTATTTGGGAGTCAAAAGTTTGCGAGAAAATGACGACATTTAGAAATCTTAGCTAAAAAGTTCGAATTTGTAATGCTGCTCCCAGGATTGGGACTAATTCACCAGGAAAAGCCGATTATTCCTCCAATTACGCTATTGGCAACACCCTAGAGATCGAGCCTACTACACTGGGTGTCGAGCTAAGCGGCTGAAAAGGGGAAGGTACGGTGAGAGAGCCGCCACATGGGTCGGGGCAAAGCCAGGAACAACCGAGTCTGGCTAACGAACGTCCGTTCTTACTTCTTCCGTAGGCTTATCGCTTGTACGTCTTCAAAACCGTGCGTTTTACAAGATTTGTGCGTTATACAATCGGTAATATTCTATTCATTCTAACGAACGCAAGATCAGTAGAAAAACGATTTATCGTTAGTCACGTCCTGAGACCTAAATTTATTAGATAACTTCCGATTTTCTGGCTTCAAAAGTGCGCATTACTTTAACAAGTCTCATTTCTACAAAGTTTTGTATTTGGTAGATTCAAACGACTTTTTCGAGATTTTGTGCAGTATACACCATAATCTGCAAAACTCGATCGGTAGACAATAATTTATCGAATGTCCAGAGCATGAGATGCAATGTGAGAAATTAACAGCAAAAAGACAACAATATAAAAATAACACCGGTCACATGGGCATCGTAAAATCGTCGAGGAACTGGATTTTTGTGTGCACGAAGATGCTGCCTTCCGGGATCGAGTCCTGGGGGCTGAGAACGGTTATCTAAACAAATTTTTGAAGCCAAAGGTCTATTTTTACCTGTCCTTCCTCCGCATCCACTTCCGTGATGACAATGTAGCCGAGGACGGGCGTCTAAATAGAAAATTAAACAAAAAATAAAAAAAATATTACCGTTGCAACTTCCGGGCAAATCTCTTTGCATGGGGAAATGGCGAGGAGCTGGTAGCGCAGCTCGTTGGGGTTGAACTGCATGGCCAGCACCTAAAAAGATAATTACAAAAAAGCGAAGAGTTTTTACCTTTGAGCTATAGTCTTCTTTCTTCATTCCGACCGGCAAGCACTCGTCGGGCACGGCTTCGGTTCCGATTTTTACAAGTTTTATCTAAAAAAATTCGAAACTTTTAAAAACACAATAAAATCATACCGTATCGACTTTTATTTGGTAGGAATGAGGGGCCAGCGTGTTGGTTCTCGTTCCGTAAAAGTACTAAAAGCAACAATTCGGTTCCAAAAAATCAAATTACCCGATGAATGTTGAAATTCCTCGTTCGAATTCGGCGTTCACGGGATCTGGTTTCGACACCGCCGGATTTGGGAAGGTGGGCGATCTGAAACAAAATTGGTAATTTTCGTTTTTTTTAGCAATAATTTATACCTTTACAAATGAAGGCAACGTCTTGACCAGCTCATTATAGAGCCGTTCCTGGTCCAAAACGACGACAATGTCCACCTCGAACTGGAGAGCCGCTTCGACGATCATCGCGTAGCTAAAAGAATGTAATAAAAAATCAACCTCAAATTCTCACCCCTCGTCCGCGATCCAGCCACACGTATTGATGATGACGCCCGAGATGCCTGTCGTCAAGTTTGCGGCTGTCTAAAAGAACCCGTAAATGAATTTTCTAGGAATTAGAACCTTGACAGAAACGGCTTTTGCTAGCGCCTCGACGAGCTTGTTGTAGTAGGCATTGTTGTCAGAGGGTGAGAGCGCTCCAAACTAAAATAAATATAAATTTATCCTAAAAAATCCCTACATTATAAACCAGTGGTGAAGCCGGCAATCCGCCATCTACAACATCGGAGACACGATTGACATGTACAGCCGCAATCGACCCGGGCACGGAAATGGAATTCTAAAAATAAAAAAAGACTTTAAAGCGTAGACGTCAGCGCACCTGGCCAACATCCAGATCCACGTATATCGGCGTGTGCCCTTGGCGGACGGCGTAGTTGCAGAGAATCCGGCAAAACGTGCTTTTGCCGACGTCCGTCGGCCCGACAACCATCATCCTAAAAAAATGGCTTACAAACGTTCTAAAATTAGCCTTTTATACCTTGGGCCTTGCCCAGCTCTTTCTTTATCTTCAGGCTTTTCTGCCGCTTTTCTCAACTGCTCCAGCGCCGCGTGTGCGTTCACGTAAACAATCTAAAACTTAAGAAATCGGAATAATTCTTTTTTCGGTACCATCGGCGTATCATCCGAAACATAGCACGTCGCCGATCCGATCAGCTCCAATTTTGCCTTGCCCCACGTGAAGACAGCCGCTCGAGAGCCTACAAATTATGAAAATCAAAAAAAATTGTGTCAATTACCCGTTGAAAATAGATATTTCTTGTGCTGCTCCAGCGGGGCGCCGAAAATCTCGGCCATCCCCTCGAGCAGCTTCAGCTCTACATCCTCGCGCCCGGTCACGTCGAAGCGCAACTCTTGCTGGGGCTCGAGATCGAATTGTTGTTTTTCCGCGTCATCAACTTCCATTTATCTGAAAGCGAAAATGGTAATGAAAAGCTAGGAAAGCTCAAAAACGAACGCATATAAAGCGAAAACAGGTTTAAAAGAATCTCCAGCAGATCCAGTAGTAAAAAAAAACTAGGAAAGCTCAAAATTATTTAGAACGCAAAAACAGGCGCATACACCAGTCTCTAGCGGTATTTCGAAAAATTGAAGTAAGATTCGCAACTTTTTGAACATTTCAACTTGATCCCCTGAAAACATCCACGATACCTCTCGAATCTCGATCAGGATAGCTCGGCTCTCCAGTGTAATCAAGGGCAAAAATGTTTATTCGTTAGTCTGTCAAAAAGGGGAACAACCAAACAACAATATCACAGAGGGGCTAATGAGTAAATCTCCGGTTTAGCGGGAAGTGAAACGGGTCAAACGACCGTAAAACATGAAAGAGTCGTCTTGTTAGACTTGGGCTGATGAGGGTTAGCTGAGAAGTAGAAGATTTGGCAAAATGATGAAAGTGTGGGGCGCTTTTTGGTTCAATCGTTCTTGCGCGCCGCGCGTGACTTGAGCAGTTGTTGTTCGGCGCGCTGCTCGTCCTTGTAGGCGATGCGGACGAACCAGATGACGATCACGATCGTGCAGGTGATGCCGCAGAAACCGGCGTAGAGCATCGCCTGAGCTTGTGGCAGGCCGAAGTGTTCTGCAAAAAAAGTAGAATTTCAAGTTTCATTTCATTTTCACAAGGTAAGCAATTTTTCGAGCGAATTTCAAAAATTCGAACTAGCAGGGCAGTTCCTTCAGATGTTAGAATTTTATAAAATAAAGAAAAGCAATCAAACTTTTCAAAAACACACGTTTGAACAGGAACTCGTAGGTGACGTACATGACCGACAGCGGCATCGTGAACATCAACAGCGAGAAGATGATCAGCAAATTTATACTGCGGCGCGACTCATCCTAAAAATAGGTTTTGATTCATTTTCCGCCAAGAAGTTGGAAAATGTTTATACATTTGCTTTCTAAAGATCCTAAAGACCGCGAAAATGAAACAAAAAGTCTATCGACACACCTCTGTATAAAACTGCTTCTGTTCCTCGGAGAGCGGGGCGAGCAGCGGGTCGAGCGCTTGCTGCTTCTCGAACTCGGTCGGATTGGTGATGTCTAAAAACTCGAGGCTATCAACGAATCTTAATTGTACCTGCAATTGGGCTCGGCGACCTGAAAGAAGTGCTTGCATCCATCGACTCGGATCTCGAGATTTCTTCCTCCCTCAAAAATCCGCCGGTGATCGATCCCTCGTCGTCGGTGCCGACGTCCGATTGATGGACGTCCATCTCATCGGTCGACGAGTCGTCGTGATCACCGCTCATCGTCGTCGAGTAGTTCAACTGCAAAAGGAGGGTTTAACAACTAAATAAAAGCTATAAAAATAAAGAAGAGAACAGGTAACATAGATGACGTCGGAAAAAAAATATTCCCGACGCCCAATAACAAATTAAACAGAGTTTTTATGCTTTTTAACCTTCCGAACATCGAGTGTAAGCGCTAACATTATGAAAAAGCTATGTTTGTGCGCCAAAAATAGAAAAACCCCCGCTAAAAGACTAAAAGCAGAAAGGACGCTGAAAAAGAGCCATATCAACGCGCAAAAATAAAGTTAGCTATGGTTCTCATCGCTCCAAATATCAAAATTCGAGGCAAAACAGGCCATACCTTTTTAAAAACAGAAAGATAGCATAAAACCTAATCAAAGAACGTCGAAAAAAAAAGAAAAACAACCTGCACAACGCTCAAAAGTAGCAAAGACGGGGTTTTCGCAGTCAAACTACTGAAAATAAGCCAAACGGAGGCAGCGAAAGTTACATTAAAACGATAGAAAAAAAAGTAAATGGCATAAAAGCTAGGTTTTGCATCTATTCTCCTCAAGAAAGGGATGTTTTTATTAATATTTTACGAACTTTCTGGCAACTATTCGAAAGGGGACCAATGTTCGGCTAGGCCCTACGCGCCGCACCAACGGCCAAAGTGCCGTGTTGCCGGGTTGAATGTTTCGATGGTCAAGGCCGCATCTAAAACTTCAAAAAAAAAGTTTAAAAAGCTCATTTTAAAAATCAATAAATTAATTTGTATTTTATTTAGAAGAAAACCGGAATCGAAAATCAAAAACGCTGGTGGTCTGAGCTTTTGTTATCACCGCACGCTGTCTGTGAGTCACGAGTAATCCGCTGTACTCTACAACCGTCTAAAAATCGTTGTAAACAAAATTAATTAAAAACCTTTATTTCTATTGCCACTGATTGATACAAAAGGTGAGCCCTCGGGGGTGTCGTCCACAGAGGGGGAGACGTTCTTTTTGTTGAGCTTATCACGAGAAGTTAGGCTAGATGTCCAAGAAAAACGTGTATATCTGTGTGTGATTTTAGGCAGTTTGCTCAGGCGACTATGGGGAGGGGGCAAAATCACATTAGATTTGTTGAGAGGACACCTTTTACAAGATATAAAATTTATAAAGACACAAAAAGACCTAGTTTTCTGGGTTCCTATGAGTCGGGGAAGCTGGGGAGCGCGTTAAAAATTTGTAAAATTCTTTTTAGAAGAGGAATTTAGTAAGAACTAGTGCCGCTGTAGAGAGGAACCATTTCGAGACGGGCGCCTCGTTGCAGAAGTCACCGGATTTGCAGAAATAGGATTCGCCTAGAAGGGATTATAGGTTTTTTGTGATTTTTTTCCGTACCTTCTACTTTTTCTCCCTTTGTCCAGTAGAGCGGAACAGGAAGGGTTCGAACCTAGAAAAATGCGTTTGTAAAGTTGATTATTCTTAAAAAACCTTTTTTTCTATAAAATTAAGAAATTCTACCTTCATCGAAGCATCCTCTTCATTTGCCAAAGTGCACCCCTTCAAAACCACCTCGTGTTCTGAAAATCGCTTATTTCAAAGATTTTTTAAAGATTCAATAAAGTATAAATTTTTGATAGACTTTTACAGCTTCAAATTGATCTATTCTATAGAATCGCTTTTGCATATTAATTTTTATAGCCTACCGTTTTGAGGCCAATTTTCACTTACTTTTATCGATGAGCTTGAAGCAGCTGCCGGAGCAGCAGGCGAGCCCCGAGGCACAATTCTGGAGATCACGGCCCATGCACGTGTAGCAGCTGAGGTTCCGCCCATCCTTCCGATCTGCGCATGTCACGACAGGCGTCTGGGTGGGCAGCTGTGCGTAGGCCAGGGCTGAAAATGCGAATTTTTAATTCCTGGCTTTTAATTTGACTTTTTTATTAGTTAGGCGTTATTGGAAACGTCTTCGCAATTTCTTAAAAGCCAGTTAAAAGCCTAAAAGAACTACGGTATGCTAATCCAGTCCAAAATAGCGTATTTAATCCATTTTAAAGGACTAAAAATATCGCTTTATAAGCATGAAATCACTACGTTAAGCGCCAATCGACACTTCATCACGACACGACGACAAACCAAAAATTAACCAACCTATCAATTCGCTGACTATAAACAGCTCGACAGCACCCCTCATTTCCTGATGGGTGGGGCTGGCGGCGGTCGCGCAGGCTACCCGTCTGGCCGAATTCTGGAAAATCGGCGGATTTTCAAGCTGTAGGAGTTAAGGAGAAAACATTGAAGCAGCTCCAAAAACAAAAAAGGTGCCAAAGATCCAAAAAGAGGGTTGGCGCATTTTTTAAAGGAGTCGTGCTAGCAGAAGCAAGGAGAATCGTTGATATCTGCTGCATTTGGAAGCGAGACGTTTTTTCCGGACTGGCAAGGGCAAAAATAGCGGTTATTACTTGTTTTGTTAACAAGAAAAGTACGAAGTACTTGTAAAAAGTAAAGGGTCCCAAAAAGGAAAATTTAAACTGCCTCTTAAGTTCAGAAAAAGCCAAACCGGAAGGAGTTAAGCTATAAAAAAGGGGATATATTTTCTTCCTTGGGATCCGATTCCATTCCTCACGCAAAAATTTTAGCAATTTTTTTCAGAAACAACAAAAAATGAAGTGACTAGGGATATCTGGAGTGAGAGGACCCCCTGGTCCTCTCACCAAAAAAGGAAATTTAACAATTTCTCGCTCCCTACCAAAAAAGGAAATTTAACAATTTCTCGCAAAAAGGATAAGCCGAAGCTGGGTGCAAGGTAAACGGGCGTCTTTCAAAAGATAATCGTGCGGAAAAGGCCGAACCGGAAGCGGCACTGATAAAAAAAGATCCATCTCCCCGGAAAAATGTTATAAACCTCTAAGTCTCCGAGTTCCTTTAAATTGAACTTTCTAAGCCTGAAAACGTCAAACTGGAAGCGGCAGTGCTACAAAAAAAGACTTGTAAGCCGTAAAAAATGGGATAACTCCGAAACCGGCTTCAGCTCTGCAAGCGATAGAACCCAAACCAAAAGTATAAAAAAATGAGGGATGGGAGAACATTATGCATTCTGATGGCCTAAAGGGAAGAGGAGGGAAAGCCAGAGGGGGATCCGGTGTCCCGCCCATCCCAAGAAATGGCCTCTGCTGCTGCTGCTGACGCCGCGCATCTCACCACAAGAAGCCACTTTTTGTGGCGAGCTTCTTTTTGGTTTTGGCAAACGCGATGGGATGGCTGGTGGTGGGGGTCTGAGGCTACTTGGAATCGCAGAGATGGCGGCGTGGAATATTTTAAGGGGTTCGGCATAACTAAATTTTTAAAAATTCCTCCGCACTGTCAACGGCTGAATTTTTTTCTAAGCGTAACGCAAAGGCCAAGTCTATACAATCAGGCGTATGTCTAAAGAAAAGTGAGCAAAAAAGAATTATTGTAAAAACCAGCGTCCGAGCGTAATTTTCGGTTGTAAGGATTTTCAAAAAACTGATGAATTCTTTTCCACACAAATTCCACACGAATCAATTCACTTCCACACAAACACTATAAACTAAAATGGCTACAAAATTACAAAAGAAAATCAAGGGTATAAAAAATTACACTTCCCAAGCTCAGGCTTTTTTTTAATCGCGTCTGGTAAATTCCGTAAATAAAAAAGTATTCCTCTGATTTTAAAAATACCTAAACTACGAGAGACAACGCCAAAACGCAGCGCCATGATCAGACTAAAAATCGAAAGCGAATCGGGCAACCTGAAGTCATCGAAAAAGTGAACAAATGATCAAAGAGCATGAGCATGAGAATTCACGACGAAATCGGGAGATCCTGGGTCGAAGATACATCGGTACTGGACTGCTAGCGGGGGTGACAGATTTTTAGGAGCTTTTATATAAAAAACTTTAAAATACTGTAAAAATGGTTAAATTTTGTTACCGTATGGGATTACTGGGAACAGATAATCGAAAAATAGGAAAAGAGATATACGAACAGTAGAAAGAAAAAGGTTTCCCCCTGCTAACAGCCCAGTACCGATGAAAATTAGAGCCTAGAAAACCGAACCGAACCGAACCGAGACCGAGGCTTCTAGAAATTTCAAGGAAAACTCGACCAGAGCTCATAATCAAAGCTCCTCTATACCCCGAGATATTCCACCGAACCCCCGCCGCGTCTACGTCAATCGTGAAAAATTCAGACCACATAAAAAATCCAGAATTCGACACATTTCGTCGTGGCCGTCGCCGTCTGCCCCGGGCCCCAGCCAGTCAACGCCCTATTCTTCGGCGGGCCGGGGGCGCTCTCCGGGGGTCTTGATCGATGCACTAGGTAGAGCTCCGGGGTGGGGAGCAGAAGGAGATGTGAAGGGAGCGAGGGCCCTTTCTAGTTGGGCCCTCTGGCCCCACCACATCTCCCAACACCCTCCATGCTCAGAGATAGAGGGAGAGGGCCCGAGCCCTATAAGGACCCCACCGCGTCGTCGACTGGGCCCTAAAAGAGGGAAAAGAGACTCGAGCACTAGGGCCCAGTGGCAAGGGCCCAGCAGAAGGCCACTACCAACACAGAGGGCACAAATTGTTCCACACAAACGCGCCCATTTACGCCCCGGGGATTAGAGAGGTGGCGCAGGGCCCCATTTCTGGACCCAATCCGCGCTGAAGGGCAGTTCTGGCCTGAAAAGTGCATGAATGGGGCGCAGAAAAGTTCGAAAATTGCGAGGTCATTATTTTTGAGGATTTCAAGAGGACAATATGGACATTTTTAGCTTGGGAAAACTGCAAGATGCTAAAAGATCCGATCCAGGAGCAGAAACAGAAAATAACCAAAATTCAGTTTCTTTTTAATTTAGTTTTAGTGCAAAAGAAAAGACACTGTTTACCGTGCGACGTCGAAAACAAGAGTTTTTAGGTCTAGAAAAACCCAATAAAGGTATTGTCAAGCTGACCATGTACTAAAGGCTCCATCGAAGAAGCGGAAGCTTTAACGTCCATAAGAACAACTTTCTTACTTAGGTTTTCTAATAAAAACTTTTTCTGATATACCTAGAGTAGTATTCTAAATTGCCTTTTTTACCTTAAAAGTAGAAACTTTACAAATTTTTAGTAAGAAATACGAAAATATCGATTTTCGGCCGGATTTTTTTTAAAAAAGTCGTCGAGATAGTTTTTGCAGTCGAAATCGAGTTGAATTTTTTAAAACACTAATAAAATACTTAGTATTCGTTATTATGCATTTCCGGACCGAGAAGAACAAAAATTGACGCTTCTAGAAAATGTCAAAGAGCCCGTCGTCCCGCGACAACGACAAGCTAACAGCTTCAAAAGCTGACTTTTTGCGGTGAAACTCCCCTTTCTCCTCGAAAAACATCGATAAGCACCCCACTACGTCATTTCCGCTTTTTTCTACGTCCACCCGGAGGTCTACCTAAAAGCCTAAATCGATATAAACCTCGAAAAGTGACCCGGCAACCAGGAAGAAACCTCCGGCCAGCAATATCGTCTCCGAATGATATATACTCGGCCGGCCGGAGCGGAACCCCTCGACATCTCGTTGCTTTTGGCTGCGGCGGGGTCGATGGGGTCGGCAGCGACAAGAATGGGCCCAAAATGAGGGCGCCGCCGTCCCTCCGGAATCCCGACATCCCGAATAACACGAGCCGTCGTCGAAAGCTTGCGAAAAATGCCGGATTGGATTCGTGAGGGCTTCGGATGAAAAAGGCTGGTTTGCGCGAAGTTTTTGGTAGCGGGTTCTTTCGCATTATCGGGGGGCAAGTTTTGCCATAAGTCCAGAAATTCTCAAGAAGTTGGAACAGTTTTTTAAGGCGAAAGCGAAATTTTATTCAAAATCGTTATTTTTGGTATTTTTTCATCAAAGATTCCAAATTTTTTACGTTTAGGAACAATAAAAAACCGTTTAGAAACACTTCCCCTATTTATAGTAGAAACATTGAGTCCTTAGAAACAAAAGCCCCCCCCGATAATGCCAAAAGACCTTCCAGCCACGTGATGCAAATTCCTAGAAAAAAGTTTATAAAAATCCATCGATTGCAACGTTTAGTGAAATTGCTAGAAGTCGAACACCCTCAAAAAATTTATTACAATGTAGTTCAAGGAGACCTTTGAGCCTAGAAGTAATCACAAAGCAAAAAAAAGAAAAACTTGATCAAGAAGTTAGTAGAAATGAGGAATCCAGGATTTCTAGAAGAGTTTTAAAAGCAAAAAGAGTTATAAAAGCTTGGGTAACACTAAACACCTGAAACAGAGAGCAGCTCGACGTCGAAGAAGAGCGTGGAATTGCCGGGGATGTCGTCGGGCACCCCTTCGGCGCCGTATCCAAGATGTGGCGGGACGGTGATCTTGGCGTGCTGGCCGACGGACATCTTGGCCACGCCCTCGTCCCAGCCCTTGATCACCTCGCCGCAGCCGATATTGAAGCTGAACGGCTCGTTCCGGTCGCGCGAGCTGTCGATCTGGAAAAAGGATGAAAATAGGGTATGGAGGCGTTTTTATAGTTATTTTCTCAGGCCTAAAATAACCGAAATTAGAAATGCACAAAATTTTTTGGCTTTTTGGTAAAATGCATGAAAAATACTCCAAAAAGTGTCTTAAAACTGGTAAAAAACTACAAACTCTCCTAAGCACACAAAGATCAAAACGAAGGCGTCGAAAAACTACAAACTATTCAACCAACAAACCTTCTTCCCATCCTGTAGCGTGAGAACGTAGTGGCAGGTGACGTTTTGGCCACGTAGCGGGAACGTCTTGCCGTCGCCCGGCTTCAACGTTTCGATGATGACGCCCGAGGCCGCGCCGCCGCCTCCGCCGCCACCACCAGCAGCACCGCCCTCCCTGCAAGACAAAGTTAGAATCGCACTTTAGTCGAAAAAAAAACGTAGAAAACGACCAACTTTTTCTTCGATTTGCACATGGTGGCCGGATATGATTCTCGCGCGGGCTCGATGTAGATGAACTAAAATAGGAAAATCAATGGGGAACAGATCAGGAATAGAAGCAAGTAAAAAAGCGAACGGAAAAGTATGTATTTTTAAACGCATTATCAAAGCTTTTTACTTTTTGTTAGAAAACTCGAATTCAGTACGCTACGAAACACGCCTATCACCATTTGTTCGTTAGTTGGCGCTGTACGGAATCGGCGATTCTCTCGATTTTTGATTTTACAAATAAATAAAATCTTAATTACCAATTGAAAATCTATAAGTAAAAAGACCAAAAAAACTTAAATTTAATTAAATAATCAAAGTCCCTAGATCCCTAGAAGCAAATAATCCCTAGAACGCCCAATTCTGAGGTTTTTAAACTTTGAATAAAAAAACTAGACTAAAGCTATTTGAAAGAGTTTAAGCGGAAGTTTATCAGAATTACCATGTAATTCCCGGTATAAAAAAGACGACCGCAAGGGGCAGCGGCATCAAACGGAAGCTCTTCAATCCCTCGATCACCATGTCCACCCTGTCCGTCGACCCGCCAGCTGGAGCCGTGCCCGCCGCCGGCGGCAAGACCACCCACACCCTGGCCAACGCCGGAGCCGCGAAGGTCGTCTTCAAGGTATCGTTTTTGGATTGTTTTTCGGTTTTTGGCTAGCTGTCTACGTCGCGGCTCGCGTTGCGGTCAGCGACGGGGTTTTCATGTCGTAATTGATCAAAAATATACAAAAAGAATGTTGTACATTTGCATGCATCGTTTCCGAAAAATAAAGCCGCATAGCGCTTTTTTAGCCTTTTTTGAACGTTTGTAACTTTTTTGGCCACGTGTTATTTGCGAACGCGTCGCGGCGTGCGTTGCGGCAAGCGCCGCTAAATTTCATCGTGTAATCGATTCAAAAAGCCCCCTTTTTCAGGTGAAGTCGTCCAACAACACCGAGTACCGTCTGCAGCCGGTGTTCGGCTTCGTCGAGCCGGCCGGCCAAGCCCCCATCGAGGTCACCCGCCTCGCCGGACCCCCCAAGGAGGACAAGCTGGTGATCGAGTACGGTGATGCCCCCGCCGACGCCGCCACCCCGCAAGACGCCTTCAAGGTATACGGAATGTTTGATTGATTTTTTGAAGCTCTGAAATCGGATATACGTATCTTAACACCTCCATTTCCAGGGAGTCGCCGCCCCGCAGAAGATCACCGTGCCGATCAAGGCCGAGTAGAAGAGCAGCAACCCTACCATCATCATCCTCAACAGCTACACCACCAGCAGCGCTCGTCGACGTCGAAGCACAAAAGCCACAGCCACCATTCTTGGAGGCTTCTCCTCTCCTCTCTCTCCCTTTTCCTCCCCCCGATTCCGCTTGAGATTTCGTAAGACAAAACGCGGGCTATGTAATAAACATTCTGAAAGCTTTGTGTATGGGGGAATGCATTTTATGAAAATGGGAATATTGGCACAAACTACAGAATACAAGGAGCTACGGAAAGCTACAAACTATGTACAGACTACAGGTGGATCTCCGGTTGAGCTGATCGCGAACTTCTTGAGTTCCTTGGGCCTTTGGACGCATTTTTTCACGCCATGGTGAAGAAGGGGCCGTTTTTGTGGGAATTGTAACACCAAAACAAACTACCCAATAAAACAAGCGAAAAATCAGAATACAGACTACAGAAACGTCACTGCTTTTGCTAATTGCAAGGTTTGTTTTGTCGGCTTGTTGGTTCTTGACTTGAACTCCTTGAACTTAAAGTGAGTTTGAAATGTTTATGTACAAATGATATTTCTTGGAGGTGTGGCTTATTTGCACCCGCAGCACTTGTGGATGGCCGCCCAGTAGCCGGCGGTCGAGGCGTACGAGCAGCCGGAAGGTCCTGGAAAGTAGGGTTTCTCGGTTTTCCATGAGACCGCAAGTGTTTCAACTGCCTACAATTTTGAAAATCATGAATTTCTGGCTTCCGGTCTAGCTTAATAAAGATCCGGTGTCAAATGGGTCGATTTGGGGCCAGAAATGAAAGGATTTTGTATTCCATATCATTTCCGGTTTTGCACAACTTCCCCCGTGCCAAAATTGATTAATTTCTGGCTTCCGGTATAGCTTAACAAACATATGTCGTCAAATAGGGCCGATGGAGATGGAAATGCAGATACAGGAAACGATAACTAGTGGAATTACGTCCAGTTTCGTACAGTCTAGCGTATTTTCCGGTCCGAACAGAATTTTAAATTCCTGAAATAAACTCAACCGACCTCCATTGTGAATACGAGACATTTGCTCGCAGGTGCCGAAGCCCTTGCCAGCACAATCGCGCTCGTAGCGCTTGAAGTAGTTCTGGACACAGGTCGTCGAGCACGAGTACTCGGCCGCGCACCTGGAATATTGGATTGTTTTCCACGCTTTTTTATTTAAATAGCTAAATGGATTATTTTCATAGGAATAAACATAATTTAAAGAGGCTCACCTCTTCCAAGCGGTCTCGGTGCTCTCACCGCTCTTCTTTCCTGGCTGGCCGCAGTCCTCGTAGTACGGGAGTTTGATCTGCAATTATGAACTTTGCGTACTTAATTTGATGCCCAAAACAATAGGATACACTTTTTAAAGGGCAAAAAGTTTACATTGCACATTTTACAAACCTGATAATAACCGCAGGACAGCGATCCGACGTCCATATGGCAGCCTAGGGGCTTGCATCCCGACTCGTGCAAGCAGATGCAGTGAAGGCAAGAGTCGGCGGCGACAACGGCCACTAAGAATGAATTTGTAGCGCTCCATTTTTTTTTTTTGCTCTATTAATTATCATAATTATATAAGAACTAGAAAGCATTTTATTAGCCTTGAACTGTGAAAAACAGAAACGCGGTTAGTTTTACAAAATCAGACCGGAAAATAGCTCTGTAAATGTTTAGAAGTATTAAAATAATTATCTTAATCAAATTATTTCGGGTTTTCCAGTTAAAAAGGCATAAAAAATCAAAAGTAAAGAACCAACACATTTACCGTATCTTATTGCCATAAATTTCGAATTATGGTGACCGAAATTTTTGCAGGATTACTGTAACTAGCGCAAAATCTACGGTATCCTGATTCTTACAAAACGAAACCTCCGTTTTTTTTGGCAAACAAGGGTTAAAAATCATGTTTTTTTTTAATTTTCTAACTTACAAAGCGCGACGGCAACGAGAAGCTTGAGCATGGCTACAGGGGGAGATTGTTGGTCTGATCTTCTGCGCCTCTTATCGCCTTTTATAGTCAGAAGATCCGGGCGGTCCCCCCTAGCTATTTTTGCCTGTGACTGATAAGTGAGGGATCTGTGTGGTGTTCTTGAAAGAGCAGAAGCTGCTACGCAACAATATCCGGGAAAAAAACCCAGAAACTAACATTTTAGATGAGAGCCCGGCGTCTGCAAGCAATACAAATGGGGAAACAAAATGTATTACTGTTTATCTCAATTTCTGAATTTTATATCTGAAAAAGCAGTTTTTAAACGGGCTGCTAAGTAGGAGCCTGGCGTCAGCGAGCAGTACGACCGGCATGAAAATACCCATAGTTTTTAAAAGTTTGTCAATTCTTCAGAAGCAAGAAAAAACGTTTCGAAAGCAAAAGCAAAATTTCGGCACGCGGAAGCATCACTTTAATTTTTGAAGACGTCGTAAGCGTCGTACCATGTACGAACCCGGCGTCAACGAGCAGTACGACCGTGGCGAATATTTGAAGCGCCGTGAACCGTTCAAATTATGAAGGTCATCTTTATTTGGCCGCGCGTCTCACTACTTTTGCAGCGCCGGAGGATCATTTTGGATTTCTCAGGGCAGGAAAACGCAGCAATCCGACGTCAGCAAGCAGTGCAATGGCAGTTTTTTTATCGCTGCTAGATTGTATCTGGTTCAAATCCGGGGCTTGATGGGCTACAGTTTATCACTTTCCGCTCACCCCTATTTTCCAACAGGTTTTCAACCGTTTCCGGACCTTTCGTACTTACCACACAGTGTAGTGTAGCGGAAACCCCCAAACATAGGGAGATTCCCCCATGAGTTGCCAGCAGCCCGACCTTCGGACCTGGGGGGACACCTGGAGGGCACGTGGAGGAGCGGCTTATCGGCTCGTTGATGAAGCCAAGTGGCCAGCCATAGATCGTGCATCTTCTGATATGGTATTCAGGGACTGCTCTGACGCAAATGATCGTTCTTTGCGTTCGGCGAGACATAGTTTGTTGAAAACCGGATGGCTAAATCGGGCGGTCAGAGACTTGCAGATAATTTTGGAATTTTGAGGGTACGGGAGTGTGACAGTACTACGGCGTAGTGTACTTTGGGGCTATGCTTACGAAGTCCTTACGTACAATTGCGTACTATTCCCGTACGTCTACGGACTACGTACTTACACATCGCTACTACTTCCGTATTATCCACGAGCACTTCGTACGAAGAGTACAGCTGCGTACTACTTACACGTGCGTACTGATTGTGTACTATTTGCGTACACTTACGCACTAATTGCCCACACAGAATTTCATTTACGTACTATTCACGTATAAAAACGTAACATTTGCACACACTCAGCACAACTTAAGCCTACGTAAGAGTACACATCAATACTACTTACGCAAACTACGAATCTCACGTAGCCTTACGTACTTGAATTTCGCTGTGTTTTAAGGTGTCCAAAGATACTTTTGAAGTTTCAAAGCCTTGAAATAAGCTAATTTAACACTAATGGTTGCTTATACACATAAGTAACATAAATAGTAACAAAAATCTACAAATTAATTCACAATAGTACTTTATTGCAAAACCCAGCTTATAAAAGTAGGTAATAATCGTTATTCCTTTGGTAATTTCGGCAAGGGGACGCCAGCCATCCGATAATCATGATAATACGTGGCCAAAATATAGGACATTGTGGTTCTATTGCTCAATATTTCTCGTTTCCATTCCGCGTATTTCTCCACCACTTTCGGGTCCCGCCTCCGGGGGTTTGTGTTGTTTTTTAGAAGCCAGCGGAGTACCTGAAGGAATCGCGCTTTATTAAACGGTTAATAAGGAAATCTATAGTTGCTAAAAACCCTATAAACTTAATTTAATGTTCTTAATAACTAATTTAAGCTATTTTAGCTTGCTTTAGCTATTTTTTTGCCCACCTGATTGACTGTTTTTGGCGGTTTTCCCGTTAATTTCAACATTGGTCGTAATCTTTTTGCCATTTTCATCGAATCCTGCGTGTAATGAACGGCTGTGTATAATTTTGGCCTCTCGCCAATTCGGCAGAACCTTAAAAAACTTGGAAGGTATTAAAAGATACTTACCAAGAGCTTGGCGTAATGTGATGCCGGAAATGTTTCAGGTTGCTGGCTCCTTTCGGTAACTTTCCAAACTTTAGATACTTGTAAAACGCTCGAGCAGCCGTGTGCACACTTTTTCCTGCGACGCCGCATTCGTGTTTTTCGCTGAAAAAATCTACATAAAATCATATTTTTAAAAATCTAAAAGTTTTCTAGAGTGCATTATTGCTTTTTCTAAGCGTTCAAATACTGTAATATTTTTCGGAAAAATTAGCTTTTTATCCAAAATGTGGAATAAGTATACTTACTCGCAAGTAGCCCCATAAATCGACACAAATCGATCGATTGGGTCCCTCCAGATGTAAATTCTACGGTTTTCAGGCCCCTTCCAGCCGCGTAAAGTACCACCACGTAGTCCGACTCCCTCGACGCAAGCTGGCCTGCAAATTAAGGCATGAAATCTTCTCCTTTAATGAACTAGTGGTTTTTTCATAACTAAAAGGCGAATCTAGCGCTGCAATTTTTACTTTCTAACGCCTCCGGGGTCAATAAATACGTAAGAACAACCTCTCGCTTGCATCCGGTGGGTCAAAAAGATCGGGGGTAATGGGGACACCACGTTGGCGTAGTATCAGCTCACACAGCATCTAAAAATTTAGAAAATTCTGGTCTTAAAAATGATCGTGCGTGTTTCGTTGCCTCGCAAACCAGCGCAGCGATACGCCGTGCGAAAAAATCACTTCAGGTTAGGTCCCGCATAATCCGTAGTTTGTATTTTTTCGTAGTATTATTCCCATACCCTTTTCATCGTCCGCGAATTCGATTTCGGGATTGAGGAAAAGACGAGACGGCCAACTTTCTAAATAACGGTAAATTGGTGCAAATAACACAAAAATTTAGCTTGAGGTGATAAACACAACAGAAAACCGGCAGTTAATAATAATAATAATGGGACTATATTTTGTCAACGAAAAAGCAAAAGACCGAAAAACCTACCAATCGATAGCAAACCGGGTCCAACCGGATCGGTACCGGCTTTATTATCTTCCTTCCATAAATGGTATTGACGGTCCACGAGATTTTCTGAAGAAAGTAATGAATAAAACTAAAATAAATATCATAAAATTGGTGCTTTGGCATTACCGGGGGGTTGTAATATAAATAGAGGAAGCTAAGCTGTTTTTTTTAGGATTCATTACGGTCAAAAATATACAAATTATGCGGCAAAAATACCAAGAATATCGATTTTCGACCAAAATTTCGGATTTTTAATTTTTTAACAGATGCTTTCGCCAGCTTTTTTATACTAAATATAGTAATATTTCACTAACAACACAATTAAAACACTTGTTATTAAATTACTAGGCATTTATGGCTTCCCAGAAAAAGAATCCGGTAAAAAATACGTCCGGATTTCGATTCCACAGCAACGGCAGGTCGGTCGGCGAAATATTCTTCGAGATTACGGAAGTAAATAGCAGCAAAATCCACCGCATTTAGGACAGTTTCCGAAAATGGACAGAATGCCGCCGGCAAAAGCGTGTACACCCCAGTGTACGCGGGGCACCTATAAACCATCCGGGGCGGAATGGGGTGGCACGCGGAAAACGGGGGGAAACGGTGCCAGATTCGATCCGCCATGTAGATCTCACCCCCTATCCATTCTCATAAAGTACCCCCATATCCGATTGGGGCATACGGTTGGAATGGAGCTCCCCTGGAGAGGAGCATCATCTCTGGTGCTCCTCCGACAAACAATTAGCACCAGCCGGCCGGGGTGGTTAGTTGAACGGAAACAGGGAACTTACGTACTAGGAAAAGCCTCAAAGATTTGTATTTATGGAGCTGGAGAACTTACATTACAAGATGTGAGTAATTGCGTGGTCGTCTGGCACGAAGAATCACAATTTTGACACGTAAGCAACAGGTGGTTTGTGAGAATCTGCCAGGTGGGATCTGATTGTTGTCAATTTTCGGCGTATCACGATTTCTCTGTAAAGAAGAGTCTTGCTTAATTAGCTTTAAGGTACAGAAATAAAATCCAAAGCCGAAAACCGGATTCGGAAGAATCCGTTTGGCTCCAAACATCAGGCTTTCTCACCTCTACCGACATTTTGCATTTAGTATCGCGATCTGTGCTATGTGGGAAAAACAACGCCCTTCTTTGTCCTACTTTTTGCAGCGAGCTTCGTCAATAGGTGTGCACGTCCAACTCCCTGCACGTTGCACGTTACCGCAACGCTCAAAAATTGCAAAAAGCCTACGACACTCGGGATTCCCAAGCCGTCTCCGATCCAAGTACTAACCGAGCCCAACGTTGCTTAATAAACTAATGTATTTATAAATTATAAAATTGAAAAGAAATCCCCGAGGGGAAAGAACTCGCCGAAGCGAGCGAATGCCTCCGAAGAGGCCAAATTCGCCGAAGCGAACGGTTCCCCGAAGGGACAAACTTGCTACGAGAGCAAGCGAGTTGTCCAAAAGGACACAAACCTCACCATGAAGGTGAGGCGGGTACTCGTAAACGAGCATTTAAGAGGATAAAGAAAGAAAGATGTGCCTGTTTCGACCCTCAATCCAAGACAGGCTTAAAATACGTCAGGGTGGGTCTCCTCAGCTGGATCCCTGACGTTTTAAGAGGATAAATTGAGAGGTTAGAAGAGGTTAAAGTGGAAAATTATAGGAAATAGAGTATAAGGAATTAAAGTGGGTTTAAAAGTATATAATATAATGTTTTAATGTTTTAAGAATCTTTTATTTTGGTGCACGCGCCGGGAGGAGAGGGAGCTTTGCGACAGCGTACCAAGGGAGCTAGGGTTAAGACAGAACAAGATCCCCTCTCTCCAGCCTCCATTCGCCTACGACCATACCACGTTGAAAGCACGGCATCCCGTCCGATCTGCCAAGTTAAGCAACGTTGGGCTCGGTTAGTACTTGGATCGGAGACGGCTTGGGAATCCCGAGTGTCGTAGGCTCTTTGCACTTTTTTCCGGTATGCTACGTGAAAGCAGGCTAATTTTTTGCTGATACTGATACTAAATTTCTCTGGTTTGTAGTTTTTTTAGTAGAAAAAGCCATTACTTTTCAGACTCTGCATCAAGAACTTCTTGTGCATCAGGGGTTTTGTGCCTTTCCACATTTTTGGGTCCAGCCGAACGGTTGGAGATACTTATAATAAAGACACGTCACGAAAAAAGAAAGTATTTGCAAACAATTCCTGTTAGTTCTTGGCACGTTTTCAAGACATTTTGCACGTTCTGGGATCAAGACATGCGGAGGTTGTTTATAGGCGCATGATCGAGCGTTGCAAATACCGGTTCCGGTTGGTGTCGCAGGGTCATCAAATCAGCCGGTCGGTCAGTTGACATTAATTGTCTCCTACCTTCAAGCTTTTGATCCAAAAGATTCTAGCCTAAAATGTGGCTATCTCTGACCATTTTTCTACTGTCATTTGGTTCCGTCGTAGCCGATTGTCCTTGCTTGCGAAGGGAATCGGCGGAAATATTCTGTGCGGCTGATTGGGGTCGGTAAATCTGGGAGTTTTCGAAGATTTAAAACGATATTAATCATGATTTAAAGGTTTTTTGTATAAAATAGAAAATGATTTTGCCTTCATTTGAATTTCTCATTATTTATTAGATTACAGTATCCCATCTACGCGTCCTTAAACGACTCCTACCAACCTTCAATTTCCCGTACAGGGTGTGCAAAAAAAGACCACAGTTTGGGTCGAAATAACTCGCGAACGGTAGAGAATCGAAGGTACGTTACCATGCCAGAATACTTAAATATGCTGGGTATGAAGATTTAACACAACTTGATTTTTTCGATTTTTGAGTACGAAACTGTACTATTGACGCTGGTTACGACCGAAAATTGTGCGTTCTTGAACGGGTGGTGGGATAATTCTGATTTTTGGCCTAAAAATAGTATGAATTTGTAGAAATGTAATGGCAAAATCTTAGAATTTATCGAGGTCAATTTCATTTTTTAAAAGCAAAACAATTTTCGCGAGTTTTCGTTATTTTTGTTCTTTGAGTCATAACTCGCTTAAAACTCACTGCCTATGGCTGATATTTTGTCAATGACCTATCCAAATATTAATCTCGGATTCCACACCAGATTCCACCACAATCTATGGTATTTTTGTATTGCTTGCTAAAACGTGCCCCGGTGGGGGTACTGTAGGTTTCGTTTTTCCCGCTTTTCTCGGGGCCCCTAGCTTCGATCCGGCTGAAATTTTCTGGGTTGTTAGGCAATAAGTAGGAGCACCTCACTGCTAAATACGAAACCGTACTATCCACAAACTTTCATGAAAAAGACTAAAAACTGACTTTTTAATTCTGCCACAGAATCTTGTAAATTTTTTGGCCAATTGGTCCATAAACTGCTACTATTCGTTTTACGAAAAGATCGAAGCGATTCCATGGCAAAAACACCACGAAAATCGCGAATTTCGGTTTTCTACAGTAATCCCCGTGGAGCGCGTTTTAGCATGCCATCACAAAATTCCATAAATTGACGATTTTTCAATTCGAGGGCCTTCTAGAGTTGATTGTAAGATAGCCTGTCAAAAATTACTGATTTTGGATGGTAAATAACAAAGTTACGAGGCAAAGTGCAAAACAAGGCCAGAGAGCCGATTTTGGGTCCGAGTGGCCGGGTCAATTTTCGAATTTTTAAAAATAAAAAAACCAGCTGGGTCTTATGGATACGATTATAGCTTTGATGTTATTATCGACGCCCGTCAAATTTGGGGACAATCTGATTCATGATCATGGTGACTTTCAGCTCAAAATCGAAGATCACCCTATTCCAAAATCGATGTTTAGAAATCTTCTTAAAATTTTTTCGACGCTAAATTGTTTTGATCTTTGCATAGTTTTATTCAACTGATAGCACTGAATTATTGCTCAAAATATCCCTACGACCCCACCTCCCAAAATTTTTTTACGCAACCTCCGATTCGGTTTATTTCCGGTTTTGATGAATTTTCTTGGCGCCAACGGCAGGTTAAAAAAATTCATGAATAAGGCTTTAGGATGCGCTACTCAAATGGTATCAGATAAAATTAAAACGATAATTTTTCACAGCGCGACTAAATTTTATAAAATGGTGGCAAGATTCGGAAAAAAGCACGAACCAGCCGTTTTGGAGGCCCTAAAAGACGGCCCTCCAAAGGGGTACGGTAGCTCGAAATTTTGCAGATGATAGATAAACATTAGTACTACATAGCTAAGCAAAGAAAATAGCTGAGTCCCCTTTGGTAATTTAAAAATATTTTTCTAAATTTCGGTTTCGTGACCTCGAAAAATCAATGACCAGGGGGTCGTTGAAAAACTCAAAAATTCATCGATCTCAAAAAATTCTTTAATATCTTTATGCGGTTGTGTCAAGCCTGTAGGTATTCCACAACAACTGATTTTGAGGTTTTCGCCATAGGTTTTTCCAATATTAAAAATTTACGAAATTTCTCCATACAAAATTTCATTCCTTTCTAACTTTTCAACCAGACCCTCAAAAATTCTTAAATTATGTAGGTACATATCCGCGGCCTAGATTAACTTACTTAATAAAAATTAGATGCCAGCCACCACAGGAAACTGAGAAAAATACAAATGAAGTTTCCCCGAACGCATAGTTTTCGGGTGTCATTTGTATTGATACGTCGCCAAAAATCGAAAAAATCAAGTTGTGTTAAATCTTCATACCCAGCATATTTAAGTATTCTGGCATGGTAACGTACCTTCGATTCTCTACCGTTCGCGAGTTATTTCGACCCAAACTGTGGTCTTTTTTTTTGCACACCCTGTACATCCCGACGCTTTTTGGTGGGAATACGAACAATCGATACCTCGTGGAACATATTGATGTGTACAGGGTGGGTTAATCGATTACTAAAGGTAATAAGGTATCGAGCCTGGCTTAAAATTTATTATATACATTTATGTGAAATTAAAAACAGTCGTTAGGCCACATCCGCCCTCTCTGGTATCGTATCGACCCCGCAAACCGTGGAGGGATGTGGAATTAGGATGGAAGAGGGCAAGGAATATTTGGTGACAGGTAAAAGGGCAAGAAAATGAAGCTAACGGGACTAGAAACTGATAGCAACGACCCCTCGTTTAAACTAGGTTTAGACCGCTACATGCCGCTCCAAATGACGCATTGACATTGATTTTGATAGTTTGCGGCAATTGCGTTTTCCATAAAATTTACATGTCGTAACTTATTCGTCGTGCTTAGTCCCTTTAAATTTGATGTGCAACAGGATTCAACCCCCTCCCACGCCTGGGTCTCGACAGATAGAGTACCAGCTTCAAATACGGAAAATATTGGCTTAACAGCCTATAGTATAACATAAGAGACCTCTAAAAACTCATAAAAATGCCAACGTCATCTGGTATATCGCGTAATTGTCGACAATTGATTGGATTCGGGGTCGATTCAGGTTTTTGGTGAACCCTTTAGGGTATATGTCGGCTACGCGGGGGGGGGGGGGGAATTTTACGCGGGGGGGGGACGGACCGTTGGGGCCGAGCTAACTATTTTTCTGAGTTTCTTTTTCCTACAAACAAAACTCTTAGTATATTTTTCGACGCTCTGTCGAATGACTGCAAGAAATTTTGTAAAATGTCGAAAATGTCGAAAATTTGATTTCCTTCTATATCCTCCATGAAAACAACGTGTAATACTTGTTTTTGTTATAACTATTTTATATTACATAATTTTGAGCTAAAATTAAAACTCTTAGTATATTTTTGGATGCTCTATCGAATGGCATCTTTAAAATGTCGAAAAAATAGCGCGAATATCAAAAAACAGCCGCTCAAACCGATTTTCAAAGCTTATTTTTGTATTTGCCATAACTTTTTTATATTACACTAATTTTAGCTAAAACAAAAACTCTTAGTATATTTTTCAATGCTCTATCGAATGCCGTTGCGAAAATTCCGAGAAAATAACGAAAACATCCAAAAAGGCCTGCCTGTCCCGTCCCCCCCGCGTAAAATCCCCCCCGCGTAGCCGACATATACCACCCTTTAATGTCCAGGCCAATTCGGCGGCTACCAAACGGATCGTCTGCACTCCGTCCTCTGCCTACAATTTGCATCTCCGGATGTTGAAGGCGTTAGACCACCACCGTGGAATGAGGTACTGTAGCATTACATTGCGCAATCCATTGATTTCAAGAATCTTTTCAAACTCCTACGTCTCAACGCGATCTACTGTAACCAGCAATCATGAAAAATGTGGAATTTTGTGTGGACGAACCTTCAAAAGCGAAAATAAACCTTATTCTGGGTTGGAAACATTATTGAAAATCCTGCGGTTTGTGGGGTCCGGCGTTCTTTCGAGTCTTCGTAAAGTGAAGCAACTTTTCCCTTGCCGAAATAGAAAGCACGGATGCTGTGATTGAAGACCAGGTAGAAGATGGCTGAGATACCTAGAGACAGTTCTTGCTGAGAGAGCAGCGTGAGAGAGAGAGAGAGAGAGAAAGAGAAAGAGAAAGAGAGAAGATAGATGAGAGTGAGAGAAAGATATAGGAAGCTAGAGAGAGACAGAGAGACAGCTACCGAGCGAGCAGGAGAGAAAAAGCGAGAGCGTGAACGAGAGAGTGAGAGAGATGCGAGAAAACGCCAAAAACATACCGGATAGCGTCTGCCAGCTGAGTTGTGCGGCCATCGCCCAGCCAAGTGTACCAGCATTCGTCATTTGCATATAAACGTACATCAACGATGCCCCGAGTGCTGGCAGGGTAATTAGGACAGCCTGGATAAGGGCCTGAAACAGTTAATGGAAGAAATAATTCGGGTTCTTGTCTATTAATGGGGGGGGGGGGGGTGCAAGCGTTTCTAGATAGGAAAACCGCCAGAAACCCTTACATTCATCTCTGCTCGCGAAATCTTCGCGCGTTCGGCTCGCCGGAAGAGCAGCATCAGGGCGATGAGGCTGTAGAAGAAACCGATCGTGATCGCCGTACCAATGTTGTGATATTCGTGGACGACGTTCTCGTACATTCGGAATTCCTGGAATCAAGGGATTTTGGAGTTCTTGCGCATTATCGAGGGCGGGCCCCCCCGTTAGTCCCGTTAGCCAAAAGTAGTACTCCCTGGCTTACCGTAGCCACATCCAACACCCCGATCACGTAATACGCCCCCAACATTTTGGAGTTGTACGGCAGGGGAGGGTGCAATATAGAGCCCCAAACACCGTACCCGAAACATATCAGAAGCCAGAACCACATGGGGATTCTCTGGATCAAAAATTATGAAAAAGCGAACAAAACGAAAATACCTGGAAATGATAGTCGATCTTGGCATTGCCGAGAATTACGATAAATCGATTGACGGCGAGTAATACGTAGAAAAATGAGGCGGCTATCCACACGACTGAAAAGAGGTAAATTAGCTCTCTCTCACTCACTCTCTACCTCTCTCTCACGCTCTCTCACGCTCTCGCACGCTCTCTCTCTCTCGCTCGCTCTTTTTCTCTCGCTCTCTCTTTCTCTCTCGCTCTCTCTTTCTCTCTCACTCTCTCCTTCTATGTATTGTTACCGCTTTTTTTTCTTTAGCATATTCCCCGCATTATATCACTCTCTGTCTCACCCACACTCTCTTGCTCTCTCAATCACTGTCTCTTTCTCTCTATCTCCCTTTCTCTCTCACGCTCTCTCTAACGCTCTCTCACGCTCTCTCTAACGCTCTCTCACGCTCTCTCACGCTCTCTCACGCTCTCTCTAACGCTCTCTCACGTTCTCTCACGCTCTCTCTAACGCTCACGCTCTCTCTATCTCTATCTCTCTCTCTCTCTCTCTCTCTCTCTCTCTCTCTTTCTCTCATTGCCTCTCTCTCGCTCGTTCGTTCGAATCCGTTCAAATCCTTGTTGTTTCGCACCGAAAAGCCGGACTTATCAACCATTTAAAGGGCTGCCGACGGCATGTGTCGATCCCCCCCCCATCAACAAATTGGCAAGTAGCCAACAGGGCAGAGAGCGCGCCCAGGGGAGAGGCGCAGAGACATTTTCTTTTCCGCGCGTAATCGATTGACTATGCCGTCGGCATCCCTTTAAACGTGATTTAGCCATGAATACCACTCACAAAAGTTGTACGCCCCTTCGATGTACATCAACACGGGACTGGAGCAAAAGACGGCACCCTGGGAGAACACATAGCCAGCCACCAGCGAGTTGGCCACGATGTTCGACATGTCGGCGATGATTAGGTAGAACATTATCTAAAAAAATGGTGATGATGGCTAACGATTGACTTTTCAGGTACCTTATAACACGAATTCTTGATCAAATTCAGCCGTATCATCGCGTAGATCGTCGGGATGTAGAGGCACTGGGAGGACGACATTTTTTCAGGTCTCTCGCTGGTTTTACCATATACAAGGCGCCGGTAATTTGGAAATAGTTGCCGATCAGGGGCCACCTCTCGCCCGTCTCCAGCCATTCCTCTACAGTCCGCCCCGAACAGTTGTAATACGAGTCCGGGTACCCCAATACCCAACGGATTGTCTGGTAATGAGCGTGAAAAACCGCGAAAAAAAATTGGGGTAAAAATATCAAAATTTTGAAATTACGAAAATCAAGAGTTTCTGATTTTTTTAAAGCGCACATTCAGGGAGTGGCCGTGTACTCGTCCCAACGTGTACACCCTATGGACGTGGGGACCGCGCGCACTGCCTGCCCGTGCCGTGGGAGGCCATTCCCTTCCTTTGCGGCGTGGGGCGCCCCTCGGCCCCTCGCCAGGTTGTAGCTGTGGCTGACTGGTATCAATCCGCGCCTCCCGAGCGGGGGGCCCGGGTTCGACCCCCGGCCGCGGCAAAAAATCTTTGCTTTTTCCAAAAAAAAACGTCCCTGAACGTGCCCTTTAAAGAACTAAAAATGGGATTTTTGAAAGCAGCCGACCCACCTCCATTTGAGAATTCTCACGCCTTGGGCAGAAGAAAAAGAGTTTTGGCTTGCACGGGGATCGGCACCTTTATAAAGTGACCCGGGGAAGTGGATGGCAATTTGTGGGGGGGCGGGAATTCCATTAAACCGTCAATTATCCCAACCCCGGCGATAATGAACACCCTGCAATTTTTAAAGGTAGGTATTTTTTTTACAGTCCGTGTACATACAATGCTTTGTACGGCTAGGAAAACTTTGAGGGAAGTAAAAATATCAGGTTGGAAGGTAAGTCCTGTCGCCGAGATTTTGGAAGGCTGGCTAAATTCGTAGATAGCTCCATTCTGCACATGCGATATGTCATTTTGTAGCTCTCGGTCTGAACGGTTTTGGGAGAAGGGTCCTGGGGCTTCAAAATCAAGAACGGCCGAGATACAGGCCTAGGAAAGTTTTTCCAAAATTACGCAAAAGTGTTTTTGCAAGTTATCTCTGCATAAAGCCATTTGCATGCAATACCTTCAGCACCAATCGATAGATCACGAGGAGTAGATATCGATAGATGTTAAGATCATCAAAATTGGACACTGGATGGCCGAGATATGGCCCCTTGAAGTTTAGCCCATTTCTTAGAACTATTCCCGATTTCCCATACATTTTTTCAAAATCCGCTCCGTTAGTCCAAGAATAAAGCGGCAATTTTCGGCACCTGTCCGTCATATTTTGGGAAATGTATGGGATTTCGAAAAAAGTTCTAAGAAATGGGCCAAATTTCAAGGGGCTCTGTATTGGCCATCCGGTGTCCAATTTTGATGATATTAACATCTATGGATATCTACTCCTCGAGGGCTATCGATTGGTGTTAATGGTATCGCATGCAAATGGCGTTATGCAGAGATAACTTGCAAAAACACTTTTGGGCGATTTTGTGAAAAACTTCTAGAGTGTGTATCTCAGCTTTCCTTGATTTTGAAGCCCCAGGACCCTCAGCCCAAAACCGTTCAGACCGAGAGCTACAAAATGACGTATCGCATGTGCAGAATGGAGCTATCTACGAATTTACCCAGCTTTCAAAAATCTCGGCGACAGGACTTTCGTTCCAACCTGATATATCTCGATATTGCTATCGTAATATCGTAATTCATAATGGCGAAATGGCATCCTGCCGAAATTTGATTAATTTCAATTTTTTTGCCTAGGTTCAGGGGTTTTACCGGGAATACTCGCTCCTGTAAAGTTCGACATGAATGGCATCTGAATTTTAAAATACAGCATTGCCACGTCCAACCGGGGGCAAAAGATCATGCGATGCGGTCGCGTTGCGGCGGCATCTGGCTGTTTGCCAGGAATCGAGCACCGACGGGCAGTCCTGGACGCGGGCCGGCCCGACAGCTCGTTTTTCCCCGGCCCGGCCCGGCCCGGCCAGACGCGATTCTCGGCCCGGCCCGGCCCGGCCAGACGCGATTCTCGGCCCGGGCCGGCCCGACTTTTTGAGGTCAAAACCGGGGTTGGCCAAAAACCTCCCGCCAAAGTGGTTCAACACCATTTCAAGATACTTAGTTGTTAATACAGCGTTAATGTGTCCTTTTTACAGCTTTTCCGCAAAGAAAATTCAAAGTTTAAATTAACAACGATTTTTAAGGGGGGTAAATATCGATGGGGTTGAGGATAATAAGGTTAAATTCAACCATTTGGGGGTCTAATTAGCTATTTTAGTGGAGATTTTAACGTTCCATACGCTACTACGATGTACCATTATACTTCTATGAAAAAACTCGGTCCGAATGACTAAAAAAAATCCAGAAAGCAAAAAGATGGCACCGGGTGGGGTCGAACCCGGGTCGAATTCCTGGTAGGGGGTTAAACCAAAAAAGGTTCAAATTTTGACTGAGGTTATATAAAAAGGCCCAATAGGCTATTTGCGAGCGATAAAAATGCAAAATAACACACGATTTCCGTCCAAAAACCTATTTATTTACTTAGACAAAAACGTCGTGCCGGCCCGCGTTTTGTCCAAGCCTGCCGACGGGGGTTGATCCGCTTTCTTAGCCCCTCTAACAAGGAGACGTTTTTGAGTGTCGTCGGGACTTTGGCACGGGACCAAGCCTATCTTGTGCAGAATTTTACGCTGATTCCGAATATGGTAACCGTTTTTGCGGAATAGCCATTTCTCGAAAGTTATGAACGATTTAAAACTCAAAACAGCCCAAAATCGGCTACTTTCAATAGTCATAAAAGGCTTCAAAAGAGGTTTTAGACAAAACCAGATAGTACACCTTGTTCAGAAAACAATTCTCTATAAAATGTAAATCTCTCTAAATCTATAAAATCTTTTCCAAATCATTGAAAAGTTGGAAAAATTTGATAAATTGGGAGGTCCATAATTTTACAAAAATTTTCAAAATTCCAGCGTTTTTGAGTTAAGTAGGTTATTTTATAGAGAATTTTTTTCTGAACAAGATGCACTATCAAGTTTTGTCGAAAACCTATTCCGAAGCCTTTTATGACTATCGAAAGTACCCAATTTTGCGCTGTTTTGAGGTTTAAATCATTCATAACTTTCGAGAAATGGCTATTCCGCAAAAACGGTTAACATATTCGGAATGAGCGTAAAATTCTGCAGAAGATAGGCTTGGTCCCGTGCCAAAGTCCCGACGACACTCAAAAACGTCTCTTTGTAAGCATACAAAATAAAATTTATCCAAACTCAGCACGGTCTAAATCGATAATTAAGCGGTGGGTTGCGTGTTCCGGCGTTCTTTGGACTCTTCGTAGATGGATGACACTTTTCCCTTGCCGAAATAGAAAGCTCGGATGCTGTTGTTGAACAACAGGTAGAAGACGGCAGAAATCCCTGAAGATGAATTTTTTAAAATGTTTAGGGAGAGTGAAAGGAGAGTGTGAGCGTGAGGGTGAGTGAGTTAGGGAGAGACAGTGGGAGAGAGACAGAAAGGGAGAGAGAGAACAAGAATAAATTTACCAGATAATGTCTGCCAGCTGAGCTGTGCGGCAATGGCCCATCCGATCGTCCCCGCGTTCGACATTTGCATATAGACGTACAGTATACAAGCTCCCAGGGCGGGTAGTGTGATTAGGAAGGCTTGAATCAGGGCCTGAAAAGGGAATACGATCATTGTAGATGAACGGCAAGACATTGATGGATTTTTATGGGTTTTTTTTGGCTGTGGATTTGCGTGATTTTGCCGTGACGCGACACGCAACGCGTAATGGGATGCGTCGTAACCGATTGCGCAAAGGCAAGACGTAGCGGGGCGTTGCGTAGTACGGTAGCTAAAATACCCCACATTCATTTCAGCCCGCGAGGTCTTCTCTCTTTCGGCTCGCCGTAACATAAGCATGAGGGCAATTAGGGCGTAGAGTACGGTAATTGTGGCGGCGACAACGATATTGTTATACTCGTGGACGACGTTTTCGTAAATCGGGAATTCCTAGAATGAAAAGTATGTCGCAAACAGTTTCGTTAAAAAAGAATTTCTACTTTTATTTGTGAAAAATAAGAAAAAAATTGTTGGCGAAGTGAAAAATTGTAAAAATATTTTTCTTATTGATTATGTGTTTAAATAGATTTATGTTCCGTTTAATTCATTTACCGTGGCCACATCCTGCACCCCGATCACGTAGTAGGCGCCGAATAGTCGCGAATTATAAGGTAAAGGTTTATGCAGTATCGCGCCGTAAGTACAGTACCCCAAGCACATAAGCACCCAAACGTACGTGGGGATCCTCTGAACACCATAAACTTTTAATCAGATAAAAAGGTCAATTGATTTACCTGAAAGGTATAATCAATCTTGCCGTTTCCAAGGATTACGATAAATCGATTGACGGCAAGGAGAACGTAGAAAAATGAAGCGGCCAGCCATACGACTGAAAAGAGACGAATTAAAGGGGCAATGACACCTCAAAATGGGTGTTTTTTCCGGCCGAAAAAGCGTACACTGGGGCTCTACGTAGTTGAATGTAAAATCTAGCACTCAAGCCGGGTTGTAACGGCTTAAAGGGAGCGGTACACATGTAAAAAGTATGATCTGTAGTTATCTGTCTGAGCGCACAAAGTAATGGTGTACATTGGAGCGTTACGTAGTCAAGCCCCCACAAGACACCCGACTCGTTATAAAGCGTACATCGGAGAAAGTGTACATTCGATCTTTGCGTAAGCAAGTTTTTCCGATACGCTACGCAGCAAATTACGTGTAAAGTGGACATATTAATTAGTCATTAACCTGTCTATTTTTACCAGCCGATATAATATTTACTTTAATTTAATGTTAATTTTCAAAATTTAATTTAGGGTTCAAAGGGCACGTTTTTTTGGAAAAAGCAAAGAGTTTATGCCGCGGCCGGGGGTTGAACCCGGGCCCCCCGCTCGGGAGGCGCGTATGGATACCAGTCAGCCACAGCTACCACATGGCGAGGGGCCGAGGGGCGCTCCACGCCGCAAAGGAGGGGAATGGCCTCCCACGGCACGGGCAGGCCGTGCGCGCGATCCCTACGTCCATAGGGTGTACACGTTGGGACGAGTACACCGCCCCTCCTTGAACGTGCGCTTTAAAGTTAATTTTCAAAGCACACTTAGTGGCTTATAATATATTATTATACTCACAAATGTTATACGCTCCCTCGAGATACATCAGCACCGGGCTCATACAAAATACGGCTCCCACCGAAAACATATAGCCAGCGATCAAGGAATTTGCCACGATATTCGACATGTCGGCGATGATTAGACAAAACATTATCTAAAAAGTCTATTTTTTATCTTCGATTTTACTTAAATTAATCCCGCTGTCACGAAAAGCCTAAAATTCAGGGGCTTAGGGGTACTGTAGCGCAAGCAGCAGTTTTCAGCCTAGAAAACCGTACCTTATAACACGAATTCTTGATCAAATTCAGCCGTATCATCGCGTAGATGGTGGGGATGTAGAGGCACTAAACTATGGTGTTTTTCAGGTATCCAACTAGCCTTACCGTATACACCGCGCCAGCGATTTGAAAATAATTCCCAATCAACGGCCACCTCTCGCCAGTCTCCATCCATTCCGCTACACTCCGCCCCGAACAGTTGTAAGACGAATCCGGGTAGCCGAATAGCCAGCGGATTGTCTGAAATCGGTTAAATTTACAACAGGGCTGGTACCCAGATCAAAATTACACGCCTGAAATTTTACCACACGTGTAAATTTTTTACACACGCGTGTAAAAAAATTACACGCGTGTATTTTTTTTTACACGCGTGTAAATTCCGAAAGTTTCCTTAACAAATTTGTTAACAAATGAAAAAACACGCGTGTAAAATTCTACAATTTTTTACACACGTGTAAATTTGATTTACACGCGTGGTAAAAAAAAGTGACGTGCTCGGAGACGGGGGAAAAACCCGAAAAAATTACACGCGAGCGCCAAAAATTTACACGCCAACTTTGGAAGCCTCCAGCAAATCGGAAAAATATTTTTTTGGAAAAGGTAAAACGAGACAAGCTGCAGACGGGTACCAACAGTCGGCCAAAAAAAAGTTGGATCGCTAAGTGCCCTGGAAATTTTTTTATATGCCATTTTGTGAAGGCCCTTTTTTGAGCGATTTACACACGTTTTCCAAATGTAATTTTCTTACCTAAAAATTTACACGCGTGTAAAATTTCAAGTCAAAAATTTCTCGCCAAATCGCGTTGTTAGATCTTTTGCGCGTATCAAATGTAAAATTTATGACCGAAGCGGCAACGAGAACAATCAACAACAACAAGAAACAAATTATAAATAACGAAATTAAACAATATATATTATTTCGGATTTCAGTTACACGTGTGTTGAAGTGGGAAGGGTGTTTTGAGCTGCGTGAAGGCATTTCTAAGGTAAACTGAGTGGTCAAATGACATAAAACGTTCTAAATTCTCGCGCTTTCGCCATTTTTCCGAATGTAATTTTCTTACCTAAAAATTTAAAGGTTTTTCCGTTGTAGGTAACATTCGTATTTTGACAATTCGTCAAAAACAGCGCCCACATATTTGGTCGAAACTAATTGGATCGGCTCAGTTTGCTTTTTATACCATACGGAACCCGAAAATGGCGAAATTGCGAGAATTTAGAAAGTTTTATGTCATTTGCCCACTCAGTTCACCTTAGAAATGCCTTCACGCAGCTCAAAACACCCTTCCCCACTTTTACTGCACTTTGCTAAAAAGCTATGAAACCCGTTACCGATAGCTTTAGGTTCCTTCCCTGGCGTAAAACTACTCGAAAAAAAAGATTGGAATTAACCCTTCATGGCCCATCCCTGGCCCACTATGGCTGCGAATTTTTGCACGCGTGTAAAAATTTTACACGCGTGTAAATTTTCGGCCAAGTTTCCTTGAAAACCCTTATAAAACTCAATTACACGCGTGTAAATCCCAAAAGTGACGTGTAAATTTGACGTGTAATTTTTTTACCACGCGTGTAAATTTTTGGCTATTTTGACACGTGTAATTTTGATCTGGGTACCAGCCCAGTAGTGCGATTTAGCCGTTCCCAAAGTATCTGAAAACCCTCAAATTTCGCAAGATTATTTTTATAGTTCAAAAATTGGCTTAATTTAGCTAAAAAGTCTGTCTGTTTTGAACGCTCCATAAAATCACATTAAGACAATTTACATGACGGTCAACGAGTTATAAACATTCACGCGATTTAATTTGAACAAATCACCTAAATCAAAATCAGGTAAATTTAAAATTTAGGGTTATAAGCTAGAATTTAGCTTGTTTTTTAACTCAACATTAAATATAACTAATTAAACTAAATTAAACCAACAATTATATATAATAATTTATACCCTAGCAGTTCGTCTCAAATTGACGTATGGCTCTACCTTAATATCATCTTAAATTTAAACAGGTTTAGTATTTCAGCATTTTTAATTTGAAGCTTCCCTTCATAGCCTTAAAATCAAAATCCCTACCTCCATTCTCCAATTTCCAGAAGCCGAGTTGAGTAGAATAAGGACAGTTCGAAGCTCGGTGCGCGCCGGAAAGCGACACTTATAAGGCCGCCCGGAAAATGGGGCAATTACCGCAAAATTAGCACTGCTGCCCACGATTTGTAGCGCGCGTCTGGGAGGTTAATTCTAGACCCTGCAAACCTAGAATAATTGGATTGAATGTACATTTATAGGACTGTTGAATGGAGCGTTGCGTAGCTATTGAAAAAAGACAGAATTTACGAGGTGCACCGGCACAGGATACTGCAGACAGAGATCGGAATTGGAGAAAACCCGGTAATTTTCTTGGAATTGAATGGGGTTTTGGACCGTTTTGTGACTGGGCCAGATTTATTCCGATGTGCTCCTTGTGCGCTGTGACCTTTGGGGATGTGTATGGCTGTTTATAGGTTTTCAAGAGATTTTTAAGAGATCTGATATACAGCATTGGCACAAAAGCGTTTTAAAGGGACTGGAAAGGCAAGCAAATCTTGAATTTTCACGTTATATTTTGTAGATTTAGCAAAGCGCGCGACGTCAGCTATTCCACCGCGCGGTTGATTTCCCGCTCAAGTCTATATTCAAAACAATCAAGTTTGCCTTGCTGGTCCCTTTAAAGGAGCGAGCAAGGCAACACCACGGATTTTTCGTTGCGAAGCGTGAATTTTGCCGCACCATTACACGCAATGCGTGCGCCCTCAAGTATCGCGTAAAAACCTTCAAGGCCTTCGGCAGCAAACGTGCGTTTCGTGTGGCAATCGCCGCGGGATTTGAGAAATCTAACCCATAGTCCATAAATCCAGAATCTTGCTTTTCTAGTTTCTTTAAAGGGGCGCGGCCAAAAATCGCCCCAAAAACCTTCGATCCAAACGTCTTTTGGGTCCTTCGCAAGAGGCTACATGCGTCGGGGGCGCGGCGCGTTGTATACAGTTGCGTAGCGTAGCGTCGCGCAGAGTTGCGTATCGTTGCGTTGCGTTGAGTTGCTTGTGGCGTCACGCGTTGCCTTGCGCGTTGCGTTGCGAACGAGGATAAATTATCTCAAGCTTCGCATTAAACGTGTTAAAAATTACATATTGAGTCGGGGAAGATGGTAGTTCCGAAATTTTCAGAAATCTAGAAGAGTACTGTAAGGATTTGTTGAATATTTTGCTATGTCAAGCCTCAAAAATCGCCACTATCAGCTCTTTAAATACCGAAATCCGGACGACCGGCCAGACAATGAATTCCAGCTATTTCTCGGAAAACGGGGGCATCACTCGAACATGTATTTTGTACCACTGAAGGCGATTACCATTGGGGATTTCGGGCTTTGTTTTTCTACATCGCGAGAGAGACACAGAGAGAAAGAGAGAGAGAGAGCGAGAGACAGAGAGAGAGGGAGAGAGGGAGAGATGTCTGTAGCTGCGTTTGAATCTGATTGCAGGCGTAATTTTTAGGCAGATTCTAGCGCTCCAACTTTACTCATCAGACTTCTAAAACACGGAAAAATTCGTAATTGTGATTTTTCAGTCAGAATTCTTCGAATTTTCGCAAAATCAGGTGCAATTGCGATTAACGTTTTCTAGTTTGATCGAAGCACAACAAGTGCACCGGGTATCATGCCATTAATCCTTTTTTGTAGTAGCAGCGCCCCCGTTAAAAACTACTGCGAAAGACGGTAATCATACCAAATTGCCCGGCACGTGGCCGCGATTTCTGATAATTGCCTGTTTAATGGCGCTGGTAATTCATCCGGGTCCATTGAGCGCAATTTTGCGTGGGATTAGGCTTGAAAATAGAGATCTTATCGAAGGGGTGACTCAAATTCTTGCCAAAAAATACGATAATTTGAGGGTTATTTTTTGAATGCCAGGGTCGTCAGCTCAACTCAAATGAATTAACAATGTTGTGCAGCAAATTGAGTTAATCTAAAAAATTAAGGAGTTCTCTTAATATTTAAGGATTTAGGCAAAAAACGAAAATCAAAATAGTCAGGTTTAGCTACCGTAATATCGGTGGTACTGGACTGTTAGCGCGGGGGGGGGGGTTGGCGAGGAAGAAACTAATTGTTTGTCCACCTATGCCTACGAGTTGATAATATATAATGCATTTTTATAAGGTTTTTATTAGTTGGTGATTTTTAGATATGAAAAAAATATTGTAAAAATTTGCAAATTCGAAAATTGATCATTTTGGTAATTTTCATGCCTTTTGGCCAAAAAGTCGAAAATTTTCGATTAATTTTCAATTTTTTTATCGATTTTAATAAATAAAAAGGGGATAAAATGGTTTATGTGGAATTCTATGCATGGGATTACCTGGCAAAATTTGGTTCCCCCTAACCGTCAGAAACATACATTAAATCCGGTAAACTTGGTCGTTTCCTTTCAATTGGCCTGCGAAACAGATTTCATTAGCAGTTTTTCATGCGAAAGTACGCAAGGCTCCGCAAAAAAAAGAAGATATTTATTCCAGCTTTAGGCGACAGTTGAACTGCTTTTTTTGTTGAAAATGGGTTTAATGGTTCACAATTCAGGCGTTACATTTGTTGGATTGCGAGCTTTCGATTCCTCATAGGTTGAAGCGATTTTGCGGTTTCCAAAATAGAACGAACGAATGTTGGAGTTGAAAACGAGATAGGAGATCGAGGAGATACCTTAAAAATCTTTAACTTGTGAGAATCACTAAAATTAAGTTAATTTTTCTACAAACACTATGAATTTCGACATTTTCGAAGAACCTCAGGAAAGTGAGGCTTAAATACAGCAGGAGGCACGTCTTAAAAAGGTACCAGTGATCGTTTGCCATATCAACTGCGCGGCGATGGCCCATCCAATCGTACTGGCGTGCGTTAACTGTACATAAACGCACATTAGACATCCCAAGAGGACGGGTAGCGTGATCATGACGGCTTGGATTAGGGTCTAAAACGGTTATTTACCGTTTTAACGCGTATTAAGACATTTAAAAGTACTATGTAGAGTTTTTATAGCGTCATTTAGCGGAGTGTCGCGTAGTTGCGCGTATCCTAACGTTTTCTGCGGTACAATTGTCGTGGAATCGAATGGTAATGGCGTATTCCAGCGTAGCTTGGCTTTTTTCCACCCGGTTAAAACCCACATTCCATTCAGCTTTCGATATTTTCAGCCTTTCGGGTCGTCGAAATATTACTAGTATAGCAATAAGGCCGTAGAGTATCGCCAATATAATGCTCATAAATACATTGTTAAATTGGTGTATTTTATTGACGTACATCGGGAATTCCTAAAGTGGTAATTAGGAGATAGGCTAAGTACAGTAATTTTCCACGGAGACTACTGACTACGTGGCGCTCCAAAAATTGCTAAGCTTAATAAACGTTAATAAACGTTTAATTAGGCATAAAATCACTGAACGATTAGCCGCTAATGTATCATATTAATAGGACCTCATAAGCTACATACTACGCTACGTTACAAATTACATGTTTACTGCTGAATGTTTTACTTATTTAAAAATGCAGTCAATAATTAGTACAAAAAAAAAATAGAAAATATCTTAAATCATACCGTAGACAGGTCCTGCACAAAAATAACGTAATAGGCACAAACGGCCTTTGAGTTATAGGGCATAGGTGGGGATAGGATTCCGCCGTAGGTACTGTAGCCAAGCGCAAGGAGTATCCAAACGGAATTTGGGATTTTCTATAAAGAATTTAAATGTTTTAATTTAGGTTATAACCAGGGTTGAAAAACCGCTTCGCGGCTTTTCAACCCTGGCCCCGTCTTCTCCAATGATATTCTTGGCTTTGCAGAATTTTCCCGGATTTGGATGACGAAAAATGAAAAATGCTCTTGCCGTCCCTTTATATAGGCTACCGCGACTTCCGGTGCATGCTAATTTGTTCCTAACAAATTCGGGTGTCCGATTTTCCATGAAAAACTTAATTTTAATGTCGAAAACATCATATTTTGTAAAATCTGATATATCTGCAGTCATCTCCAGGCCATTACGCACCTAACGACGTATCGAACATACCCCTAAGTACTTCCCCTCTTGAGATACTACTGGAACACGGTGACGGAAGTTGCATGCAAATGCACACACACACACACACACACACACACACACACACACACAGACACTATTTTTTATATATATAGTAGGATAATTTAGTTTTGATTTTAATTTTTTAATCGAATATTTGAATCGATAAACATTAAGTTTGAATTTAATTCTAAATTTACGTGAAATAGCTGATCCACCCTGGGATTTCCAAGAAATACGATTAAACGATTGACGCCGAGAAGGACGTAGAAACACGCGGTGACCATCCAGATGACTAAAAATGAATTTTGAAGGTATCGAGGGATCTCGGAGCTTGGAATTAGTAGCGTATCGTACTCACAAACATTAAAAGCTCCTTCGATATACATAAAAACCGGGCTCATACAGAATACGGCACCGATAGAAAAGAGATAACCCGCAAATAGGGAATTCGCCAGAAAATTCGCCATATCGCCCAGGATTAGCCAGAACATTATCTGAAAAAAATACTTTAGGTAGCGATTTAGTGATTTTTAAGGTATTGAAACTTAATGCGGTATCCTTAACTTCAAAAAATACTAGAATGATTTATGATAAATTTTTTAAAAGGCAACCTTTAATAATTAGAATACACCTTAAAAGATCTTAAAAAACCTGACTTAATTTAAATATAAAAAGTTTTCTAGGATTGCGAAACTACATTTTTCATAATTCCACGAGATTTGGGGTAAGTTAGAAAATTTTCAAACCCAAACATACCTTATAGCAAGAATTCTTGACCAAATTCAAGCGTATCATTGCGTAGATTGTGGGGAGGTAGAGGCACTAAAGAATCATTATTTTTGATGAATTACGGTAAGTTAGGCACTGTATTTAATCACCCGATTACAGCCGCTTCGCGACTGTAATCGGCTGGACTTCGGGCTACCCTCCATATTCTACACCACCACATTTCATCTCTACCTTGCGCTGATGCCTTCATGGCAATACCTACACTGATGGCTTCAGATACCTCCTCTAGCCACCCCCCCCCCCCTCCGACAAAAACATAGCTACCTTCCCGATGGCTTCAGATACCCCTCCGAGCCGAAATTCCCTTAAAAAACTACTTCGATACCTTCCTGATGGCTTCCGATCCCTCCCCTAGCCGAAATCCCCTTCAAAAATTACCTAAATACCTTCCCGATGGCTTAAGATACCTCCCTTAGCCGAAATCCCCTTCAAAAACTATTTAGATCCCATCCCGACACTTTAAATGATTTGAATAATCAATTAACATAATTCAAAAGTATTAAAAAGTATTAAAGTAACTTAAAAAGCTATTTGGGCGCGGGAAAGGGCCTGGTGAAGAGGGGCCGGGGAAAGGGGGCGTGGCCTCCCGGGAGAGGGGCCCCCCGCTCCTTTTATTAAGGCGTCACTTTCAAAGTTAATTTTAATAATTTAAATTAAAACTTTTTCATATTTTTCATCAGTTTTGGGGTTTCTGACCACGCTCTATCCGAATCCGAAGAGAGCTAAGCTCTAGCTCCTTTCCCCTTCGAGTTGAATTCGGGAGCGGACAGACACACAGAGACCACAGCAAAATTATTATAGGTGATACCATACCATGTAAATAGTGCCAGAAATCAGAAGGTAAGTCCCAAACAACGGCCATCTCTCCCCGGTCTCCATCCATTCCGCTACACTCCGCCCCGAACAGTTGTAATACGAATCCGGGTAGCCGAATAGCCAGCGGATTGTCTGAAAGAGATAATTTTATTTATATTTTAGCGTTGAAAATATATATCGATCAGTTTTTGCTGGTTCTCATTTTTTTGTGTAATTTTGTTCCGTTCTAGTATACACTTCTGAAAGTAAAACGCGTACCTCCATTGATCAGGAGCGTCCAATTTTTTAGAAATCAGAAAATAAAATGACGGAAATGAATATGTGGAGCCCGAAATCGGGCCCCGGAAACTGGATTAAACTTCTTTTGGCTAATTTAGCCTTTGGACGTGATGTGCTGGTGGCACGTTGTAGCACGGCAACAATTATAGTCTAGATCGGGCCATTTAAACGCGGTGATTGGAAAAACTTCTTGGAAAAGGAATCCCCCCAGAGATCTGCTAATTGTCATCCGAGGCGCCTCAGCTGGATTTTGTGAAATTCCTCACGATTTTTGGCTAAAAATAGAGTTTTCACAGTTCAAAACACAAATCCACGTTCTTTCTCTTTCTCGCTATCTCTCTCTTGCTCTTGCTCGCTTCCAGGCTCGATCGGGCTCTTTTGCTCTTATTCCTGCTGGTTCGGGCATACTCTCATACTCGTGCTCGCTCTCTCACACGCTCGCTATTTGGCTCTAACTTGCAACGTCGTTGGCTCTTGCTCTCCCTTGCTAGCTCGTGCTCACCCGTGTTCGCTCTCTCACTCTCTCTCTCTCTCTCCGTTGCTAGCTCGTGCTCACTCGTGTTCGCTCTCTCTCTCTCTCTCTCTCTCTCTCTCTCTGTATCTCTCTCTCATTTATCCCTAAATTTCAAATTTACATTTTATTACTATCAACAGTTCGTTGTTTAGAGTTCGCCCTTTTTTCTTTCGATTCCTCATATTTTGATGCAATTTGCCGATTTCCAAAGTAGAAGTGACGGATGTTGGAGTTGAAAAGGAGGTAGAAGACGGCGGAAATTCCTTGAAATGCGTTATCTCTTTTTCAGGTCTCACTCTCACTCTTCCTCTCTCTCTCTCTCTTGCTCTCTCTCACTCGCTCTCTCTCTCACCAGATAACATTTGCCATATCAATTGTCCAGTTATAGCCCATCCTATCGTGTTCGCATTTGTTGCCTGGACATAAACGTAGCCCAAACATCCTATTAATGCCGGCATCGTTATCATAAACGCTTGAATCAGGGCCTAAGAGAAATGATTTTAAAGGGGCCGTGACAGCAATCAAACGACGGTTCATACAAAAATTATTTTTAGCGTCTTTAGATAAACGTTTTTAGATAAACGTTTTTAAAGGGACAATAACAACTCAAAAACGGTAAGAAATCCCTATAAAATCTCACATTCCACTCAGCCCTCGATATTTTCAGCGCTTCCGGACGTCGGCATAATAGCATGATGGCTATCAGACCGTAGAATACCCCTAATAATACGCTCACAAATATGTTGTTATACGAATGCACTTTATTTTCGTAGATTGGGAATTCCTAGAATATACAGTATTTTAGTTGGGATAGTATGTAACGATGAAAACACATAAAAAGAAGAGAGGAGAGCGCGAGAGCGTGAGACAGAGAGAGGACAGAGTGCAAGAAGTGAGAGAGAGCCAGAGTCAGAGAGAGAGAGAGAGAGAGAGAGAGAGAGAGAGAGAGAGAGAGAGAGAGAAAGAGAGAGAAAGAGTGACAGCGAGAAAGAGAGAACGTGAGAGAGATATTGAGAGAGTGAGCGAGAGAGAGAGTGGGAGAGCGGGAGAGATAGACAGAGAGACAAAGAGTGGGTCAGCGGGAGAGAGAGAGTGGGAAAGCGGGAGAGATAGACAGAGAGAGAGAGAGAGAGAGAGAGAGAGAGAGCGAGAGAGGGAGAGAGAGAGCGAAGGAGAAAGCGCGCAGCAGCTTCTTCACGTACCGTAGCTAAATCCTGCACAAAAATGACGTAATAAGCGCTGAACGCCGTTGAATTGAAGGGCATCGGTTTATGAAGTATTGCGCCGTAAGTACAGTACCCCAAACAACACAGTATCCAGGCGTAGATAGGAATTTTCTGGAATTTTCGTGTCTTTTTGTGCATAAAGAAGCTTACCTGAAAAATCCGGTCGATCCTATTATTCCCCAAAATCACGATAAACCTATTCAGGGCGAGGAGGACGTAGAAAAATGAGGCGGCCAGCCAGACGACTAAAAAATTCAAAAATTTCGATTTTAAAGGAACAAGCAAGGCAAAAACCGGTCTATACCGAAAATTTAATGGTTTACTGAGTAGTGCTGCCTACTTACAAATATTATAAGCCCCCTCGATATACATAAAAACCGGATTCATGCAAAACACGGCACCAATCGAAAATGAATAACCAGCAAATATTGCACATATCGGCGATGCAGAGACAAAACATTATCTGAAAAAAGTTAAGACGGTAATATTTGCACCTTTTAAGAAGTTAAAGAAGTAAGAAGAAGCAAATATAACGCCGTTAAAACAACTAAAAGGCCTCAAAATTTACCTTATAACACGAATTCTTGATCATATTCAAGCGTAGCATTGCGTAGATCGTCGGGATGTAGAGGCACTAAATAAAATATATTTCAGATACGGGACCATCAGCTTTCTCTCTCCCCCTCTCTCTCTCTCTTTCTCTCTCTCTCTCTCTCTCTCTCCCCCTCTCTCCCTATCTCTCTTTCCCTCTCGCTCTCTCGCTCACTCTCTCTCTCCCCGGAAGGTTAAAAATACACAGAACTGGGTTATGGTAGTTCGGGCCCATTTTTAAAAGCACTCACCATGTAAACAGCACCAGATAACAGAAAATAGGTCCCAAAAATCGGCCATTTCTCGCCAGTTTCCATCCATTCCGCTACACTCCGCCCCGAACAGTTGTAATACGAGTCCGGGTAGCCGAATAGCCAGCGGATTGTCTGAAAAAGCTAGGTTCTTCGACTTCTCGCGGTTAAAGACGCTTTCGCTAAAGGATACCTCTAGAGTCTGCACTTTTGATACTTTTATTCAACTGAAAATGTAAAAAAACGGTTTAAGGTACGTTAAGGATCTGTTTACATACCTCCATCCCGATCTGTCAGCAAATCGTACGTTGAAACCTGGGGAACCGAACTGCCTAAAAAAGCCTCGAACTGGACACGAATTTTGAGTTTGGAAAAAGCTTGAAACGCAAGTAAGTACGGCTGACGACAGAACCGATTCTGCGTAACATTAAGCTCAAAGATAATAGGCGACCATTTCCAGCCCACACATCCACATCAATTAAATCTGCGTAGGCTGGGAAAATTCGGAGAACTGAACATCTTGGAATGATGGTAGAAGAGGATTTTGTACTTTCTAACCAGCCTTTTTAACGGGATTGGCAAGGCATGACCATGGATTTGGTTAGTTTTGGAAACTCAAATTTTTACAATATGCGAAACGATTCATAAATTTAGAAACAGGATTAAAGCAGCGAATTTTGCAGGATATTTGTCTTGAAACGTTTAGCAAAAATGAAGAAACCGCCCTTTCCTGCTTGGAGCATCCTTTTTTTACAAAATTAGTGTTGAATTCAAAGCTTTTATTTATCCTGATTATCTAAATTGGCGGAGATAGGTCAGAAAACGGTCATTTTTGGGTTAGCTGCCAAGATTTCGCATGTTAATTGCTAAAAAAAGTCGGAAGCTAGAAGCAGCGGAAAACTATCTACACATTTTTATTTTGCGATTTTTCCTTCGCAAATTGCGTAGTTGTCTAGTCTAGGTCAGCCAGCAAACACCATTGCGGAATCTTTTTGATGATTGCAAGGAACGCTGGATGACCAGGCATAAATTTGCGATGAACCCAACAAATGAACCTTCCCATGTCCACCCAACCTCTAAACAATGTTTTCGTACGTTTTCGTACGCCTTCAGTTGCCGAGCAAATTGGCCAGTCGGAAAATCGCATGAAAAACCGTCTGAATAGTTGATGCCATGTGTTTACAATGCGCTCTGAGGGCATCAGAAATTTCGTGTGACCGTACGCCATATTCTCAGGCGTGTTTTTGATCTATTGTTGCGGTTTTTGGGAAGTGCTCTTTGAGGCGTTTTTTGGGAAAGTTGTACTTAGAAAATCACTCTAGCTCGCTCTCTCTCTCTCTCGCTCACTGCTCTCATGCTCTCTCTCAAGCTCTCTCTTACCCACTCCCTCCCTCTCCCTCCCTCGCTCTCTCTCTCTCTCTCTCTCTCTCTCTCTCTCCCTCTCTCTCCCTCTCTCTCTCTCCCTCTCTCTCCCTCTCTTTCTCTCGCTCTCGCCCTCCAGCCCAGAGAAGGTTCAGAATTAATTTCGTGTGAAAGTACGCAATTCGAGCCTAAAAATTGCGAAATTATTGGTGCAAGACGAAATGTGTTCTTTGAGGTGTTTTTCTCAAAAAAAACATGAACTTGGCTTTAGCCAGTTTTTATTTAGAGACTTGACAAAAGAACGGGTGGGAATCAGACCAAATTTTGGCCATTGGAACCCTCGTAGATCGACGAGACTCTGGTCGTGCCAAAATAGAAGCCTCGGATCCGGGAGTTGAAGATGAAATAGAAGATGGCGGAAATGCCTGAAACGGGTGTAATTCTGGCTCTCTCTCCCGCTCAGGATCTTTCTATCTCGCTCTCACGCTATCTATCTCTCTCTCTTTCTCTCTCTCTTTGCCCGCTCTCTACCCAAGCGCAAAAACGCACCAGATAGCGTCTGCCAGCTGAGCTGAGCAGCTACAGCCCAACCGAGGGTGTTCGAGTTGGTCATCGGAACGTAGACGTAGAGCATACAAGCAAATAGAGTCGGTAGGGTGATCATGAAGGCTTGAATTAGAGCCTGAAAGATATATTTCTTTCGTACTCTATAGCTGTCTCACATTCTCTCTCTGTCTCTCTCTCTCTCTCTCTTTCTCTCTCTCTCGCTTACATTCATTTCAGCTTGTGAAGTCTTCTTCTCTTCAGACCGTCTGAAAATAATTATCAGGGCTATCATACTGTAGAATATGGCAATTAATGCTGCGACGGTTGGGTTGTGATATTGCTGGACGATGTTTTCGTATTTCCTGATTTCCTAAAAAAACATGATAAATAGCGTAAAACCACACACCCAACTTACCGTAACCGGATCTTCAACAGAGATGATATAGTGAGCGCTGAGGTGTGGGGAGCTATACGGAAGCGGTGTGTGCAGTATGGCACCGTAGGTACAGTATACCAGACAGAGGAACAGCCAGATGGACATGGGGACTTTCTAAAAAAATGCAAAAAATTAAAAAAATTACAGTTTTCTGCAACATCTTTCTCTCCCTCACACTCTGTCTCTCTCTCTCGCTCTTATTCACTCTCGCACCTCACACACACTCGCTCTTGCGCACTCTATCTCTCTCTCTCTTTTTGTCTCTCTCTCTCTCTCTCTCTCTCTCTCTCTCTCTCTCTCTCTAGCTCTCTCTCTCCTTAAAAATCAACCTGGAAAAGATAATCAAGTGTCGAGTTTCCTAAAATCACAATAAATCGATTGATAGCGAGTAAGACGTAGAAAAACGAGGCGGCCATCCATACAACTAAAATTCCAGCGGTTTTTATACTTCCTAGTCTTTCTAGCAAGCGTAATTCGGAGTATCTCGTACTTACAAATGTTATAAGCTCCCTCGATATACATAAAAACCGGATTCGTACAAAACACGGCCCCGGCCGAAAACAGATACCCAGCAATTATGGAATTCGCGATGATATTCAAGATATCGACACCGATTAGGGTCAGCATTATCTGGCACAAATACATGGAAGTTTTACTTTTCCCCCCACCTTATAACATGAATCCTTGATCATATTCAAACGTATCATCGCGTAGATCGTCGGAAGGTAGAGGCACTAAATCACGGATTCCTTATTTGCGTTAGGGTAATTATTACCATGTAAGCAGTGCCAGAAACCAGAAAATACGCCCCAAATAACGGCCATCGTTCTCCAGTCTTCGCCCATTCCGCTACACTGCGCCCCGAACAGTTGTAGTACGAATCCGGGTAGCCGAATAGCCAGCGGATTGTCTAAAAAAATAAGAAATTTATTGTAGAAAAAAATCATAATATTTATACACCCTTTTTAATAGGATAAAAATCAATAAAAATATGCTAAAACTGACATTTTCGATTTATTAAGGCTGTGATGACTATGATACATTTGAAGCCCGTTACAAACGCGAAAAAGCAAGTTTTTCAGAATTTTTATTGGACGTAGATTGCATTCTATTCAAGTTTGATTATATTTAAGCTAAAGCTGGGTGGTGGTTTTAGGTTCTTATACTTTTATGGTGACATACCTCCATCCAGAAGCTCACAATGTTTGGTCGGAGCCCGTTTCGACGCTCTATTTAAACCCATGTACCCGGGGCGCACCATGCGGTTTCAAAAACATTTACCGGGAATTCCTTAAAAATGCGTTTAGTGTTGTTATTCCGCAAATTAACAAGTCTGGAGTACCGTCTGATCGGTCTCTAGGGTATTTTCCTTTCATCATAACAACGTGGTATTGCGTACGGGGTGGTACAACCGATGAACTTCAAACCTGACGGTGAATCTATTTCTGAGGTATGAAATGTCATACGAGAGAGAGAGAGAGAGAGACCGAGAGAGAGAGAGAGAGAGAGAGGCAGAGAGAAAGTGAGAGAGAGTGAGTGAGAGGGCGCGAGAGAAAAAGCAAGCGAGAGAGAGCGCGAGACCGAGAGCGACAGAGAGAGAGAGAGAGAGAGAGAGAGAGAGAGAGAAAAAGAGAGAGAGAAAAGATACAGGTTTTTAAGCTATTGTTAATATTATTTATTCAAAACTAAGGTTGCCATTTTCGGCAAAATCATCCGTTACTCGCGCGATCGTTCGTTGATGATGTCTGTTGTACCGTGTCTGGCGTCGGTTTGGTCGAGTCCGTAATTATAACGTGGATTTTCCAGCGGTCGCTGAATAACTGAAAACGGCCTATCTGTACACAATTTAATGATGAAAGATAAATATAGAGAACAGCGGATACTAAGATGTACGAAAAATGGATAATTTAAGTGTAAGAAAGCAGGCAACCCGCGATGCCCTAAAAATATTTACCTTTTTTAATCCCAACATTTTGAGGACGGATTTTCGTATAGATTTGTTCAAGATTAAATATACCATACCGGGAAAGCCTGAAAATTCATAAGATTAGCTGATTAAAAAATGCTTTTCGATTTTTATTCAAAGTCCTAGGTTTTTCTCCTTTAGAAAGCTTAAGATATGTAGAACATATTACCATGACTGCACTGCCATGCCACCTCTCCGACAAGACTCAATATTTTCGGGAAATTCGGGATGTAATTCATGAATAAGTATCCCCAAGCGGCGCCCACATGCGTTGAACAGATGATGAAAGCTTGGATGTAGAGCTAAAAAATCCGTTGTAAGAATTCTTTTTCTTCTCACTTTCTCTCTCGCTCTCTCGCTTTCTCTCTCTCTCTCTCTCTCTCTCTCTCTCTCTCTCGCTCTCTCTCTCTGTCTCTCGCTCTCTCTCTCTTACCCTCTCCCTCTCCCCACTAACCAATTTCTTCGTCTTTGACATCCCCTGTGCCCATCCCCACTTTTTCCATGCTCGTACGCAAATATACAAATAGACAGCAATCGCGTAGATGGACATGAACAGGTTGAGCATGTTGTGCGCCCAGTTTTCGTAGATTTCCTGGATAAGTTTAGATTTTTGGCATTATTGTGGCCGGTGCAGCCCAGAAAATTTTTAGGAAAGCTCAGCAAGGGTTAGATTTCTTCGGTTACATGATATTAAATTTATATGCCTTTAGAAGTGACCAGATCTTGTAAAAGATACAGATTAAGAATCACATACATTGTTGTCGATGAAGGGATTCGTAAACCATGCTCCGCCTAGAGAATTGAAGACCGGGCTGGGCGTCAATAGGCCGGCTGTATAGCCGAGGAGGAGGGAGATAATCCTGAAAAGGGCTGAGATATAAAAACGTATTATACTACGTTGTGCTCCTTTGCACTCAGCATTTTAAATTTTTAAGAATTTTTAAAAATTCTGTTTTTTTCCGATTTAGAGTACGTTACATTTCCTTTTCCGATTGAGTGTAAATGCCATAAATCCTACCTTATATAATTTTGGCGTGTAACTGTGTGTGTGTGTGTGGATGTCACTTTCGAGACCCGATTTGAGGGCCTTCCCGTGCATAAAATGTCCTAATTCTTCGTCACTTGGGGTAATCGACTCTTCTGTTTCCGATGGCGTGCTCAGAATTTCGATAAAATACAAGTTTACAAAGTTAAAGCCGGTTTTATTCGTTTTCGGGGGTAATTTGCATAATGTGAAAAAATACAAATTTCCTCATTCTTGCGAGTTGCACGCGCGCGTGTGGTGGGGGGATCCGAAGGACCCGAGCTACCGGAAAGTCAAATTTCTCATGCAAACGCACCATTCCAGCGCCCAAGGCCCGCGAAGCGGGTTTTGGGCGCTGGTTACGTAATAACAATGTAATAACACTTACCCTATCAAAAAGCAATTCCTCGCGCTAAACCGATTAGATACAAAAGTGTTGTTGCCCATTTCGGCAACCCTCATCGTCCCAAGTACCATACAGTGCAAACAACCGGAGCACCAGCTGGCTAAAGATTGCCGTCGTTTTCGTCTCTCTCTCTCTCTCTCTCTCTCTCTCTCTCTCTCTCTCTATCTCTCTCTGTCTCTCTATCTTTCTCTCGCTCTCTGGCCTCTCTCTTTCTCTCTCTCTTTCTCTCTCTCGTTCTCTCTCTCGTTCTCTCTCTCTCTCTCTCTCTCTTTCTTTCTCTCTCTCGTTCTCTCCCTCTCGTTCTCTCTCTCTCACTCTCTCTCTTTCAGTTATGATTTTTAACCAACACAGGCCAATCGCTCCAGCAAGATAAATCCATCTTGGATAATTACAAAATACGGCCCCTTCCCAGAATAGGATTCCGGAACTGAACGAGCTGACACCGAGCATCTGAAGGTCACCTAGGAACGTTTAATGCTTTCCGCATATCGAAATTACAAGCATCCCAAAAAACAGCCCTCGACTTACTGAATCCCATAAATATCATCACCACATAGCAGGGCGAGATGTTGTACATTTTACCACGAATCATCGCGATTAACGCCAGTATGTAAACTGTCTGAAGGTTTATGAGAATTAAATTAAAGGTACTATGAAGCGTTAGAACCTAGCCCCTATGGCCGCAAGCTATCGACAATTACGCGCAGCAGCAAAAGTCGTTTGGAAACTGATGAGTTTCTGGAGGCTTTTGCGCAAAACTGCGTTAGCGTCATTTGGCAGGTCACGAAGCTGTCGTGGCCGTCGGATTTTCAAGCTTTCCCCGCCCATTAAAGAAACTAGGAAGGAGCAAATCAACCCTCGACGGATCACTGAATCTCGAGTCGAGTCTCTCGACGGATCTTAGCGTCATTTGACAAGTTGCGTATCTGTCGAGACCTAGTAGGGCTTGGGGTCGAACTGATGAAATTGTTGCCGGGCCCGGTGATAATCACTTTATTGCACCGATAGGTCTCGGGCAGAAGAAGTTTTTGTTGAAGCTTACCGCAAAAACAGTTCCGCTGCCGAGAAGATACACTGCAAGGATCGGCCGTGGGTTTCCAGTTGCATACCACTCTTCCTGGCTTCTCGTCCCACAATTATACCATCGCGGATGTGGTCCACCATTGAGGATGTAGCCCAAAATTCCGAAGTCCATCACGAACGCCGAAAATGTGGCTGAAAATGGCGAAAGTTTTACAATGACCGGGGCCAGGCTCTATTTTGAGCGAGAGAGAGAGCGAGAGAGAGAGAGAGAGAGAGAGACAGAGAGAGAGAGAGAAAGAAAGAGAGAGAGAGAGAGAGAGAGAGAGAGAGAGAGAGAGTGAGAGGCAGCGAGTGCTCGAGAGTAGCTATTTGAGAGTTAATGCCAGGTTAGGACCGACTTCTTGCAGGCGCTTTTTGAATGAAACGATCTGTGTATTTTGCTGAATGTACGGGACAGTGCGGCAAATGAGCTCTGTATCCTAACGGCGGCGTGGGTAATTTACCCCTAGTAGAGTTTCTAAATCTGGTTAATTAGAACCAAGCAGGCTGTACATTCGGAACAAAATGGACAGTTGAGGGCGTTCAAAGGTCGACATCTGAAGCGAAACTTGTAAAAGATCACTTTGTGCGAAACCTTTCGAGAACAGACCAAGAAAAAAAGTTTATAAATATATCTCTACGTAGTTATCTGTCGCTCCGTGTACGAGTCATTATTGTCCAGCTGACAATAGGTGTGAAAAACACATCAAATTGGGTACTTTCTGCTTTCCCATCTGCGGACTTTATACTTTTCTTGGCAAACTATCAAACGATGGCATAACCAGGAGGGGTATTTTGGTTTTGCACCGCTGATTATGCGGTTGTTGATCCAATGTTAGATCTAACGGATTGCACGCTAAATGATTATTAAACCTGTAATCAAGAAGTAAAATTCAGTTTCTATAAAAAACTGCTGCAATTCTGCAAATTCTGCAAGTTTGTACGTGCCCTTTACAAAGCTGCCGGCCAGACGGGTCAACTAATGCGTTTTTGCCCGTTTTCGTGTCTGAGTAGACCCCCATTCGGGGTTATTTTGCGAACGGAAATTACGGTCTGCTAATGATGGCGACAAGGAATTGCTGAAAGAATCTATGGCGATTTGATCGGTCTGTGCGGTGTACCAAGGGATTGTTCAGCTAAAATTATTTCGAAAAATCAAAAGTTAGGTAAAATCAAAGTTGTGCATCCGAAGATAGTATGTTCTGTTTGGATTTGACGCTAGAAAAAACACCAAAACGTAAAAGAAAAGCTAGGTTTTTTTAGGTAGCGAAATTTAAGCGAAATGCAATGCAAGAAAAATTATTATTTCTCTTTTACTACTATTACTTCTCAAAATCTATGGCTTGATAAGAAGATCTTCTTTTGAAGAACGCATCGCAAAATCGAACGCCAGCAGTTTGTTATTGCTCACCATTTCCAGACTTTCTAATTCATCATTTCAACATCAGCAGGCCAACCAAGACATTTCTAAAAATAAAAAAACTTCGAAGAGACCAGCAGTGCAGCGTAGACAGCTAGAAAAATCGTATGAAAAATCACCGGATCTTTGGATCAACAGGGATTTTTCCACCAGTAAAAGCCATCTTGCTTCCGAAGCTTTGTTGTGGAAGAAGTGATGTGTCAAATTGACCCCTCCGGCCCACTGGGCCTTGACAGATAATCGATGCCGCGTTAAAACATTGAGGATCTGACCTGATAATTCCATCCATTGGAGCTATTAGGTTGTACAAAAAGTCCTGGCGGTTTTGCGTTTGGATCGCTTTTTCAAGAACGGTTTCGATATCAGGGTTAATTGTAATATGTCGTTTGAAAGTACTCATCGTGCTCTACAGCATTGTTACAGTAACTTTGCCAGATTACATTTTTTGAGTTTTTTAGAAGGTCCAAAAGTTGGGACCAAAATTGCCCTATTTTCTTGTTTCCTTCAAAACTTTGTTGACAGGCGGCGTAGCACCGTGATCAAGATAGCATTCGACTGAGCTCACGAAGCACTACAAAACGTATTGTAAAAGTTCCGGTTCAAAAATTATTCCGTTTAGATACGACCGAGTAAAATTTGGTCAGTTTTTGAACTTTTTTGGCTCCCCAGATCACATTTCAACCTAATTAGCCATAAAAACCGTAGAGATTTTTTATAAGTCCTTCGTACACACTTGGTAGTTGTTTACAGTCAATTTCCAATGTCTAGAACCGTAAAAAATTATTTTCCCGAAATTCGGAAAGAGCCGTCATTTGGACACCGACCAAATTTTACGCTGTTGTATCTCAACGGAATAATTTTTGAACCGGAACTTTTTACGATACGTTTTGTAGTGCTTCGTGAGCTCAGTCGAATGCTATCTTGATTACGGTTCTACGCCGCCAGTCAAAAAAGTTTTGAAGGAAACAAGAAAATAGGGCAATTTTGGTCCCAACTTTCGGACCTTCTAAAAAACTCAAAAAATGTAATCTGGCAAAGTTACTGTAACCATGCTGTAGAGCACGATGAGTACTTTCAAACGACATATTACAATTAACCCTGATATCGAAACCGTCCTTGAAAAAGCGATCCAAACGCAAAACCGCCAGGACTTTTTGTACAACCTAATACTTAAACTGGCTTGTCGGCGCCATTTGGTGCACCGCGTCGCTGCCAATACCTAATCCTCCGAAGAGGAAATATTGAAACTTTCCAGCACCTTTCCAGCATGACGTTGTCTTTTTATAAGTCACTCCTAAAAATAGAGTTGGCATCCTGGCTTTACAATTCTTCTAAGTTACGGTATTTGAGCATTTTAATAGCACATTTTAGTTTTCCCGTATTTCGAAAAAATCTATGAATTATCGTTGTACCGTATCGGTATTTGTTTAAGTGGGATTTTCAGGGTACGGTATTCGAGCATTTGCATCGGATAATCTCGCATTTTTCTTAAAATTTTCAAAAAACATATTTTTGTACGTGTCGCCGTAGTAGCGCGCATATCTACTCTCGTACCCCAAGTTTCCTTCCAAATATATTTTTTCTGATATTTCAAATATTAATCTTAAAATTATTTCAACTGCCGTGGCACCGCTACAGCGCGTCCATTTTCTACCGCCCCCTAACAATTAGAATTTTCCAGCTTCTCCCAAAATCTTGGAAAACAAACGTCTGATTGAAATTGAAAGACGAACTCACGTAATTATGGTCTAAAACACGCAGCAACACCAACACGTACTACGTGTTTTCTCCGCAAATCCCCCAGAGTATTATGACTGTTGACCACTAATTTTTGCAAGAACGCCACATGTATTCTGTTGCGTGCTAAATTTAAAGTAGATGATCAGACGTAGTGTGACGGCAAGACGGGTTGGGATGATTCGATTTAGCCGGCGTTTTCGGCATGTTTTTCAGTGAAACGGCTACAACCCGGTTAAAACCAAATACCGGAGAAGGCGAAGGCGACGAGCGGCTTACGGTAGTCCTGTTATCGAAAAGGGCGTAAAAATCGTCGTCCAGATGCTTGCAGCGTGTTTTTTCGGACACTACGGCCGCAGCCAAATGTAAAAATACGAGAACCAGGTCATACAGGGTTACTGTAGCCTGCTGTCCCCAAGAAAATCGGAGGATCCGCGGACACGGTCTCCCAATTACATTCAAAAAATTAAATTTAACGAATGACAAAAATTCGCATTTTTTGGACAAATTACCCAACGTAAAAACCCCCGCTATCAAACCTAAAAATACCGAAAAATCGGAGAAGCCAGAAAACTGTATTTATCAAAAACCAGTGGAAAATGACCGCTTCGCGGCCCTTTTCCACGGGCCCCCCGTCTAGGAACCATTTCGTTGATTCCCCTTTCGTTTTTCAAGCCTGCGACGCAAGAGCCTGACTCTAGAAGCCGTCCTCTGGCCTGCGGCGCTAGCTACTGGTTTTTCTCCAGCATTTGGTCTGCGGCGCTAGAGCCCGGGCCAAGGACCTTTTCTTTGGCCTGCGGCGCTAGAGCGAGAGCCAGGCCTAAACTTCGCACACCGAGAGCCTAGAATGATGTTCTGTTGATGAACCACCAAAAAGCAAAAAGTTATGTTTCGCCAGGATCCGAACCCTCGACTATGTGTGTGCTAGACCGGGCGTCAAGCCACTATGCCAAAGGGGATGGCCACGGGCAACGGGACAGGCCTCTTCTGTCCTGGGGCCGCGGATCAACCCGGGAGGGAGGACTTATGATAACTTTACAAAATTCTTTTTGTGAGGCTGAATGCGCCGAAAATTTGTAAATATAATAATATGCGCGTGATCCCCACTATCGAATACATAAGTGGTCCAAATTTCAGCCCGAAATTCCATCAGGGCTTCGAGATATGGCCCGGACACCACGGCTCGTCGCCCATTTTGTTAAGGATTTTCACCATTTTGCTTGCAAAATTGTTAAATGAAGGCATTTCGAAAAACAAAAAAATGCGTTTCTGGCAAATGTGTTTCTCCACCTCCATGCCAAAAATCAGCCGAAAATTCGCCCGAACGGCCGAGAAACTGGCTGCACAGAAAACACAAATACTTTTCTCGCTTATAGGATAGGATCTTAAAAAAAAGAAGAAAACCCAAAGAATTTTTGTAAATCCGGCCATAAAAAATCCGGAAAATTGCGATTTTGTCTCAATTTAAATTTTTAGGGTTAAACTTTTGGTGATCATGAGGATTCCGATCCTTGATTTTTGATCCTCGAATCGTCTAGTAGTTTTCGGATCACGCGTCTGGCGTCAAAAACTGAATGGCCGGCGGCGAGTGGATTACGGTAACCCGATCTCTAGTTCAGGTGTCTGTTCCGGGTCAACTCGTTCGAACGTCAGAAAATTTCAAAATCAAGGAGTGCCAGACGCATTTAACGTAGGCAGGCTATGGTAGAAAAAGTTAACAAGCAAATTTAAAATTTGTTTGTTCAGTTTCGTAGCGCATAAAATAAAAATATTTAGGAATTTACCATTATAAAAGCTTTATTCCATCATCAATGCATTGTACGAGGTGGAAAATATACTTCTCTCCACTTTTATACCTTTTATATAGTGCAAACAGTTCGGCTCGTTAGATTTTCGTTGTCAATCAGATTTGACATTTCCGCATCAACTCGCACTATTTTTTAAACTCAAAAGTTTCTCGCGAATGAAAGTTAACCTGGTTGATTAACCTAATTGATTAAAGGTACACTAAAATCTCATGCAAAAAGTCAGTTCGCGGTCGGAAATCCGGGCCCTCTGCCGCGCAATGTCCGGACCCTTCTTATCCCCCTTCCCTCTCCCGTCTCCCATCTCTCCCATGGCCTAGTGGTCTAAAGCGCTCGCCCTAGGCGAGTGGCGAGGGTTTGGTTTTGCTCCGCGGCGGGCACCTACCGTAACCCATTTTGCTATTCCGCGGACGGTTACCGGTCGGTAACCAAACCAACGAGGCTTTATTGTACCTTTAACGTGTTGAAAATTGGAAGTTGAAATTAGCTTGACCTGGAACCGATGGGATTCGAAAAAATTTTGTTTTTTACTATTCCTCACGTCTTCCTGCCACTGTAGAAATTTCGGGTAATTACAGAAATTTTTATTAGCTTCATAGATCAAATTGTGAGCTCGATTTCTCAGTCAGATAACTCGCGATTGTGAAAAATGACGTGTTTGGTCATACTTACCGTTCACTGTGGTGCCGCGTGGACTTGGAGAAAATTGTGACCGGGTCCTGAGAGGATAGAAATTCGAAAGAGAGAGAGAGAGAGAGAGAGAGAGAGAGAGAGAGAAGCACAGAAAAGAACGTCGAAATAATAAACCCTCGAACTGTGTGGCTGCGTAGTCCGCCCCCTCCCCCCGATCGTAAATTGGCGTCTAATAGAAATATAATAAGGTGTCGCCGATGTGTCTGTCGCCTCTCGGGAATTACCATCAAAAAACAGCAGGGAAAAATGAAGGCCAGGGGGCTTGTGATCACCGACAGACAGTCAGATAGAGAGAGAGACACGCAGTACGTGCCACTTTTCGAGAGGTCTCTTCCACTTTGTTACAGGCATACTAGACGTCTCTAGGTATCGATATGGCATGTGAGTTGATTTTGACGTTTCATCGTCAGAATTTTCTGAATTAGACTAGCCCACCACCTCGAAATTAAGAAAATGCGAATTTGAATTTTTTTTGGATTTTCTGGATTGATTAGAATTTTGGAACGAGACAAGTTTTTCATAGCTTCTACCCTTTAATTTTTTGTTAATTTAGATTTTTAGTTGAAAAGTTAATAAAATGGATAATAATAAGCTAATCTACAGGGTGGCGATTAATTACCTGCGCGAGAGAAAATGCTCGCTCCGAATTTTCCTTAAAGCAATCTCTGATCCATCTGCATTTTATGATAGCACAAGCTATCTAATACCTATTGTACAGAAAAAACTTGGGTCAGTGGCCCTGAACTTTTTTTCCAGCGCGAAAAATGTCGTCGAGCAAAAAAGCGCGCGCGCCGCGGGTATGTACCGATCAAAAGGCCCGATATTTTTTCAGTTTGGTAGGTAGTGCCCTCAAATTATTATTAGTTTGATGCCTGCAATTACCCTCCATATGCTCAAATCCATTAAAAGCATTTTTATTGAGCCCTAGCCCTACCAAATAACAAAAATTCTACGTTCAATTTCCGCCTGGAGCCGAATCGGCCAGAATGAGACACCTCAAAAATAAAAAGATTTTTCGGGGAAGTGCAATTTCGTTGATGTAGCCCTCTTCTTATTGATTTGATAGGACGCATTGTTACATTGAGGCCGGTTCTGAAGAATTTCGGGGAAGTTCTGGGCCAAAAATGATGCCTTCAATTCAGTCCGCGGCGCACCTCAAAAATCGTCAGTAATTTCTAGTATTTCTGGATTCTAGTTTCCTGAAAAAGCCTTATGAACCCAAGAACTTTTGGCATCTGGTTGTTGTAAGGATTGTAGATATTTTCTCATATCGTACCGATAGATTCACGCGTAATATCGAAAGGACGCGCGGTTTTTATTTCCATTTGACCGATGTCGTTCTCGATACTGTATCTTTTTTTATCTTTTGACTTAAGTCGGTTTTCGAACGCTTACTACGTTTGAAAAGGAGCGTGCAACATATCTGAGCAGTTTTAGAAAAGATTAGCTACCTCCCATGGCTACAGTAGGCTTCAAAAGTGTGACCATGCGAACACGATGCGCGTCGTGAAGCCGGAATTTATGTTTCATAGCTCGTAGTGTTTCGTGATTGTTTAACCCGGTCAAAATTTGAATAGGATGCAACTAAACAACCATCAATCTAGTAAAACCACTCTATCAAAGAAAATTTAAAGCCTGATTTTTGGGGGGAAAAGCGACGCGCAGGTAATTAATCGCCACCCTGTAGATAGTTAATTTATAAAAAATAGATTTTCGATTTGAAAACGTAAATTTAGTCGGGCAGCATAGCAGAGATTTTTTGGATCGATAAAGATCTAGGCCGACGAGACATTCTAGCAGAGATCATTTGGGAAACTATGAAATTGACAATAGCTGAAAGGCCATCAAGCAGCTAGCAGAGACTTTTGGGGAAAAGTTAAAAACGCAAATCGGCTTATAAAGTGAGGTGAGTTACAGTAACCTTCTACCACAATGAAGACCCGGGGTGGATGGTTGCGCATTCGTGGATATTCCTGATGTCATCTATCTTGATGAACCTGTTAGCTATCTTTCTCGTCTACAAGCATTCGCATCAGGTATGCTTTTAAATGGCCGAGGAAGGTAGAATTCCTGGTAATGCGTTTCGTAGCTATTTCCAGCGTTGAATTTAAGCTATTTTTCAGAACATTGGCGACTACCGTTACATCCTATTCTCATTCCTGATCTTTAACGTCTTCTTCTCGATCGTCAATTCGGTCGCGGATGTGGTGGGTGTTTTACCTAGAAGTCGTTACGTCCGTGAATTGGTGTTGAACGTGCGTTCCGAGTAACGGAAAATTATTGAAAAACAAGTTGGGATTTTCGGTTAAAAAACAAGTTTTTGCCGTCCGTGAGTGTACGGTCAAAATAACAACTTTTCTAAATTACAATTAGCTACCATTACGTTAATTTAACACAGTGACGGAGAAAACTAATTATTTTAAAACGGAAATAGATTTTTAAAGGCCACGGGAAGTGAATAATGTATACTGTAATCAAGCACGCTAGCTTAATACTGGCCCAGATGCCTAAAATAGAAAATTGTAGCGTTTTCAAGGGACCGGAAAAAGGATACGTACGAAACTATTGTTATTTTATTGCAGGAACCCCGGATGGCGAGCCATTCACTAATCCTGATCGGCGCTGTGGATATTCCGGATGAGGGTCTATCAATTACCCTGATTTACATGTCCGTATTCATCTTTTCGGAGCTGTACTATTGACAACGAGCCAAGTGATACATCAGGGATTGGTGTTCTTTAGGTAAGTTCAGCAATGCAGCCTGGACGAAAACTAAAAAGCTATAGTATTCCATTGTTTGAAATTACCGCATGAAAGGGATGCCGACGGCATAGTCAATCAGTTACGCGCGGGAAAGAAAATGTCTCTGCGCCTCTCCCCCGGGCGCGCTCTCTGCTCTGTTGGCTACTTGCCAATTTGTCGATGGGGGGGGGGGATCGACACATGCCGTCGGCAGCCTTTTAAAGGGGCTCTGGCAGCAGGCTCGTTTTTCCACGATTCGTGGAAGCGTCGCGGTCGGGTGCGTCGCGGCAGGGAGAGAAAGAGCGCGCCCAGAGGAGAGACGCAGACAGAGCTCTGCGTCTCTGCCCGGCCCCGAACTGCCGTAATCGATGTGCTGCCAGAGCCGCTTTAAAGCGCACGTTCAGGGAGGGGCCGTGTACTCGTCCCAACGTGTACACCCTATCGACGTAGGGACCGCGCGCACTGCCTGCCCGTGCTGTGACAGGCCATTCCCCTCCTTGGCGGTGCAGGGCGCCCCTCGCCCCCTCGCCAGGTTGCAGCTGTGGCTGAGCTGACTGGTATCCATCCGCGCCTCCCGAGCGGGGGGCCCGGGTTCGACCCACAGCCGCGGCAAAAATCTTTTTTTTTTCGAAAAAAACGCCCCTGAACGTGCTCTTTGATGATCAAAATCAAGAGGGTCAAAGCTTATTTTTCTAGGGATTTTCCTGGTCGATGAAAGAGTATAAATTAAAGGGTACTGTAGGTAGCAATTAAAAAAGTATTTATCCAAAATTTCAAGAAACCCATCGCGAAACTGGCTAAAAATGCTTCAAACAAACAGCAAATTTCGATTATGGCGCTCTACGGTTTCAAGATCAGCTTTTGTGTCTGAAAATTCAAAAGCCAGCCGACGACAAAAATTTCTAAGAAAATTAACAGAAAAATATCTAGGGAAACTATGCAAGTTACAAAAATTCCTTTAATTAAATAAAAATGCAATTTCCTCAATTTATGAAATTTTAGGGTGATCCGTCCGGAGCGTACCGTAATCGGAGCGCTGGCGGTACTTCTCGGCGCATTAATGCTATTGTCAATTTGGATCGTATGGTTTATGACAACGTCAATCACAACCAGTGATTGCGTATTCCGCGAGGACTCTCATAACTATACCGTAAGCTTGGATTTATCAATTTTTATGAAATCTTTTTAGCTTGTTAGCACCCAGCCAATTTGCAGCGATTTTATCACGATGCTGCAGACGTCATTCGATCTGCGCACCGCATCGTTTGTGTCGATTCCATTTGAGGTGAGGGCAGTTTTTCCCAAAAAATCCCTGCTAGGCTAGCGGCGTTACAAATATCGATTGTAAAATCGAAGTCTAGTCTCTGTATCGAAATCAAAAAATTTGTTCAGGGATCTTTGCTGGTCTGCCTTTTTCTAATATTTTTTCCAAATTCAAACCCGAATTAAGATCTGGAAAAAATTGAAAGAAAATTGATCCCCTAGACATCTGACAGTTCCCCAAGATTGTCGGCTGGCTGGCCTCTTTTCAAAGATTTATTGCCTTAAAAAACTGCCAAAAAAAGAATCCGCCTCAAGAATCTTTGCTGGCTTGCTTGGCACAAAAACTTGGCTGCCGGTAAAAAAGCTGGAAAAAGATAAAGATTGAAGGCATGACTTCTACAGACTAATGATCGTCTCAAATTCCCTAAGAATCTCTGTTAGCACGCCCCTATTAAATGGCCTATGCTTATAAATGCTCCATTTTCAGATTTTCACAAATTCCACGACTTCCGACATGGAGGGCTACGAAACGAACGCGAAGGCCGTGGTCCTGTTCGTGATTCTCATTATATTCATGCTTGGTTCGATCGCCATCGTGTTTTCCTCAAATTTTTTCGTGTTGAAAAAGGTATCGTATCTTGGTATTCTAATTTTCTGATCCCCTAAAGTTACTGTAAGTAATGTTGTTTTGTAGATTCGAAACTCTACCGTGCAAGCCACGCAACGAAGAATAAGCAGCGAGCTGACGAGGACATTGTTGGGACAGGTAAATCGTGAAAATTGTTAGGGTCCTTAAAAAGTCTTAAAAATTCTGGAATCCTTAAAAAGCATTGTTTAATATCATTTATTGATTTTTAATGCGTTAATTACGCAGTATCGAAAGTATTGCAGGCCCTAACCCCAATCCTCCTGCTCCAAGTCCCACTCCTCATCGCCTCCTCCGCTACCGTAATCGACAACAATTTTAATTGGATCTACCAAGTGCTATATTTCTCGTTGGCCTGGTTTCCAACGGCTCAGGTCAGAACTTTACCTTGACTTGACTCCAAGCCTAAGCCTGAGCCTAAGCAAAGGTCGAAGCCTAAGCCGATGCCTAATCCTGTGCTTAAACCGAAGCTAAGCCGAGGCCGAAGCCTAATCCTGATCCTAAGCATAAGCCTAAGCCGAAGCGTAATCCCAAGTGTGAGCCTAAGCCTGAGCCTGGGCATAAGCTAAGTCTCAGCTTAAGCTGAAGCCTAAGCCTAAGATAAGCCTAAGCCTGTGCTTAAGCCCATGCAGCTTGCAAGCTTACCCTACGCAACAAATTACGTACGCTACGAACTTTACGCAAAGATGACGTTTATTTTCCTTTCAGCCCCTGATGCTGATCATCGGCGTGGCCAACTACCGAAAAGCCCTGATACAACTTCTCCACTACGTTTTTGGCAACGTCATTTGTCGTCAGCCAATCCTCGTCAAACCGACCGCTTCACGATCGCTAAATAGTCACGGGTATTAGGTCAAAAACGAGTTCGTGATGCTCAACGATAAATCTGTGAACCCGGGAGCGAAGACAGCATACCACAAAAAACATGTAGCCCAATTTTTGTTAATAAAAATAGAAAAATATTATTAAACTGTTTTTTCTTTCCCTAATCCTTTTTCTACTTTACATGTTTTGATGAAAATCCTATCCTATAAGCGAGGAAAGTATGTCTGTTTTCTGTGCGGACGATTTCTCGGCCGCCAGGCCGAATTTCCGGGTGATTTTTGGCATGGAGGTGGAGCAGCACATCTTCTTTATAAGCATTTTTTTGTTTTTCGAAATTCCTTCATCTAACGATCTTACAAGCAAAATAGTGAAAAACCCTTAACATTTTGGTCGAAAAAAGGTTTGTACAGAGGATATCTCGCGATCCAAATGGAATTCAGCTTTAATTTTTGGAGGGCGGATTGGAAATAGAATTCTCCCGATATATAATTTTGCGTTTTGCCAGATTTTGTAAAATAAAGTTTTTATGAGCATTTTTCTAAAAATTCCTTAACAAAATGGCAGAAGTGCCGTGGTGTCCGGGCCATAACTCGAGACCCAGATGGAATTTCGGGCTGAAATTTGGACAACTTATGTATTCGATATTGGGCATCACGCGCATCTTATTATCTTTAAAAATTTCCCGCATATTCAAACTCAAAAATCGAATTTTGTAATGGGACGAGTAGGCCTCACTCCGGGATCATTGGGTCGCCTTTCTTTGCCTTCCCCCGCCCGCATTCCCCGGAACAGAAGAGGGCTTTCACGCCGCCTCTTCCGAGCTGGCCCATGGTGTAGTGGTTTTGCGTCCGGTCTACCACGCGCATGGTCGTGAGTTCGGTTCCTGGGAGAACTGAATTTTTTGCTTTTTGGTAGTTCAGCAAATTGACATTTCTAGGCTCTCGGTATACGAGGTTTAGGCCTGGCCCTCGCTCTAGCGCCGCAGGCCAAAGAACAGGTCTTTGGTCCAGGCTCTCGCGCCGCAGGCCAATGATGGGTCCTTGATCTAGGCTCTTGCGCCGCAGGCCAAATCTTTGGAGAAAAACCAGTAACTAGCGCCGCAGGCAAAAGGTTTCGGCGCGAGGTTTAGGCCTGGCTCTCGCTCTAGCGCCGCAGGCCAAAGAAAAGGTCCTTGGACCAGGCTCTGGCGCCGCAGGCCAGAGAATGGCTGCTTGACTCGAGTTCTTGCGCCTCAGGCAAAAAAAAGAAGGTATTGGAATTCATCGGTCCTGGACGGGGTCCAGTGGAAAAGGGCCGCGAAGCGGGCTTTTTCCACTGGTTACAAAATATATCAGTTTTTAGGCCAAAATGTCGCTTAATTAAGTTATTATGACTCTTAATTTTATAAGTAACTTTTTTCATTGCTTTTACAATGAAAATATAGTTGAATTTTACTAAAAAAACTATCAAAACACTTACTATTACGGTGGTAAGGATTTTTGGAATTGTAGGAAAAAGCTGCCTCCCCGATAATGCGAAAGAACCAAAGATTGTGTACGTAAAAAAAAAAAGTTTCAAGTGCAAGACCGCTGTAGTTGATCAAGATTGCATAAATTCAACATTTTCATGCTGCGATAGCTTCTTGGAACAAGCGCTGACCTTTGAACCAAAAAAAATGCGAACCGGATCGCCGTAGATTCCAATGGGCAAAGATCAGCTGCTCCGCCTTCCGTCTTCCGCATTTCAAGGCGCTCCCACGGCCTGTAAAATTTGAATTTATATAATTTCGCGCAATCCGGTTCGGATAAAAAGCGGTCCGGTCGCTGTCTCATCATCTTGAAAATGGTGGAATCGGCTGGCTGGCTGTTCGTTGCCCTATGGCTTTTTAGCGGGTTCTCTGTGGCCTTTGGCAGGATACAAAGGGTTACCGTCGATGTGTGTAAATTTTTCAATGGCTTGAATTAAAAGAATTTTTTATGCGGGCGCTTCGTGTGCAAAATTTTTAACCTCGTGCTCGCCTACGTGCCCCTTAAAAACTCACCTTGAAGGGGGAGATGCTTTGCAATGGTAAACCCTACGTAGGCGCCATCGTGTCGATGATGGAGAAGGACGGTGGGCGCACTTTCTTATCCGAAAAGGGTCAAAATTTTTAGTGTTAATGGACGACGAGCTGAAGACGAAAACGTCCGTTGACCAGGGGCTATTCATGATTAGAGGAGAAGAAGCTGAGGTGAAGCCTCGTTTTGACTTGCTATCAAACTTGGGTAACACTCCAGTTAACCCCTCCCCCCCAGCCGACCCCCAACTTTTGTATCTCGACTCCCTGTTCATCTACAGGTGTGCAATGTATACCAAAATGTTCGTCTTGCTCTGGCGAGTATTTTGGTATACTTTATACACGTGTAAACAGACAGGGCGCCGAGAAATAAATGTTTGGGCCGGCTGCGGGGTATCTGGAGTTCAGCGCAATCTGATACGAGGTGTCCCAATTAAATCACCCTCCTCTAACTCGACGCAGGAGTATCGGATCGTGATGGTAATTTCACCATTCGAAAGCCCTTGAAACGGCGAGTTTGGAACAATTTTCAAAACCAGGTTTTTCTTCGAAACCGCTTTTTAAAAGCCATTGTTTAAAATTTTCCGAGGGTTGCATACGAGCTAATTTATCTCAATTTCTCCAAGCAAAATGACCGGAAGTAGCCGTTAATTAGGGACAGAGGCATTAGATGCTTTAATATAATTAAATGCGTCTTAAATGACGCGTTTAAATCAAAACATGATTTTGAAGATTGTTGCAATCTGGCCGTTTCAAGGGCTTTCGAATGGTGTAACTACCATCCTCACCCGATACTTCTACGTCGAGTTAGAGCGGGTGTTTTTTTTATTGGGATACCCTGTACCTCCCTGGCTTTCGTTTGAACAAATGAACGCCCACTGGATTGAATTAAAATTAATACCTAACGATTCAGTTTGGAACGATCGAACCGTATCTGAAGATCGTTCACAAGTGCCCCGGGAGAGGGAAGAAGTCGAAATCGGTAAGAGAACAAAATTCAGTCATCAAAAAAAAAACTTTTCTCTTTTCACGTCAGACTCCATCCAAAAGAGCATAGCCAAATTACAGGGGCTCCGAAACCCGGTCCATGTTCCGAGCGTTGATTCCTGACAAATGGCCAGTTGCCGCCGCAACGCGACCGCGCCGCATGATCTTTTGCCCTGTTTGGACGTGAAAACGCTTGAATTTTAAAATTCTGACGCTGTTTCTGGAACGCCCACCGAATTTCGATAATGCTAGATGTTTTAATTATAAAAATTGACCAGAGCATCACCGAGTTCGATAGATTGGGTGCCTGGCTCGGAAGCCAAAATTCGCGCGTGCCGGGATTGAACCTAATGATCAAAAAACCAAAGGGACTGCCGAGAAGTACCTGAAAAAAAATTTCGTTGCGAAAACACGTAAAATATTTGAGTAAAACCGAAAAGTTCCTGGGGCAAAAACCAGAATTTCGGTACGCGGAGATTTCATGTCGCAATGCCCTGTACGGCACCAAATCTCTCGATCTCGGTATTTCTCTGATAAATTTTCATAATTAAAAAGTCTAGAATGCTCAAAATTCGATAAGGATTACAGAAATAGCTTTAGAATTTTCAAATTCAAGCGTTTTCACGTTCAAACAGGTACAAAATACAAAAGATCATGCGACGTGGTCGCGTTGCGGTCGCACATGGCTATTTGCCAGGAATCAACGCTCCTGGTCCTGGTCCAGATTTCGGAGCCCTTTTAGCGGGCATATCGAAAAGAAGAATTTTTTATAGATAGTAGGATGTTAGGATGATGGGTAGCCCTTAACACTCCATTTTTCAGCCGTGCGGTGGCACCACCATAATCGATATTCCTGCCAAATACATCAACGGCCCCTGGTTCCGGCCAATAATCGAGCTGTCCAAAAACGGGGTAACGGATTTTGGGTACTTTTGCATCATCTGGGTGAGCGCACTAACCCCAATTTGATCTCCGCATCCGTCGATGTTTCAGAAAACCACCCCAGCAGCCAAATGTCCTCCAAAAAAGGCGAAGCCGTCGCCCGCCAAGGAGCGTCTACTCAAGACCAACCGTATCGACGGAACATTCGAAGGATCATCGTGATAAATATTGCCTGGAAAGCGCTTTGAAAGGAACACCGAATTGCCAAAAAACCCTTTTAATGAATTTCTATGATCTTGATTTTTGACCCAGTGCCAGCGGCCGCAACATCGAAATCGGCGGAAAAATTCGATTTTAGTGGCTAAATTTTGAGTTTAAAAAACTGATAGGAAACCTTCTTCCTGAGGGGTTTTCGACTTTCAAAATTTTAAAAAATTGCTAAAGCAAAATTTTTCCGAAGGAATTTGCGGGTTTCAAAAATACGTGGAGCATGTTCGGGACTGTCAAAAACGACTTATCCACAGCTATGCTAATTTTGCTGGCGCCAAGAAATCGACCCGCGCAGCAAGTCCCGAAGCTAGAACTGTTGATGACCTGCCGGAGGTTTTTGACCATCCCGAAAAGATGCACATATTTTTACAGTCCGAAACTCGCTCCGGAGGACTTTTGCTTTTAGAAATTTTTTGAAGATCAAATTTTTTTCTGCTAAATAGCAAATTTTTGCAGATTTCGATGTTTGCCTCGTACTCGCCGTAGCAAAATTGACCCAGAGAGAAAGTTTCGCCATATTTAGATGTATTATGTTAGAAAACCAAGCGATTTCCCAAGGAGGCATCTTTTTGGTCGCTACGGTATGTCGGGATAAAATGTTGGCTCAAACAATGTTTGACAGTTCCTTCGACAAACAGATCGGAGTAGAAAGCCGCTGTAGTTGATCAACTATGTAAATTCAGCACTTAAAATCGTGGTTTCATAGTTCTTTGAAAGAACGGCTGACCTTTGAGCCGTGAAAATGCAAATCGGTTCGACATAAATTGAGCGGTACAAAGATCAGCTGTTCCCCCTCCGATCTCCAGCGTTTCAACGCGCTCCCACGGCATGTCAAATTTGAATTTATGTAATTTCGCGCGATTTGGTTTGGGTTTAAAAGGAGGGCCCGGCCGCTGTCTGACCATGTTGAAGATGGTGGGCTCGATTGGCTGGCTGTTCGTTTCCCTATGGCTTTTTAGCGGCTTTTCTGTGACCCATGGGTGGAGGGTGGCTGTCGAGGTTTGGGAATATTTTGAGGCGTTGGGAGAGACAGAGAGAGAGAGAGAGAGAGAGCTAATGATTGAGAGAGATATAGAGATAGAGAGACAGTGGGAGATATAGCCATAGAGAGAGACAGCGAGAGTGAGAGAGAGAAAAAAAGAGAGAGTGAAAGAGAGAGCGAGATGAGAGGGAAAGCGAGAGATATAGAGACCGAGCAAGTGACAGAGAGAGCGGAGAGAGAGAGCGATAGCTCGAGAAATGGATGGAGAGAGAGCGAGAGAGAGAGAGAGAGAGATAGAGAGAGAGAAAAGGAAAGAGAACAACAATTTTGAAGGCGACCGTGCTTTGCAACGGGAAACGCTACTATGGTGCCCGCGTCTCGCTTATGGAGAGGGACAGTGCGTATATTTGGTAACCCAAAAATGCCACTTTTTGTAGTGCTCTGGGACGACGAGCTCGATTCGGATACGTCGAATTACGTGGGGGAATTCTTGCTATTTGGTGCGCAATCTGAGGTAAAGCTCGTATTGGTTTGCGGTGTGGAATCATAAATGCGTTCAGACGCGGGACAAAACCCGACTAATTTGAATGATACTATAATATATATATAACAATTCAGATGATAATGATCGAACCATATCTGAAGATCGAGCATAAGTGCCCCGGGAGAGGGAAGAAATCGAAATCGGTAAGTCGACGAAAATCGATTCAGAAAGGTTCAGTCCAATTTCCATTGGTACTGGACTGATAGCGGGGGGGGGGTATCTTTTGTTTTTTTCTGACAATTTATCATGCTCTGTAATTGCTTTTTAAGCATGTTTCGATTGCTAGAAAAGTAAAATACTTTTAAATGCTAGAAAATTCGAAAAATTTGGCTAGTTTGGCCATTTTCCATATTTTTCAGGGGTTACTTTCAATATATTGAATCTCATAATGTCAAAGTTAATAAAGTCGAAATTCATAATACCGAAATTCATGGTATGCAAATTGTTAGTGTCAAAATTTCATGACCTAGACGTTTCCGAAGATCAAAGTTTCTGAATGTCGAAATTCATGGTAGCAAAATTACTTAATCTCGAAATTTGCATTAGCGAATCTCGCGGAAAAATCGCAATTTTTATGCAAAAAACTCGGCTAATTGAAATGCCGACATAAGGGATAATTTTCGTGATTATGAAATGTCGACATTATAGCTTTCGACATTTGGCATGCTGAATCTCAAAATTATCAATTTTGTATTTTGTACGTTATGAAACTTCGACGGTCTTAAATTTTTGATTTTCCACATTAAGATGCCAAATAATTTTTCAGCCGTGCGGCGGCACGATAGTAATGAACTTCCCAAAGAAATACATCGGCAGCGGCACGTGGAAGCCAAAACACATTGAGCTGTCTAAGAATAGGGTAACGGTCCTTTCCGGTTCCATCACGCCATCATCCGCGTTTTAGAGAAATACCCCAGCCGCCCATTGCCCTCCACCAAAGCCCTCCACAAACTCGACCAAGTCACCCGCCAAGGAGCGTATGCTCAAATCCAACAAAATTGATTGGTAATTTGATGAATCAACGTGATAAATATTGTATGGAAAACGTTTGTTAAAGGCGCAAAGAAGTCTGGTCCATCTCCTCGGTGTTGATGCCTGGCAAATAGCCAGAAGCGGCCGTGACAGATGCGGCTTTCTGGTCTCTGTTTGGACAAAAGATTCGACGGACATAAAAGCCTTATCTCTTACACCCTGACTGCTATCCCTTATACGAATATTACAAACCAGGCGGCTGCCTCCTGGTTTTTAAGATTCGTGTACTAAGTTTAGGGCTCAAGTCTAGGAAACCCCCAGCCGACTTTTCAACGTTTCTACCTTCCTTATTTTTATTTTTCGCTAATTTTTCGACTGAACTGCGGTGTAGTCTTACTAATTAGCCTACGGCGAACATTTTGGTATACTTTAGAGCTCGCTACCACAAAAGGGGGCTGAGATACAAAAGTTGGTGCCGGCTGGGGGGGGGGGGGTTCTAGACTCATGAAAACCACTTTCCACAGTTATGCTAATTTTTGCTCCCGAGCATGAACGTCTCGACGGGCCGAACGTTGCTATTGCGCGGGCTGAAAACCCCTAGGTAGGCTTGCTGGCGCCAAGCAATCAACCCGCGCCGCAAGCCCCAAATCTAGAAACGTGTTAAGACCTGCCGGAGGTTTTTGACCATCCCGAAACGATGTGCATAATTTTGAAGTCCGTAAATCGCTCTGGAGACCCACTACCTTTAAAAAATTTTTAAGAATCTAAATTTTTCCACTAAATTCAAACTTTCGCAGATTTCGATGTTTCCTCGTGCTCTCCGTAGCAAAATTGACCTCCACGCAAAATGTCGTCAACTTGGCTGTATCTTTTTCGAAAACCAAGCTATTTGCCAAGGGCACAGCTTTTTGGTCGCTACTGTCTGTCGGGATCGGATATTTTACTCAAACTGTTGCAGGACCGGCCAGAACCAACACACCCAATACAGCTAAACAACGAAGCTCCAGGGCGAAGGCCGGCTACGACATAATTCAAATTACGTAGCGACGTAACGAGTAGCATAACGTACTATCTCGTTTGCCAAATTTTTTTGGTTATAATAACAATGAAAAAGCTTATAAACATACAAGGTTATAACTTTTTTAACGTTTCATTTATATTTCAACGATTTCATCATGCTTTTTTACCCCTTGCCCGAAAATGTTGTGCCTCTCGGGCAAATTTTTGCTAAATTTTTGAAGAACCGAGGCTCCTGCAGACAAAAATATCACGAATTCAGAACCAGGAGGAAAAATAGTGTATTTGAAGTATCCCTGAATCTCCGGATGCACCTAGAACTTCGTGGAAATCCTCAAAATGTGCGCCAGATAACTAGTTTGAGTTTTTTCCGCCGAATCTAGTTCACGTTTGGGTCAGAGTATACACTCAAAAGATGCGCCTTCGTCTTCTCTATAAAGTTCTCAACTTTTAATCTGTGTAAAAACTCGTTTTGTCATAGATTTTAAATATTTATTATTATCCCCAACCCAGGTTTTTCGGGAAAGGCCCGCCACTGACCCACATAATGCGACCCATTGACCGTAACCCAGCGCCCTTTTCCGCACCTAATCCGGCCCCCTGCGAGAATCCGACACAATACATTTACCAATTCCGTAATTAGTGTACTTGTACTTCGTTGCAGTTTTAATTAAGGCTGTAGCGGCTGTGCCAAGTGAACCCATTACGCCACCCCTTTCCGCGACACTACTCTGTCCCCTGTCCCGGTGTGCTTTCGCTACTACTTTGCCGGCGGGCTCTCTTCGATTTCTTTTTCACTTCTTCCTTCCCCCACAACTCCGCGTTGTCTGTAACTCTTTGAGTTACAATATTTTATCCTGAAATAAACTCTCGTGTTCTCTCAACTTTGTTCAGGCACTCACAGGATCAAACGGTCCGATCGCAAAGCGTCCCTTTGGATCGCGACCAGCATTTGACAAGAACTCACGCACAACCACGCTCCACAACACAAACAATCTTTGACAGCTCTCGCGACAAAAAGGCGAAGCACAAAAACGCTGTAGCTGATCAAATTTCGTGGCATTTTCATGCCGCGGTGGTTTTAGAAGAGCCGCGGTAAAAAGGCCGGCTGACCTTTGAACCAAAACAATGCAAATAGAAGCGCCGTAAATTCAGAGGAGCAAAGATCAGCGGTTCCGCCTCCGGTCTACCGCGTTTCAACGCGCTCCCACGGCATGTCAAATTTGCATTTATGTAATTTCGCGCGATTTGGTTTGGGTTTAAAAGGAGGGCCCGGCCGCTGTCTGACCATGTTGAAGATGGTGGGCTCGATTGGCTGGCTGTTCGTTTCCCTATGGCTTTTTAGCGGCTTTTCTGTGACCTTTGGGTGGAGGGTGGCTGTCGAGGTTTGGGAATATTTTGAGGCGTTGGGAGAGACAGATAGAGAGCGAGAGAGAGCGAGTGATTGAGAGAGATATAGAGATAGAGAGACAGTGGGAGATATAGCCATAGCGAGAGCCAGCGAGAGTGAGAGAGAGAAGGAGACAGAGAGAGATGAGAGGGAAAGCGAGAGTTATAGAGATCGAGCAAGAGACAGAAGAGAGAGAGAGAGAGAGAGAGAGAGAGAGAGAGAGGAGAGAGAGAGAGAGAGAGAGAAAGAGGGAGAGAGAGTTAGAGAGAGGGAAAGCGAGAGATATAGGGATAAAGAGAGAGAGAGTGAGAGAGATAAAAAGAAACAGAGAGTGGGTGAGAGAGATAGAGGGAGAGAGCGAGATACAGAGAGAGAGAAAGAGAAACAGAGAGATGAGCTATAGATATAGTGGGAGAGCGAGAGAGAGAGAGAGAGAGAGAGAGAGAGAGAGAGAGAGAGAGAGAGAGAGTGAGCGAGTGAGTGAGTGAGTGAGAGAGTGAGAGAGGGCAAGACTGAGAGTGAGATAGAAAAAAAGTGAGAAAAAGCAATTTTGAAGGCAACCGTGCTTTGCAACGGGAAACGCTACAAAGGTGCCCGCGTCTCGATTATGGAGAGGGACAGTACGGACAGGTAACCCAAAAATTCCACATTTTGTAGCGCTCTTTGACGACGAGCTGGGCTGGGATTGGTCGAATTACGTCGGGCAATTCTGGCTTATTGGTGCGGAATCTGAGGTTCGTTTTCAACCTCGTTTTGCTATCAGAAACCCGACGAATTTGAAGAGGCTGCGGTTTACTTACCCCCCTCCCACCAGCCGGAAGTTTATGGCTGTAATTTTTTTTGTTTTACATTATTGTAGGCTCAAACTCAAACGCTTAGTAGATTTTTTAGCGTTCTATCGACGGCCGCTGCAAAAATCCCGACAAAACGAGCCAAATACCGAAAACTTTGAGATTTTTCGGCTGGGGGGGCGCGGGGTAAAGTAAATTCTTACCATTGAATAGTATTAATATACACCAATTCAGTTTGGAGAGATCGAGCCGTATCTGAAGATCGAGCATAAGTGCCCTGGGAAAGGGGGTAAGAAATCGAAATCGGTAAGTGGACAAAAACCAATTACGAAATGTTCAGTTCAATTTCCATTGGTACTGGACTGATAGCGGGGGGTATCTTTTTTTTCTGACAATTGATCATGCTCTGTAATAGCTTTTTAAGTGTGTTTCGATTGCTAAAAAGTTACTAAAATTGTTTTAAAATTTGGAAAATTCGAAAAATTTGACCTGTTTGGCCATTTTCCATATTTTTCAGGGGTTATTTTCAAAAAATGGAATCTTATAATGTCGAAGTTAATCCAGTCGAAATTCACAATATTGAAATTCATAGTATGGAAATTCCTAGTGTCAAAAATTCACAGCCTAGACGTTTCAGAACGTTCCAAATTCCATAATTTCGAAATTTTCTTAGGCGAATCTCCTGGCAAACCCCTCAAATCATACACAAAAATGTCCGCCGTTTGAAATGCCGAAACTAGGAATAATTGTCGACATTATAAAATGTCGACATTATGACTTTCGACATTCTGAATCTTGGCATTTTCATTTTTCGACATTCTAAATTTCGACATTTTGAATTTCGATATTATCAATTTCTGCTTTTTAAATTTCGGCATTCTCATATTTCTACATCCTAAATTTTGACATTTTTGATTGGGCGTTCTGATTCTTGACATTTTAAATTTCAAAATGATGAATTTCGACATTACGATTTTCGACATTACGATGGGAAAATAAGTTTTCAGCCGTGCGGCGGCACGATGGTAATAGACTTCCCAAAGAAATTCATTGGCAGCGGCACGTGGAAGCCAAAACCCATTGAGCTTTCTAAGAATAAGGTAAAGGCCGGTTCCATCACGCATTCATCCGCGTTTTAGAGAAATACCCCAGCCGCCCATTGCCCTCCACCAAAGCCCTCCACAAACTCGACCAAGTCACCCGCCAAGGAGCGTATGCTCAAGTCCAACAAAATTGATTGGTAATTGGATCGACTGGATGAATTGACATGATAAATATTGCACGGCAAGCTCGTTTTAAAGGCGCAAAGTAGTCTGGTCCATCACCTGCCTCCGTCGAGTCGTGGCAACTAGCCAGATGCAGCCGCAACGTGGCCGCCCCGCATGCGTCTTTGTCCCTGTTTGGACGTCAAAACGCTTTAATTTAAAAATTCTGAAGTTATTTCTGGAATCCTCAACGCATTTTGATCATCCTAGACTTTTTAATGATGAAAATTGGCCAGAGAATCACCGAAATCGAGAGATTGGGTGCCTCACACGGCATTACGACATATAATTCCCACGCGCCCCAAAAGGCGATTTTACCCAAAACACAATTTGATTTTCTTCAATTATTTGGCATTTTTCGCTACGAAATAAATTTTTATACTTCTTATCATTACCCCCTTTGTTTTTTCACAAATAGGTTTCGTTTCTAAACCCTCAAATTTGACTTCAAAGCCCCTTTAACGGGAGGCGTGGATATGGATTTTTACCGATTTTTACTGTCGAAACTCACCTTTCGAAATACAATTTTGTCAAAATTTAGCAAATTGAAATTTAGCAAATTTCAATATTTCGACAGAAAGAATGAGGGAGAGAGTGAGAGAGAGAGAGAGAGAGAGAGAGAGAGAGAGAGAGTCAGAGAAAGAGTGTGAGAGAACGAGAGAGCGAGAGAGTGGGAGAGTGAAGGTCGTAGTGAGAGAGAGATTCTGAACGTGAAAATCACACCTGTACCTCCACTCCAAACCCTGTGTATGACGGCGGAAATTGTTGTGTAATGGAATCTTCGGTCATTTGCCAGCTGTCGCGGGTCTCGGTGCCGCTCAATTAACTTTGTAAAAAAGGCTGTGGTGGGCAGACATTTGAGATCACGAAAACAAGCGCCTGATTATTGAGGGGCCGACTCCTTTGGGAGGGGCATCACGGGTACTTTTCAGGATTCTAGGTATTTTCTGGATCGATGGGATGTAAGTTTTTGTCTATTTTTCGGGTTTTAATTCTTTTAATTGTTACTAGATTTTTTTAATTTGCTGGGCTAGCTAGCAGAGGTTATAGCGGAAACTTATTTGTTGTCAAATCCAGTTTTGGAAGGTCTGGATGTCGCTTCTTAATTTTACCTAATTCTGGGTAGGCTAGCAATTCCCCTTTTAGAAAAGCGAAGACCGGAAAAAGTTGCCGATACATAAATTCACCCCAGGTGGCAAGCTCGCAGAGAACTTTTAGGAATCGGCTAAAGCAAGGTTTTTATGGCAGGCTGGCAGAGGTTTTTGGGGAAATCCTTCGAAAACCAATGGGAAATAAGCTAAATTTTATTAAGGTAGAATTCTGAGGTGAATGACATGCTAACATACGCTCATATTGCAGTAACCACCAACTAGCAAGCCAGCAGAGATTTTTAGAAAAAAAACGTATCAAAAATAATGCGAAGTTTCCGTACAATAAAATTCCTAAGTTAAACAGTTTGCAAAAGCGTGTCCAAATTACCGTAATCCTCACCTGGCAAGCTAGCAAATATTTTGGGGAGAATCCTATCAAAAAATAGTACACACTTTCATCCAATTTAAAGCCCCAGTAAAACGGTTTGCGAAACTGTACCGATATTACCGTAATCGCCACCACCTGGTAAACTAGCAAAGGTTTTTAGGCAAATTTTGAAAGATATTTATTTAAGCAATCAATCTAACAAGGAAAATATGCTAATGTGCCCCAATTACAGTAACCACCTACTTCAACTCGGATCCATGGTGGATTATAGCGCATTCGTGGTTTTTCATGCTCACCTCCCTATTCATGAACTTTTTCGCAGCATTTTTGGTGTATCGACACTCGAATATGGTAAGAAAATTGAAGTGCGGTTCGTAATCGCTACATACCTCAGAATATCGGAAGTTATCGATATATCCTCATCGCATTTTTGCTCTTCAACGTTCATTTTTGTTTGGTCAATTCGGTCACTGATGTGGTAAGCCGGATTCTTTAAAGGCACGGATTAAAAACATTATTAGGAGCGCAAAATTGGGCAAGAAAAGGCAAAGAAAGCATTTTTTAGGACAGTAAGGCGGAATTGCGCGTAGCCTTTGTTATTTCTGACCGTTTGCACTTATTTTAAAACGCACCAGGAAGTAAAAATGTTTGGTCCAGAACGGTCAGTGTAGCGCCGCGTAGTCGTAGTGTTGTTTGAGGATTTCCAGTTTTTAAGGGGATATGCATGAAAAATGCCCAAGTTGGTATGTCGTTCATTGGAGCACCGCGTAGCCATCTCCAGATTCAGGAAATTCAGTTATGACCATTTTCACGACGCAATAAAATTCCAGAGACCCCGGATGGCCAGTCATTCCCTGATTCTGATCGGCGCATTGGATATTCTAGATGAGGGCGTATCGCTTGTCCTCATCTACACCACTGTATTCGGGTTTTGCGGGGCTGTACTATTGACGACCAGTCAAGTCATTCATCAAGGATTGATATTTTTTGGGTGAGCGATACCTTTAGCTACTTCCAAACCTTAAAGAGGCTCTGAAGTCAAGATTCGCGGATCCGGGGATTGAACTGCTGGTCAAAAATGATAGGGATGCCTTAGAAAATTACCACGCAATGCATTTGGTGCGAAAACACGTACAATATTTGATTCAAACCGAAATATTCCCGGGGCAAAAGCGACTTTTTGAGTACGCGACGATTATATGTCGTAATGCCTTGTAAGGCACCCAATCTCTCGATCTCGGCGATTTTCTGATCAATTTTCATAATTAAAAAGTCTAGACTGATCAAAATCCGGTGAGTATTCCAGAAATAGAGTCAGAATCTTGAAATTCAAGCGTTTTCACGTCTAAATAGGGACGAAGGATCATCTGGCGCGGTCGCGTTGCGATCGCATCTGTCGCAGGAATCAACGCAGCAGGCCGTAGTCCTGACTTTGGAGCCCCTTTAAAATACCTTGAAGCCATGAATTTCCCCTGAGTAAAGGCTAACAAAATTACATAATGCAAATTAATTCATCTTAGTAGCTTTTCGCAATTTAATACCTAGAATCCATCACTTCGGGCTTCCTAATACTCTTAAAATCTAGCATTACTTACCGTAATCGATTTTTCTAGAATCGTCCGCTCCGACCGCACAATTTTGGGCGCTTTACTGGTGCTTTTTGGTGCCTTGGTAATCCATGGTGTATGGATATTTTGGTTTACCACGACTACGATTACAACGGATGATTGTGTCGTTCGAGAGTATGGCATTAATTATACGGTAAATGTTTTCGCTCTCTCTCTCTCTCTCTCTCTCTCTCTCTCTCTCTCTCTCTCCCGCTCTCCCTCTCTTTCTCCCTCTTTCTCTCTCCCGCTCTCCCTCTCTTTCTCCCTCTTTCTCTCTCCCTCTCTCCCTCTCTTTCCCTCTCTCTCGCTCTCTCTCTCTCGCCCTCTCTCTCCTCGTTCACTTTCTCTCTCTCACTATCGATAATTTTTGCCGATTTATAGCTCGTCAGCACCGAACCAGTGTGCAGCGACTTTATCACGATGCTTCAGCAATCCTTCGATTTGAGGACAGCTACTTTTATATCGATACCTTTTGAAGTAAGTCTATCTAGCGAGCATCTATAGGTATCCTGAGCGTTAAATAAACTACCAGATCGGTTTAAAACATAGTGATTTTTTTAGGTTCTCAGCCCCCTCGATAACACAACCTACGTTGGCAATTGGAGAGCGGTCCTGCTGTTCATCATCTTGGTTCTGCTGATGCTCGGCTCAATCGCGATTGTATTTGCTTCGAATTTTATGGTTTTGCAGAAGGTATTGAAGCGAAAGAGCGAGAGAGAGAGAGAGAGAGAGAGAGAGAGAGAGAGAGAACGAGACAGAGAAAGAGAGAGAGGAGAGAGAGCAGGGCAGCAATGTGTCAAAAAATTATTTCAGATTCGACGTTCCACCATCCAGTCTACGCATCGTCGGATAAGTGGAGAGCTGACGCGGACTTTACTTGGGCAGGTGAGAAAGACAGAGAAACCGTGAGAAAGAGAGCGAGAGAGATAGAGAGCGAGAGAGATAGAGAGCGAGAGAGATAGAGAGAGAGGGGGAGAGAGAGAGGCAGAGAGCAACAAAGCCCTAGAGAAAAAGAGTTTACAACATTAATATCACTTTAATTGTGTTATTTAGGCCCTAACCCCGATCCTCCTGCTCCAAGTCCCGCTCCTCGTCGCCACAATTGCTAACGTCATCAATTATAATTTAAATTGGGCTTATCAACCTCTATATTTCACGTTGGCTTGGTACCCAACCGCACAGGTAATTTTTTTCGTCTTGAAAACGAGCGAAAGAGGGAAAGAGAGAGAGAGAGAGAGAGGAAGAGAGGGGGAGAGAGAGCGAGAAAGAGAGAGTGAGAGGCAGAGAGAGCGCGAGAAAGAGAGTGAGAGGGTGAGAGAGTGAGAGGGAGAGAGAGAGGAAGAGAGAGACAGGAAAATTTTCCATCTGCGATTAATCCAAATTCGAAATTTTTAGCCCCTGATGCTCGTGATTAGTGTGTCGAGCTATCGAAAAGCGTTTGGTCAAGTGCTACACGAGATGCACTGCCATCTCACCTGTCGCCAGCCGTTGCTTGTAAAACACCCGGACTCGGGGCACCATAAGCTTAAAACGATGCTGACCCTTAGTCAGAAGATTACAGTATCGGTTCAGGTTTTCCGCACGATTTAAATACCGGAAGATAAAAGCTTACCCACGGCAATTTTGCACATATTCTAACGCATGGCAAAATAATCTATCGTATACAAAAGATAAATTTTATTAGACCAACAGAAAAAAGTATCCCCTTAAACAATGCTATCCTGCCTCGAACCTCGGTTTAAACTTTGTACTTAAATAGGCGCCGAAATCTGGTCCACGGCCCCCCGCGTTGATTCCTGGCAAATAGCCAGATCCCGCAGCAACGCGGCCGCGTCGCGGGTTCTCTAGTCGCTGTTTGGAAGGGCAAACGCGTGAATTTCAAAATTCTAACGCTGGTTCTGTAATCCTCATCCAATTTAGATCACTCTAGATTTTTTAATTATCAAAATCGACCAGAGAATCACCGAGATCGAGAGATTGGGTGTCTTACAAGGCATTACGACATGTAATCGTCGCCCACTCAAAAAGGCGGTTTCGGCCCGAAACCATTTCGGTTTTTCTCAAATATTTTGCGGTTTTTTGCAGCACAAACAATTTTGTGGCACTTTTCGGCGGTAGGTCGTTCGTTTTGATCAGTAGATTCAAGCCACGAACCCCGCGAATTTTGACTTCCGACCCCCTTTAAATTTTTTAATTTCTTTAAAAACGGCATTCGGGGCCTGACGTTAATAACCGTCGTACAAGTTTTTTGAACCCATCGCCTCGTCTTGGTATCCAAGGTTTCGAATCCTTTTTGACGGGCGTTTAGAGCTTCGGAAAGGTAGGGAACTGCAAAACTACTACTAAAACTGCAAGATGTATGCAAAAACCGAAAATGCTTATAACTTTGTTAGTTTTGGTGATGGGCAGCTTAAAGTTAGACCAATCGATTCGTTTACGATTCGAGACCGTTTAATTCCTTCACGAAGAAATCCAGCCAAAACCGTTTTGCGCGAAAATCGAAGGAGTGAAGGCTCTTGTCCCGCAACGGCCGCTGGCAATTTACCGGAAATCAAAGTGCCCTCTCGAAAGGGATTTGATTTGGCACTTCGGTGCCCTTTAGGGTTCCATTGGCTCGAAAAAAACGCAATTTAACAGGAGAATCTGGCGAATTCTACCCCAATTATCTCTCGGTTTTTCCTAGAAGGACCTGTGGAAAAATCTCAAAATTTGAACGCGCCTGAGCAATCAAGTAGCCAAAAAAGTACGAGCTCTTGTGCCGAAAAAGGTATAATTAAAGCTATTCGCACTTTTTCAGACACTTTTTTTAAGTGCTAGCTTTGTGTCAAGTAAGGGCAGTCCATTGAAAACAGAACGTCAACAAGAAAGTGTCGTTTTTCTGGAAATTAGCAAACCAGCAAAGAACTAAAAAAATTAAATAATATTTTTCGTAAGAATTTCAAAATTCTTTTGAACGTCGCTTCTTCACAAAAATCCCTGGAGACTTGAATTTATCTTCCAAGCATAAAAAGTACTTTTTCAAGCTTGTTTTTCACGGAAAACAATATTTGTTGAAAGCAGCGGACCTAAAAAGTACGATTCTATAAACCTATCTGTAAAATATAATTTTCTGAGCTTTGAAAATCTACGGTAAATCCTTAGGGAAATTCACAAATCAAACTATCACTCAGCCAATTGCTCAAAGCACGATCTTTTGAGGATTTATTCGGGGAGAGGATTAATCGAGGAAATTAGCTAATTTGAAAATTAGATGTTCTTTGAGCAAGAAATCGCGAATTATAAAGAGCGTTGCTTAATCCATTTTTTATTTTGGATCGAAAAAGGCCGGAACGACAGAGGAACGGTTTTTGAAACTTTATGAGCAGGACGAAGGAGAAGATGAAGAAAGTTTGGAAGAAACATGGCACAACGGTGCTCTTGACGTTTTGTCCTCATAGGTCCTTTAAGGAAACCGAAAAGGCCCAGAATCGACAAGTTCCATCGGGTCCACCATATGAGCTGCGTCTAGAAACACTTTTAGATATTTCCTGGGACTCCACGGCTTTAAAAGATCAATAGCTGATAGGGTAGCAGCTTTCTAGAGCCGGTGTATCCGAGCGTCGATTCGCGGTCTTTCTGGCCCTTTAGATGACCGGATCAGGGTTGCCCACAGCTAATAAAACGTCCGGTAGCTTTGGAAAGGAGGGAAGACCGCAACGCGTGCGATAGACGCGTCGCGCAATTGCGAAAGCAGGCCTGCGCAGCTAAAGACCGGTTGCTATTCCGCGCACCGGCACGCAACTCGCGAAAAACACGCACAGTACGCCCTTTTCCTTGAACCATCTCGACCGAACCCATGGGGCGGTTGTGTGCCTGGAATACGGGAAATATCTGTTGTCTGAATTTTCATTGCATAATGCAGTGCATACGATCTGACGATCAACGTCAGATCCACGTGACGCGTCTGCACGAACATCCATAGCGGTGCCATTGCGTGAGAATTCGTAGTAATGCGTTTTTGCTCACTTGAAACGGTCCTGAAAAATCCATTCGATTTGAGACTCAAATGAAAATGAGAGAAAATGAAAAATTCGTAACTCCCTTTTGGTGCGATGATTTTAATATCGAAGCTGCTCATATTCTACTGCAAGGCACGTCCTGATTTGCCTTCGAAAGTTGCACTTTCATCTACACTTTTTTGTATTTTGCAAATGATAATCTTCTAAAGGACACCGTTCCCGTAGAAGGGCAAAATTTCGCGACTCCTTACATCCGATCCACTCCCTTTAAGAAGCCACCAATTATGCGGGAAGTGACCAGAAATTGAAGTCTAATTGGTTGGCTGGCAATCTTCATGGCTATCCCGAATTTTTCGTGCTCGCCCTCCGCTACCCAGCCAAAATCCTAACTTGCTCCCCGGGGAAAATAAACTGATTATTCGATGCGGTTCTACCAAATTCCGTGATCAAACACTGTCCGCTCCGGTCGTTCCTGATGAAAAACAAAACGATTTGAAATTCGCCACTTTTTGGATTCGCTTAATTTATTACTGTAATTTGCTCGCTCCTCTACAAACCCCTCGGAAATGGCTCGTAAGTTGCTTCGATTTACATACACTATGTGCTTCAAATTTTGCCGAGGTTTACGTTAGATAGCAGTGAAAATTGTGAATTTTCAAACCATTTGGATAGGCAGGCTAGCAGAGGGATTTTGTGTATTTCTCCTAATTTCTAGCCACGCAACAGGGTCAATTATCGTTATGAACTTTTCGCAAAACGGCAAGCTAGCGGCGATCATTGCGGATTCTGTACTTTAGATTTTTAGGATGGCAGGGCAAGCTAGCAGAGGTCAATTGCGCTTTAGCCGGATTTCACGCCGCGCGCCACAATTTTATCATTTTTTGAGACTTTTGTCGCGTTTTCGAGAGGAAAGCCGGCTAGCAGATACCGTTTTGGATCCGAGAATTCATGACCAGGACCAGGAAATCGGGATTTACGTTTCAATCGCGTTTCTGTAGACTATAATGATAGAAATTCGTCAAAGGTTGAATCCTTTTTAGTATGGCTGATCAGCGGAGACGACTCAATATTATCCTGCGTTCATTCGTGGATTTTATTCCTCCTCGGCACCGCAACGAATTTCATCGCTCTCTACCTCGTCGCCTTTCATTCACATGCCGTAAGCGATTAGGATTTGGAATTTTTTATTTAAGCTTCAGCTTACTGTAGCGTTTTTTATAGAATTAGAACATTTCTCGTTACATTTTTAGCAGGAAAATACATACATATTGATATGAAAAATCCCGAATTATCAAAAAACACAAAAATTTCAACCTTTTCAGAACATTGGCAAATACCGGTATATGATGTTTTTCTTCTTGGGGCATAATATTTGTTTCGCCGTGCTGACGGCGATTATTGATTGGGTATGTTGATTATGTCTTTGATGACCTAATAATGCTGGTTTTCCACAAAGAATCTCCGCTAGTATACACCCTGTTTTTAGCAAATCTTCCTCAAGTCCAACCAGCTGGTGATCCTCGGGACTACGGTAGCTTCGTTGCAGAGAGTTTCGCTTGGATTATTGGTGAGTTAGCAGTTTTAAAGGGATGCCGACGGCATAGTCAATCGATTACGCGCTGGAAAGAAAATGTCTCTGCGCCTCTCCCCTGGGCGCGCTCTCTGCCCCGTTGGCTACTTGCCAATTTGTTGATGCGGGGGGATCGACACATGCCGTCGGCAGCCCTTTAAAGGGGCAGCAAAGCTAGAAATAGGATATTTGTTGCGTTTGCACCACGCACTCATACTCAATTCTTTTATCGCCTATTTTGGCGACACTTATAAGCTAGCAACGTATCTTGCGCGCGGCGCGTTACGAAATTTATATGGAATCCATAGCCAAGAAAACCGTGTCTCATCCTGTTCGCTCTTTTAAAGAACTCTTTTTCGACTTCGACTTTTTAATAGCCTTGATATGTGTAAATTGGACTTAAATTTGACCTAATAATTTAGATAATCAAATTTTAAACATCATTATGAATTTTATATTGAATTCGATACAATTTGTTAGAATTATTGTATAAGCTTACAGAGATATTTTAGATAGCCGAAATCTGCTTCCTCTTCACGGCCGTCACCCTATCGGCAGCACAGATCCTGCATCGGCATCTCGTGATTTCCGGGTGGGTGCTGACACGTAGCCAGGAAGCTAGGAAACTACCGTAATCCCGAGTGCTCTTTGGATTGGCACGAGACATGTTGCTTTATAGCCAATCCCCCTAGGGAATTCTTATGGAATCATAGAACGATTTCGTGTAGGATGAACCTTTTGGACCCGTCATGGCTAGGTTGTAGTCAGATCAGGAGTCAGGATTTGGGGCAAAATTCGTTGAAATTATCTGAATTTTCGTAGACTATAATTAACGGAAGATGTGAGTCACTTTCCCGCGTGCTTTGACCAGTCCAATCAGCCGCAAATGAAGAAAACAGGGTGAAAATACGATAATTCCGGGATCTAATGGAGGTATTCGGCAAAACGAACTTTCTCAAGCTGTCTTTGCCCCTTTAAAAGACCCGACAAAGCATTGATGGAATTTGGAAGACCAAGAAATTTGCCAAACGTCCCCATTACTCAACAAAAATGACAAAAGATACCCATTAATATACAGTAGAAGACGGTAAAATAAACTTTTAGCTGTCCCTTTAAAGAAACCGGCAACGCATTTGCCAATTTTAGATTTACTTCGGATTTTGAAATTCCCACAAAACGGAAAAGTGTCGATCAACTGCCCCAGGCAATCCCCTTAAAAATCATGCACAAAAATAAACTAAAAAATGAGAAAGCTGAGAAAATCGATAATCGATTACGCAACTGAAAATCTGATTCGGATTGTGGCCGGATCCGGCTACGGTTTACTTTACCCCCCCCAGCCGGAAGTTTTTGGCTATAACTTTTTTATTTTACATTATTGTAGGCTCAAATTAAAACTCTTAGTATATTTTTCGACGCTCTATCGAATGGCGTTGCAAAAATCCCGACAAAATCAGCGAAAATACCGACAACTTTGAGATCCTTCGGTTGTGGGGGGGGTAAAGTAAACTCTTACCCCGGATCCATAGACAATCCTTGGTTTTGGCTTGCTCAGGCCTTTAAAATCTATCTAATTTTAGTATCATCCGTGAAGAGCGTATGTTTTCGATGGGAATCGTATCCATTGTGCTCTCCTCCCTCCTCGTTGGATTATGGACGACGTGGCTCTGCGTATCTGCCATTTACCCACATGACTGCTATTATTTTCATCCAGTTTTGGGGTTCACGGTAGGTCTATCGCTCTCTCTCTCTCTCTCTCTCTCTCTCTCTCTCTCTCTCTCACTCTCTCTCCCTCTCGCTTTCTCTCACAAGCTCTCTATCTCTCTCTCTCTCTCTCTCTCGCTCACTCTCTCCCTCTCGCTTTCTCTCACAAGCTCTCTCTCTCTCTCTCTCTCTCTCTCTCTCTCTCTCGCTCACTCTCTCCCTCTCGCTTTCTCTCACAAGCTCTCTATCTCTCTCTCTCTCTCTCTCTCTCTCTCTCTCTCTCTCTCTCTCTCTCTCTCTCTCGCTCTCCATCTCTGGTTCTCCGGCGAAACCACTCTTTTCAGCTAAAAAATACCAGCAGAATCTGCGATTATTTTGTCGACGATCTCCAGGAAATCTGCGACCTTGAATTCACGCAATTTATCGCGCTCTCACTGCAGGTACTGTTTAAGTTTTCTTCATTTCACACGTCCACAAGCTTCTAATTACCGGAATCCGGAAGCTCCAAAATTTTCTGTGAAATTATAGCGCTTTCTCCAAGAACGCATGCCGTTCTTAAGATTGGCACTTTCAAAACTCCGGGGCGGAAAGCTGGAAATGAGATTACCTAGTAATAGTTGGGTCTTTGGGAGTTACGCAATTTTGCAAATGGAAGCTCGCCGAGCAAACCATAAAAGTTCATGGTATCAGAATATAGCTCGAGAGAGAGCGAGAGAGAGAGAGAGTGAGAGAGACAGAGAGCGAGAGAGTGAGAGAGAGCGAGCGAGAGAGCGAGAAGCGAGAGAGTGAGAGTGAGAAAGAGAGAGAAATAGAGAGAGGGGTTGAGAGTACAAGTGAGAGAGCGTAAGAGTGAGAGAGAGAGCGAGAGTGAGTGAGAGAGAGAGAGAGAGAGAGAGAGAGAGAGAGAGAGAGAGAGAGAGAGTAAGTGAGTTAGCGAGGTAGGGTGGGAGAGAGAGCGCGAGAGACCGAGAGTGAGGGGAGAGAGAACGAGAGCGTGAGAGAGCGAGAATCAGAGAGAGAGAGATCCCGAATATTTATTTTAATTTTAGCGTTGGGATAAGGAAGAATCAATGCTAGTCCCATCCATCAACTCCTGCCTGCTTTTCGGATGTGTTACGACGTTTCTGTTATCGTCTACTCTGATATCGGTCTTCTGTAGTCTATCGACGTTTCGGAAGGTATATCATGTATAGACTTTCGAAGAAAAGCAACTCACGTTCGGATGTTTTCTGTAACTTTCGATTTTCAGATCAGCGCCAAACTTCACATCAAGCAGCGTCAACTTCAGACGCAAATAACAAAGACGTTGCTGGGCCAGGTCAGTATATTTTAGTTGGTTTTCTCAACTTACATACTGAAAAATTTGACCTTTAATCCGGTCGAAAGCCTGCGTTTAGGCGGTCGTCCCTTTTTTCCTGCTCCAACTTCCCCTATTCGCCACCTGCGCTGCCATTATCTTGGGTCCCACGACGAAGGGGGCTTTTCAAGTTCTCTATTTTACGCATCAATGGTATCCCTTCGTACAAGTAAGTCTCTAAGAAACCAATCACACAACGCGAATTTGGAAAGCTAAGAAATCAATAATTTCTAGGCAATATCCCTAATCGTTGGCGTGGATTCTTATCGTAGCCGTTTGTTGGGATTTGTCACGCCAGGTATGCTATAAAGTAAGGTACCTTACGATACTTTCGGACAGACAAAAAGTACGCTACGATACCTCAGCGGCTAACAAGCAAAAAGAGTCAAATTTAGGTGCCTGGACCCCCAGGAAACCCGGCGAAAACCCATCGAGCGAGATCCATTTGAAGCGCAAAAATGTGGATAATGTTATCAGAGCGCCTGGATAATATCACACCGTTGCTATTTTATATTTTCCAAATTTCTATTAATAAATGTGTATTTTTTGCACAGTACTACCATTAAATTTATCGCATGGCAGTGGAATTCGCGTGAAAACCCGGGCATTCCTTTGGTTTTAGCTCGAGGAAGAAGGCGAGGCAGGTCATCATCACGGAGACCGTCTAAAATACACCAAAGTATAATTTTTCAGGGCAAATGATTGGATTAAATCAACAACGAAATTATTTTTAAAATGTTATTTATCTACAAAATATGCAAAATCGCGATCAATTACGTCAAATTTGAAGTTAAATTTAAGCTACAAGAACGGGAAAATCGATTTTTTTTTTACTTTCAGATAGCTCCTTAATGTTTATTTATATTCTTACAAAGTATGTGTCTTAACATCTGCCTGGCCTACCGTAAGAATCATGGGTTTCGTGACGAGGGCGAATCCCCAGAGGGATATCCCCAAATCAGCTTGGTCCAAGTGGATTAGTAGGGTGTGGGCCACCTAAAAAATAGGCATATTCAGGAAAAACTATATAAAATTCCTAAAATAAATTTCTGTCGCTTGTACCCGATTCAGCTTGCTCTCAAACGGGACCCAGATGCTTTCCGTCATGCACAGGATCGCTTTGGATTTGGAGAGCTGAAAAAAATATAGGAAAATCATTAAATTTAAATCATTTAAAAGTGACAGTGGAGTTTAGTCTTCTATTTTTTTCAAGATTTAATTTTAATGGGCGCAAAAAAGCAAATTTTTAGTGTCAATTACCTCTTCATGAAGCGTAGCTGGCGTTAGCGTAACTCCATAGTATCCATAGGCGCAGTAGCAAACGGATGGGATGCTAAAATTTGGGTGAAATATCGTAATTCATAGTAGATTGTTACCACAGAACGAGTCCGAAAAGACTGGAGCGCGTCAGGACCAGGGCCAGCGTAAATAGGGTGGAAGGGATTATTGTGCATACCATAAGGAAGGCGAAAACCTGAAAAGTTTAGGATTTTTACATTAATAAATAAAATTATAATCTCTAATTAATTCGCTTTTGGTTTAACAATATAACCACTACTTTATTTCATTAAATTAAACAAAAAATACACCTGAAAAATCCGATCCAATTCCCGGGTGCAACGGCCTAATTGCGTATGGAGCCGTATCATATTTTCGACTTTTTCCAGTAAATGAGAGGTTTGAGTTGTTTTAAGCTTAAAAATTCCATAAAATTAGAAAACTTCTAGCTACTAACCACTCTTAATTTTTTATTAAACTTCTTCGCCTCCCAGTACATGATATTCGAGAAGCAGATGTAGGTGTGCAGGGCTGAAAACAACGATATTTTACATTTTCTAAGGTTATTCGATCAGAACTTACCAATATTCCATACAGTAATGTTATAAAATATGACAAGTAGCCGTATATAACGTAGCGGCTCGTACTTGTATGTCTAGAAAACATTTCGTGGCGATTCAGGATAAAATACAATAGAAATATAGCAATCGAAATCTAAGGTATAAAAACTAACTTACATATCTGTAACTTTCGTGCAGAATTTCTGTAGTATAGCCCAATTGATCGGAGACAAAATATAGAAAAGTGGTAGCAAAAGTACCCCAATACAAAATGGAGAAGCGTCGCGTGTTGCTGCTGATCGACTTGGTGCGTTGCTAAAAAACGACACTTTTGTCGAGTGATGTAAAAAAATATTTGTAACATATTTTTCAGAATTTCGTCTAAAATCTTGGTATAAACGATTTACCGTACTCTTGCAAACCCCAAAAAGTGATTTTCACGTTGAAGCTCAGGCCAGGAGCGCGAGAAAACACCCATTTTCCGCCAAAACGTGCCTTTCATTATACTTCGACTTCGCTAGGTAGCGCGTCGGGATGAAATTGTCTTTTCAAAGCTAATAAAAATGTCAAAATAATTTATTACAACCCGACAATGATGCACATTCTAGTTAATCACAAAAACACAATACCACCAAGTGGCTAGTTGCAGGTTATACACAAGCACAAAAATCATACGAGTCTAAATTAAAACGTCTGTGAGATCACGAGGGCGTAAATTGGAGGAAATCCTTCACATAATCGCGGGAAATGTCGGGGTTTTCGTCAGAAATATTTTCCGGGTTATTCGGGATGAATGTCAACAAAGCCTTGAGCGAATCGAGGGAAATGTAGGGCTTTCCGTTCAGCGTAACAACTTCCGGGTTATGAGGGATGAATTTACACAAATCGTTAATAAAGTTGAGGGAAGTGTCGGGCTTTTTCTCAGGAATAACAACTTCCGTGTTATTCGGGGCGAATTTCAAAAAAGCGTTGAGCGATTCGAGGGAAGTGTCGGGCTTTTCGTCAGGAATATTGACTTTCGGGTGATGAGGGGTCATTTTCAACAAAGCCCTGAGCGAATTGAGGGAAGGGTCGGGCTTTTCTTTAGGAACAACAACTCCCGGACCGCTGGAGGTGGATTTAAACAAATCGTGAAGAGAGTTAAGGGAATTGTCGGGTTTTTCCTCGGGAATAACGACTTCCGGATTATAAGGGGCCAATTTCAACAAAGCCTTGAGCGAATTGAGGGAAGTGTCGGGCTTTTCTTTAGGAATAACAACCTCCGGATCAGAAGGGGTGAATTGAAACAAATCGTGCAGAGAATTGAGGGCAGTTTCAGGATTGTCTTCCGGATCAGCAGGTTGGAATTGAAGCAAATCGTCGAGCGAGGTGACGGGCTTTTCTTCCGGAAGAGTTTCCGGATCATTCGGCGCGAATTGCAGCAAAGCGTCAAGCGACTTGAGGGAAGTGACGGGCTCTTCATCAGGAACGGTTGCCGAAAGCAAATCGTTTAGCGAAGTGACGGGCTTGTCTTCAGGAACCATTTCCGCATCAAATGCCGGAACCGGAACGCCTTGCGAATTCTGTTGGCAAAAGATAAACGAGCGAAGTTCACGGATCCTCTCGCGGCGCGCGAATTGCTTGAGGCTAGAGGCCGAAGGGCGGGAAGACGTCTCCGGAAGATCGGCGAGAGTATCGGCGATGAGTCCGCCGACTGGTAGCCAAGGCGCCTGGGTCACCGCAGCACGCACCGCCTCCTTCAAACGCTGCGTGGCCAACTGAAGAAAGTTTATAAAGTGCTGAGCGTACTAAAAAATTTCTAAAGTGGTTTTCGGACATTTTAAAGCAAATGCTACTAAAAGCAACATAAAAATGCCCTATAAAACGCTAAAAATCTTCCTAGGTGAATACGCTATAACACGCTAGAAAAATACAGTGAAAAAAGGCTCTGGGCCGGCCGAGCGGAAAATTACGAAAACCCGATAATTTTTGGTGAAAAATGTATCAAAATGATCAGAAATTTCCAATTTTTGATAACTTCTAAATGCTTTATGGCTTTTTAGTAAGAAAAATTACTAAAAGCACCAGAAATGCACTATGAAGCGCGCAAAAATTCTGCAAGCCAAGAATAGGCCCTATGGACCCCCGCTATCCAGTACTATAAAAGTTTAACAAAACGTAGATGTAAACGTGCTACACACCTTCCTTTCCGGCCTCTCGTGGTCGTGCTCCTTCGGGTATTTCAGCAAATGCCCGGCCTCATCCGTGTTCATCCTCACTTTGCATCCAGCACCCGCGCAATTCCAGTACAATTGGACCTGGCCGCCCTTGAGGACATTGCGGCGGTTCAGCCGGAATTCGTAGCCCTTGTAGATGGCGAGACGGCCGAACGGCGAACCCTAAAAGATGAATTCAAGAAAAAAACCCAGTAAAAACTACCTGCTTCGGGTGACGGCAGCTGCTGATGAATTGAACGGTGGTTTCGTCATCGGGCGTTGTCATTCCTTAACAAAATAAATTGTAATGCTCAGAAAAGCGACTGAAACGTGGAAAATGTATATAAATTAAAGAGATAGGGGCGGCATAAGTCAATCGATTACGCGAGGGAAAGAAAATGTCTCTGCGCCTCTCCCCCTGGGAGCCCTCTCTCGCGCGAGATCGCCGCGGGACCTGTTGAACCCCCCCTCCCCAAGGGGGGTTCAACAGATGCCGTCCTCATCTCTTTAACAAAGACAAATAAAAAGCAATCCGGCGGTGGAGCGGAAGATTTTTGCCGAAAAACCCAAAAGAACGAAAGGCTCCATTTTACGGTTTTACGCAATTTACGGATGGTCGTCCAGATGAAATTTCCGCGCCAAAACTTTATACGCGGAGGCAAAGATGCGAGGTTTTCGGGTAATCGTTGGTGAAATTTTTGGGACCATGACAGTTGCGCAACGACGTTTGAGCAACTCGGGGGGAAACGACATTTGAGCAACAATGATTTCTTAGTAAACGCGGGAAAACGGTGTTGCTCAAACGTCGTTTTTGCCCCAGTTGCTCAAATGTCGTTGCGCAACTGTCATGGTCCCAAATTTTTTAAGAATTTAAAAATCTTAAAATAACCAACAACAACAACCAAAAACTTTATGAAAATTGGGAAAATGAAGCGATAGAAGGCATAAATGCGAATCGATGACATGAAAGCGCGGCGGGACGGCATTCGGCAAAATGAAAGGCCACGGCGCCGAGGGGCGCTTTTCATGCCACCGCTTTTCAAAACGCCGCCTTTTTCGGATGCCGCTTTTGGGGATACCTCTTCGGATGCAGCAGGTTTATGGTCGGACCGAAATCCCGACAGAAAAGGTACATTAGAATCCCCAAACTTTCTGCAAGACACAAGGAAAATTTGTTTATTTTACCGCGGTATATACGACGCTGTAATTTTGTATTTTGGGTTTTCGAATCAGTAAAACGCCGAGCATTTTCGCTATTTTTATTGCACAAAAGTGTTTTTCTCCTTACAATTAGTCAATCCTTGAAAAAAATGGCGTTCCATATGGGCATTCTAAGGGGAAATGGAAAATTTAGGGTCTTTCGTGCTCAATAAAGGGTATAGCAGTTATGATAGTATTAAACACAGCAAAAGCTAGATTTTTTACGCGAAATATAGGCAGAAAGACGTTCCTGGAGGCGTCATGGGGAATCGATGAAATGCAAGGGCGGCGGCACGGGGGAACCCATTCGGCGAAATGAAAAATAGGGAGGGAGGGGGCGAGAGGGCGTAGAGAGCCGAGAGGGACGAGGCAGCGCGGCGAAATGATATTCTGCACATTCATTCCGCCCCGGCCTGCCGCCATAATGGAAATGGGCAGGGTGGGGAAATGAGAATTTCGGGGAGAGCGATGGCCATCTGCCAGACATAATATACCTATATAGACGTAATGAAATCTCCAAGTAATAAATAACGAATATAGTGCTTGCTCGAAGATAATCCGCGGATGACAATTTTAGCGTCATTTACCGTGAATTGGTGCGGATCGTATTTCGCTATTTTGCAAATATTTGCGTCGGCGAGTTGTATTCTCGCATTTTTTTGCCATTGGTATTGTTCCGCAATTATCCACGAGATTTGAGGATAATAAATATTTGAAAAAGTGATAAGAAAAACCACCAATATGGGCCAGGTGACGCTCCAGAAAATTGACGAAAAACTAGTAAAAATGAGTAAATAACACGTAACCACGAATTAAAAAAAATTGTCTGTAATTAAAAAAATGTCGTACATTTTCCGTATGTATTTCTGTGTTTTTCACATGTTTTTAAGCAGTTTAGATGTATAGATATCATTACGCATAAACCAATTAATTAAAAATATAATTTTTGACCCACCTTATCATAAAAACCATGATCATCAATCCTGGCGTGTCGGTAGATATGGAAAAATTTTCCCACAGAAAGTTGCATTTGGTTTGCCGTGAGGAAAGCTTGGCAGATCAGAGCTTGTAGGCACCAAATAGCATCCTGATAGGTGGTGCCTGAGACGCCATCTGGTAGGTTTATGGTGTGAAACAAGTCGTAGCCCACCGTATAAAATGCTAAAAAGCAATAATTTATGAAGCGCAGCGAATTCAGTAACTTAAAAATCGCATAAACTCTTTAAAATGTAGTTTCTTGTAGTCGTATATCGAAAACCCACCAAGTGCCACCATCACAAGTTGATAGAATATTTTGAAAGCTATCGCCAGCTTCGAGTCAAAAGCCGTGTATCGGATCCCGGTGAAACGCAGCGTCTGAAGTAACGATTTTTCTCATTAAAAAATAGAATTTTGTAGCGTTTCTTAATTTTGGAGTTTTTACCTTTGCAAACAGTAAAAATTGCCGAACAGCTGGATCGGTATGATCCAAGTCGTACAAATCGCATCCATCCGATGCCAAAACTTTTCCATCCAACACCCTGTACACATTCTCGTCGTCCGAGGCTTCGGACTGGTCATCGACGAGCACATTCATTTGGGTTGGCTTGTCCATTCAGCTAAAAAAACGAGACTTGCAACAAAGTAAAGTTCTGGTTCATTAACAGGGGGGAAAAAGAAAGGAAATTTAACTTTAATAAAAGAGCGAAATTTTCAAGACAGTCCAAAGTCAAAAAAAGCCGGAAAGCTGTCATAGGAGTCGGCGTTTTTGCATTATTGGGGGCGGAGGATCTAAACTTGTCCCGTACGTCAAAAAAAATGTTTCTACCGTAAAAGCAAGGATTTTGGTAGTGCTTTTAGCAATTTTTAGATCTAAAAATTTAAAAAAAAAGTAAAACTTTACCCTCCCCCTATAACGCAAAAGCTCCGGATAAGGTTCTGAAAAAGCTTCGAAGATCAAATAAAGCTAGCAGGTAGATAGGAAAGTCATAAAAATGCCAAAATCAGCCAGCGACGGCGTGGTGAAGGTATTTTCTGCAACGTTAATTTGGTTAAATCTAGCAGATCAGGCGCTTTTGAATTATTCTAGGGCACCAAATTAATACTGGAAAACGGAGGACAATGTATCAATATATTTTTTGCCCTTCCAAAGACAAGGAGACCAAAAAACGATCGTCTAGGCCTTCCGGCCTGGTCTTCCGGCCTGGCCTTCTGTTTTTGGAGAGGTTCGTCAAATTTCCGGCTCGCTTCAATGAACCCTTTTTAGGGGCAGAAAGAGCCCTGTCACGTTCATTATTGAAATTGGGGTTTGACCAAGGCGGGAAAAAGGCTAGGGGCTAAATGAAATGGACGTCCAATGCAACAAGGCGCCACTTTTTACGGCCTCTTGATTGGATGCGGCTCGGCCTCGAAAACAACTGAAATTTTATTAAAATCCGGCGTACACAACAAAACATTCCATTAAGCATTTGCTTGTTTTGGATTTTGCCGGAAAAAGGTAAATAAATAAGGCTCTCCAAAACGAGGCAAAAATATGGAAAAGCAATCTCGGTAAAAGAATATAGATTATTAATATAAAGTTAGTAATCAAAGTTAGAAAATGAAAGAGCTCAATTAGTTAAAATAATGGCTAAACTCCAAATACCCCCCAGCCGACCCCCACCTACCGTATCTCGGCTCCCTGTTCAAATACCGGTATGTAAAGTATACCAAAATACTCGCCACAGCAAGACGAACATTTTCGTATACTTTACACACCTGTAGATGAACAGGGAGTCGAGATACAAAAGTTGGGTGCCGGCTGGGGGTTATCTGGAGTCTTACCAAAATAATTTAGTAAGGCCTGTTTCGACCCTTTGTCCAAGACAGGCAAAACATTCGCTAGGGTCGGGTCTCCTCAGTTGGAAGCCCTAACGGAAAATAAAATAGTAAAAGCATGGGGGGGAAAGTATTATAAGAGTGAAAACCAGTTCGGGATTGTTAGATATTATATTTTTAAACCGGGGAAGTAGTTTTTCATTTCTTGTCTGCCTGTCTGTCTTGTCCGGTAAAATCGATATTTCTATACTGTATAAAAATTTAAAGTATAGAAAAAATATTTTGGCGGGATAATTAACAGGAGCAATTTTTCGTCAACTCTGAATGGCCACGGAGTTTGAGCTATTGGCGGCCACTCCCGAATCGAAAATTCCATTCACTAAAGTGGCCATGGGGTCCCGGGGCTACTCGAAAGGCGAACGTTTACTCTAGTAAAAGTGGACCCCCAAGAGAGCGGCGAGCACGACGGAAAGGAGGGCAGAAATACGAGCCGCAGTAGTTACGGATCTGGCTATAGGCTTGTTTAGTCAGGCTTTGGCTACATAATTTGACAGAACACTTACGCAAAATTTAAATTCTACTCTTTTTATTGCGTAAAACGGCTTTAAAAACAAGGAAAAAGAGTATCTTTCAGCCCGAACCGCTTGAAGTCGTCGCCGAACAGTTGTGTTCCGGCGAGCTCTGCATAATCTATAGACAACCGGCCAAAAATACTCTACTAAACCTGGCGAGTGTGGAATACCGTCAAAGTTTTAGGCCGAACAGCTTGACGTCGCCGCCGAAAGTAGGCGACTCTCGCTTGCTGAAGCCCAATGCAAGATCACTATTATTTATTATTCAAATCACAATCTGTAACTTCATGCAAGGTAGCAGTACTCCAAGATGTTCCCGAATGTGTAGCGTAACGCGGCGTACTGTTGGCACAACAGTGTTGGGGAGGGGCATAGCGTAGCGTAGTGTACACTGCATACAAGCCCGATCTTCAATAAGGCACCGGTCTTGTAGTTTATTCTAGAGCTTTTCAGGGATGTATGCTATGGAGGTACTACTCTCCCCTATAATCTGTACGGTAGTCTAACGTAGTGTAAGGTTGCGTAGCATAGCGTAGTGTAATGTAGCGTGTCTGTATCTTCCGGCAATTAAGATCATCTACTTCAAGATGAACCCAAATGTGCAGGTAGTGTAGCGTAGCTTAGTGTAAAATGGCGCGATTTAGCGTTCAGGAACTACGTCACGACAGGACAAGACAACGTCAAGGTGGTTATACTCCAAGACCAGCTGTAATCTGTACGGCATTGTAGCGCAGCGTCATGTTTTGTAATGAAGTGTAGCGTATTGTGTTGTAGTGTACAATGCATACAATCAACATTCAAATTCTACGCATTCATTTATTCGGAGGCAAAGGCAATCATGGGTTGTACTCGATGGGGAGGTTCTTGCGACGGACCATGCCATCTCCCTGGAACCATTCACGACGGAACTGCTTGGCGGCGCCGTCGGGGGTGTTCGTCCACTCAATCGTCACACGGTCGTTGTTCGTGTCCTCGGCTCCGAAGGTGAACGAGTCGCACGAGACGGCAACCTACAACATCCACAACAACTCCAACAGGGTCAACACAAACGTACCAAGACCTGCTCCTTGGGGTCGAGAACACCGCAGGGCGGGTCAACTCCGAGGCGCTTCATGTTGGTGGTCTTGAAGGCCCATCCGATGCGACGACCTCCCGAGTTGATCACCTTGATGTGGTAGGTGTGCTTGTCATCGTACGGGGCGTTGAACACGATCTTCGTGCCCGGCTGGGTCACGATGTCACCGGGGGCAACCGATTGGGCCATCTTCTTCGAGGAGAGTGGTTTGGTAATTATCACTTTCTAGAGGCTTCTTATATACTTAGGAAGGTATGTTAATTGTGTTATTCGGAGTGGGAATTTCCGGATTTGGCTGATTTTCATTTAAATTTGGTATTCTACGCATTTCTAAGCTTATTGCCCTTGCAAGCGGTGTTTCTGTACCTATGCAAAAAAATCCACCCCCCCCCCGATAATGCAAAAGCGCCAAAAATCACTTTTCTGTTCCTAGCGAAACATCGTAGTTCAAATTTTTCCGTGCGTTCCTCCTAGCGACACGATGTACCAATTTCTCAGGATCTTTAGCGCCACTGCAGCCGTCGCACGATTTTCGTGCCAGTGCCACTTTTCCCCGGACCAAAACTTGCCTCTGACATTGAACACATCGCCCTAACTATGCTTATACAACTGATTTTCACATTGCTACGGCTAGTGTATTCGGTAAGCGGTAATTTATCATTTCCAAGAACACAAATTGTCTTTTTTTACACTATTTCACAGGCCCGAAAATCTTTTCTCGACGTAAGGTATAATTGCAGAGCCCGGACTTCAGCTTTGTTCGCCTGAATTTTGTTTCGACAGCGACCTATCGCTACGGCGATACGACATTTGACTCCCTGAAGGTATTTTAGAGCAAACGCCTTTTCCATTTTTGACAAACTTATTGGCCTCGTTGACCGCTTGTTTACCCGACCCCAACTGCCGATTCGTTGGTGGATGTAAGGAGACGGAAAACAACACAATGAATTACTTCATTATCGTCCCGGCTACCTTAGATGGAAAGTAGGATTTGAGATCGATTCTTAATTGGCCGAACACTATTACAGTTTGCTAAATGGCGGATGCGATGGTGTTCTTTTCGCAAAATTCAACTCGACGTGCCGCCAAACGACGAAAGGCTCAGGTTTGCTACAAAAAACACACCGATTTTACGCATGTATGCTCTGCAGTGGTATCTCCAAAAACATCGACAGCCCCGAAAAGGACAAGGAAAAAGACAACTCCAAAAAGGAAAACGACCACAAAAAAGAAGCCGACAACAACGCTGCCGAAGCCAGTGTTTGATATGGTCCCAGTACCAAGATACCGAAATCGTCAATCTACGATGCTTTGGTGGAACATCTCAGGCACGATGCCGATTCACGATTACTGTATTCGGTGGGTCTCTCCCACTCTCCCACTCTCTCTCTCTCTCTCTCTCTCTCTCTCTCTCTCTCTCTTTCTAAAACCCCTAAGTTTTTTAGCTACGTCTGGCACTTGACTGGAAGCAAGACCCTAAAAGGATGTCCACAGTTGATACCGATATGGGCAAACAGTGATGGTAGGTTTTGGAAAAAAGTACTCTATAGAAAACAGGATCTTCGAGTGCTTCGCAGTATCGGGGAGGGGGACCAATTTTTTTATGGATCAAGTTTTCTAATTTAGATAAAGGAAGTTTTAAGATGTTTTTACGATTCGTATAAAATAAATAAGTTTTACTGAAAACACAATGAAAATTTTTACGTTAGGGATTAGGCGACTGAGGACAGTCGGAAATTAAATCCCCCCGGCTAATGCCAAAGAACCCACGATTCAAATGCGTGTCAATTGCGTAGTGGATTACAGTAGTCCTCTTACCGCTTCGAACCTCTGCGTATACGACGTGTGTTTCTGTCGTGGCCATTCCATTGAGCCCAGAAACTCAATGGTTTTGCATTAGCAAGCCCTAAAACCAAAGGATCTCTTTTGAGGTACGAAGCTGCTGAAGAGCTCTGCTGCCGGAGCCCATCTGATCGGCTATGTTAGCCCGACGATGGGTTATTGCGAGAGCATCTTACGGATCAACTGGTACCAAGAGGCGGCCGGCGGGAACTTTTACGAGCAGGGAGACACGGTTCGATACAATAGACTAAAGCAGTACGGATTCCTGTACGCCTGGGAGATGCCCGCCGCCGATGCCAAGAAACCGGCGCCTGATCCGTTGTGTCCTAAAGTTTAATTTTGCATAGAACTGTATAAAGTGATGTCAGTACCCAAATGTTTTTCGACGCGAAATTTAGATCTACGTTTCGCAAAAATTTAACTCGTAGCGCCAGACCGAAGAGTGGGAGTGCTTTTTAACTTTTTAGAGTGCTTTTATGCGCCTAGCAACACGGCGTCGTAGCAATGTTTCAGCCACCTTTACCAGCTGGAAAAAACGGAAACCGGCACGTTGTCGCATTCTCTTTGAAAGACAATTTGAAACTTCTTGCTGTAAAATAATCCGGGGCCGATACTCGTCCAACTATAGATGCTAATTGCGCTGTTATTGTTGCTTTATGGAATTACAGAGGTGTAAACCGGCCAGAACTGCTCTCAAATCGTAGTCATTTCAGACCCAAGAATTCAGCTACATGCAAGTTCAATTTAACCAAGGCCAAAGTTATCTCTACACGAAAAATGGGTATACGACTCTTAGGGTATCCCATTTAGCAAATCATTACTATCGCTTTAGAGTGCCATGAAATTCTGTTTCTCCGACCAGTATTGCAGCTCGGTTTGCGGATGCAAGGATGGCAGCGCTTCAAAGCCACTGTTTTACGCAGTTCTTTTTAGCGGACTATCTGGAAAGTGCGCATTGTCGGCATTTATTTTTTGAAAATTTGTAAAAAATGATATTTTAGGAGTTTAACTTGCGATGGTGATGGGGTACTGTATGCAAAGTCGAACATTACTTGTCTACGGAATGCCGCTAGCGCAAGTTAGAAGTCGAAAATGGAGTCGTTTTTCACTGTTTTTCGAGTTTCACACGACTAAATCCTTTCGAAGCCAATTTTTTCAATGACTTCAGTCGTGCAGAAATCTTTGCAAGCTGGGGTGATTTTTTAGAATTTCAGGCGCTCTCGAAGGAGTTATGCAAAACGTAAAACTTCATATAAAAAGGCTCATTCAAATGTCAACTTGATAGGGATACGAGCTAAATATACAGAAAGAAAATGCTAGATTACAGGTAGCAGCATCACCTCAACAACTACGACGCCAAATCAGAAAACGCTGACGACAAGACCAGCGACGATGAAACAACTCTGAAGAAGGCGACGACGCCGAAGAAAACGACTCCTAAAAACAAACCGGCCACCACGGTACCGCCGATCAAACTCGAATTGTCCCCGATACCGAGATATCGCACGGGCGCCATCTTTCTGTGGTCGAAGCTTTACGGGGCGAGGCCGATAAAGGACTTTTGTCTGCGGTGAGCTCCTTGGCCGAAGTTTTTGTACTTTAAATCTTTCTAAAAATCTCGAGGAATACTTTGAAAGCTAAAGTAAAGCACAACTTAAAGGGGCTCCGAACTGCCAAATCAAAGCCCTTTTGGGAGGCCTCTTTGATTTCTGGCAAATTGCCAGCGGGCGCTACGGGACGAGAGCCCTCACTCTTTCGATTTTTGCGCGAAGTTGTTTTTGCCCGGTTTCTTTGTGAAAACACTATAATTCGCGCATTCTGAGCCCATTTTTGAAATCCTCACTCGATTTTAAATAGTTTTGGTGTTTTAATCATCAAATTTGGCCCAGAAACAGCCGAGAACGTGATTTCGAGGTGACAACAGGCAATTTCAAATCTGCGAGCTTCCCGCGCCACTAGGTGTGCAGAGGCCTCCCACGTACAGGGCTCCGATGTTCGGGCCGTCACTCAATTTTTGGCATTTCGTAGCCCCTTTAAAGGGCTGGGGGGAAGATGGGCCGGCGTCCGTCGGGGTGACGGACCGCCGCGGCGCTACCATCGACACTTTCCCTCGCGTAAACGCCCCCAAAACCCCGTCCCTCGTTTGAGGAAACCAGTTTATTGGCTATAACTTTTTCATTTAGCAATGTTTTGAACTAAAAATTTCCGTAGATCGAGGACTAAGTGATACGCATTGATGGTAAAAATCTGAGCCGGATTGGATAGAAGGCGGCCAAGTTCTAAGCCATACGGAGTTTTGGAACACTGTTTTGGCTGAAAAAGAGGCACATAGACAGCAAAACATCTCTAGAAAGTTGCAAAGTACGTTGCAATCATTTAGCTAGGTTTTTACAACATTTTTTTAGCTATTATCGCCATGAAATTGCTTTTTTTCTCTTGGCAGTTCTTGTACAGGTGGCGAACCGCCCTAGGGTATGTGGGGGCCCTCCGCCGTCCCTCTCGACTCGACTCTTTGGTGTACTGGCTAACGCATCGGACTGCGGGGCGGACCATCCCTGGTTCGACCCTCTTTGCTCTTTCAGCAATTCCATCTTTCTCCAGCCCTTTAAGGGATGCAAAAATGTAAAAAAAAAATTGAAAATTTTGAAAATTAGAAAGCCTAGAGGTTTTTGGGTTCAGATTAAAAAAAATTCTCATAACTTTTGTATCGGGTTTTTATATTTCCAACCTGGGTAGCATCCTCCAAAAATCTTCATTTTTTTGTTTATAGGTCCCTACAGGATTACTGGCAAAAATTAGTTGGCTCCCTGCTAAAGTCCCCTTACCCCCCCGCTAACAGTCCAATACCGCTAACAGAAAACGGTTACAGTATGACCCACCCATCCAATTTTAGTTACGTTTGGCACTACACAAGCCAGGTGAGCAAGAAGGGATGTCGGCGACTCGTAGCATTGTGGGCAAGCGGTGATGGTAATAGTGTTAGAAGTCCAGCTACAGTTTACACGATTTTCAGGAAGGAGGCTTATTCTAAACGATGAAGCGGATGCCCGTCTGATTGGCTATGTGAGCCCTGAAAAGGGCTACTGCAAAGCGAAGGCCCAGATCAATTGGTACCAAAGTGCGGCCAAGAGCAACCTGTACAAGCAGGGGCCAATAATTGGCTACGAGACGATGCTAAAAAGCGGCTTCTTGTATGCCTGGGAAATGCCAGCGTCCGCTAAGGGCCTGGGGCCGCCTGATTCTTCTTGTAAAACTCTATTTGCCGATTTGTTGTGAAATAAATGACAGATAAAACCGAATATAGAGGATAATGCCGACGCTTCAGAATGTCAAAACTTTGCATAAACAAAACCTTTTTTTCTTTGCGCATCTAGCTCTATCTAGGTGAAGATTTGAAGACGATTGCGCATCTATCGTTTTTACAGTGTGTTTCGTTAATCAAATTACCGTATCTTCCCGATTTTTTTCTTTAAAATCGAGTCACACAAGCTCTAAGGAATTTGTTTTGAATCCGATACATTTACAAAATTATGCACTTTTCTTCCTTGTTTTCAATTCTTCAATAAGTGTGATTTTTCAATGAAGACTGCTTATGTTAATCTTGAGATTTATTTAAGCACTAAAAGTTTTATTTAAAAATTTATTTTAGCAGTAGAGTTCAGCCAAAGCGTACTATAGCGTTCAATTTGTGCTTTGGCGTTTTTCCCAATGCAGTTCATACTTCTAACACGAAAATAGCGCGTCTGCTTGCGTTCCGTGAATTTGGTGCAATTTGCCTGGGAATGTTGCTGCTAAATTCAAGAAGTTAAAGGCGATTTCTGACCAGCCGACTGTTTTTTGCACTTACTGGAATCTCAAGGTTTAAGCTCCCAGCTTTCAAAATTGTTCTTCGTCTTTCATGAAAAATATTTTTCTAAGTTATAGAATCTTTTTTTCAGTGGTTTCCGTATATAGAGATCGAGAAAGAGAGAGAGAGAGCAAGAGAGAGAGAGAGAGAGAGAGAGAGAGAGAGAGAGAGAGAGAGAGAGAGAGAGAGAGAGAGAGAGCGAGATAGAGAGAGATAGAGAGATAGAGAGAAAGTGGGAGAGTGAGAGCGAGATTGAGAGAGCTATGGAAAGAGAGAAATAGACAGAGCTAGAGAGGGTGAGAGAGAGGGCGAGAGAGATAGACAGAGAGAGAGAGAGAGAGAGAGAGAGAGAGAGAGAGAGAGAGAGAAAGCCAGCGAGATAGAGAGAGATAGAGCGATAGTGAGAAAGTGGGAGAGTGAGAGAGAGATTGAGAGAGCTATGGAAAGAGAGAAATAGACAGAGCTAGAGAGGGTGAGAGAGGAGGGCGAGAGAGATAGACAAGAGAGAGAGAGAGAGAGAGAGAGAGAGAGAGAGAAAGCCAGCGAGATAGAGAGAGATAGAGAGATAGAGAGAAAGTGGGAGAGTGAGAGAGATTGAGAGAGCTATGGAAAGAGAGAAATAGACAGAGCTAGAGAGGGTGAGAGAGAGGGCGAGAGAGATAGACAGAGAGAGAGAGAGAGAGAGAGAGAAAGCCAGATTCGGGCAAATTATACTCTTCACTTATGGTCACATTCCCATCTATGATATTTAATTACGTTATCTTTTAGTGTTTTGAAAGTACCTGATAAACACTAGAGAAAATGTGTAATTTTTTGAGTGTAGTTTGTACTGCACGTAGCCCTAAATAAACCATGAAGGCCAACTATTACTTTCCGGCCAATGGCTCAAAATGGCCATGTTGACGAGATATCCAAGAAGCCCGGAAAAATACGATTATTTCCAATTCCATAAGGGGACCCCTTTCCGCGTTCGGCACGCAACCCGGAAAAGTTAACTTCATTTTCGGAATTAAATAAATCCACTTTCTTCCCCCGCAAAATGTCACGGCCGGGTTTTTGCTTTAAAATAGAACTTCCGTAGCTGGTTAATTGCAGCCGGGTGCCGAACTTGTTGGAGTCGGTCCCTAGGGAGATTTGAGGCGAAATGGGCGGTATTTAATTCTAGTTTTGAGGCCTGTAATTCTGCGGCTTTGAGGGGAGGACGTGCCAATTTCTAGCCGGGAATTTAGTACCTGTCTTTACCCCACCGAAGAATTGTCCCGAATCACAGAATCTTGTAAAGGGACTGTGTTCCGCTGGAAAGAGATTTGGCCTTTTTGGCACTTCTTGTGTTTAGCTTATATCAAGGATTTCTATATTTTAATATTTTCAATGCATTTTATGCCTTGTAAAATGCGAAACACTAAATACTTGGTAATGAAAGCAAATTTATTGGTGTTTTTACTGTTTTTTTAACCCAAAAAAATCACCAATTTAATACACCGATAAATCTCTGCCCAGTAATATTTTGAAATTTTACGCGGTATTCGATGAATTTTCTCAAAAGGAGACATTTTCAGCAAAAAAAAAGATTGTTTTCTACTGGGTTAAAAAAATCATTAATTTTGCGCGAAACTGCAATATAGCCTGTAAAATGTGCTGAATTCTTGAAACTATACTATACATATTTTTAGTCCCAATTGTCTGCCCTCGATTTTGCAAATTTTTGCGGTAATTGAACCTCCCGAACCCGTGGGCCAAAGACAAAACATCAACCCGAACAATGGGCTACCAATTTTGCAGGGCCCATGCCAATCAAGGCCTACAATAGCCCCGCCTCCCGGGTTTTTCAGCATAAATAACGCTTAATTGTGGGGCCGTTAAGTATCGTCTTATTTCATAGTATTAGTTCATTTTCGAACCCGTCATTTTAGGTCCAGGTTTCGTTCTGTGGGTGCCACTTGTACGGCTTGGTTTTAGTTGGAAGGCACTCTAGAAGAAGACAAACAGATTTGTCATACCTAAAATACTTGAATTTAGTCGCGGAACCCCGGAATTTACTAATTACGCTCCAGAAACAAAAATTCTTGTGGTTTAGCTAATGTTGGTTCGCTCTCTCTCATTCTCTTAGCCTCTTGCTCTCTCGCTCCCTCTCTCTCTCGCCCTGCCGTCTGTCTCTCGCTCTGTTTGGCTCTCGCGCCCTGTCTGGCTTGCTTTCAGTTTTCAACTTTCTATCAGGCTCTTGATTTCTGCCAGCAGACTATAAAGTTCTATCGTCAGAGCCCGCCTCTACCCCGTAGTTTGCATCAGCATTTCGGAGTGAAAATAGGACAATTGTAAATGAATCCTGATCTACTTAGGCCTTCCGCGTCCCTTTAATGTGTTAATGCCATGTTTGTATTAATTCTGAACCGACGCTTTTCTTTAAACCTTCCAACAATTTCAGAAACCCTCCTCAGAAATGGGTGATTTCGGTGTGTGGCCGGTGATTCTGCACGGCCAACCGAATCAGACGTGGTACAGCTGTGAGGGGAAGACACAGGAACAATGGCTTGCTCGCGGAATCAGGAGAGAAGCTCAGGGCGTATATTTGTATATCACTGGAGGGTTCTTTATGGTAAGCAGATAGTTCTCTATCTCTATTTATCTCTCTCGCTCTCTCTCCCTCTCTCACTCGTTCTCGCTCTCTCTCGTCCTAGCTCTCCGCTACAGATTTTTTTAGTTCCGCAAAGAATCTTTACTAGTTGGCTTCTCTTAACTCTTAGAGGTATCAGATAGCGCAAAAATCGACCCCGTCAGTTAACTAGGTCTCGACAACCACGCGTCGCTCCTAATGACGAGTACAAGCGCTGAGATTTTGATCTACCCTGTAGTTTTACTGCTATTAAACTAGCTGAACGCATGATATGGAGTGCCGTGTAGCTGTCGAGACCTAGTCAACGAGTGGGGGTCCGTCTGGACACTTATTTGTCCCTTTAATTCAAGTTTTTTCAGCTCGTCTACTCCCTCTCCCTAATCGGCATGCTAAAAGCCAAGCTCATCTACAAATCCCCGTGCTATGTCATCATGCTCTTCATGGGCATTGGTCGGTTGCGAAGACTTGCTCTTTTTCTAGAGGTTCACCTCGTGATCCGTAATTATCACAAAAAAATACAAAAAGCGATTTCGCTGTTCCGAAAATACGTGGCATTTCAGACAAAATTGTCCACAATTTTCGTTAATGATGGAGTAGAAGGGAAGGGGTGACATTTCTTGGTTTTACCTGAAATTTTGAACAAAATCAACACATTTTTGCCCAAATAATTTTTGAAAAAATAGAATTAAAGATGGATGACCGTCCTTAAAAAGCAAATAAAAGTAGTGAAAGGTCACGTTCAGGGACGTTTTTTGGGAAAAAGCAAAGGTTTTTGCCGCGGCCGGGGGTCGAACCCGGGCCCCCGCTCGGGAGCCGCGGATGAATACCAGTCAGCCAAAGCTACAACCTGGCGAGGGGGCGAGGGACGCCCGACCCCGCAAAGGAGGGGAATGGCCTGTCTCAGCACGGGCAGGCAGTGCGCGCGGTCCCTACGTCCATAGGGTGTATACGTTGGACAGAGTATACGGCCCCTCCCTGAACGTGCGCTTTAAGTAAGGTTTCCAGGATTTCTTAAATTACGACTTAAATATGCAAATTACATTCCAGGCGACCTCTCGATGATTGTGATGTCTTCTTTCATCACCGGTTTTCTATGTTGGGAGGGAGCGGTGTACTGTAACTACCCCATGCTCATCTATATTGTCGGGAATTCGGGACTTGGTAAGGACTTGACGTCGTTTTAAAGGTACTCTGAAGGCCGGGATCCATCAAAAGCTGAAGCTAGAGGAAATAACGAAGCTTTTTGCCTTCAAAACATCCTAATATCTTTCCATTCCAGTTTTTTAAATTTTTAACGCTTTTAGATTTATTAAATTTTAAAGCACACTTTTGCCAGGAAATTCGGTGATCTCCGCGCTAATATTTTTTCGCCGTTTTTTGTTGGTCGTTCATCTAACGAGCCGTCAGGGACAATAGGCGCTTATTACCCAAATCGTGATTTTTGGCACGTGCCAAAAATCAGCCAAAGGAAGAGTCTAGTCATCTCGATGATTACTTCTTAAATTAAGCAGATTCATAAGCATGAAAGAATCAGAATTCAAAGGAGCACGAGGTTCCTTGAGTTCCAGTAATGCGGCAATCGGATCCGCTGTAATGGTAAACTTTGCGCATGATTTGGATCATGACTCAGAAGCCGGTAAAATACGGGTGAAAAGTTTTACTGGAAACGAAAGAACAGAGAGATCGTACTAAATTACGTTCGTAAATTGTACGTCGTAGGCAAATTGTGCTACGTAAACTTTAAAAGCGTAAAATGCAAGATCTATTCCTTAAATCGTTACCTTTTTCAGGCTTCTGGTCATCTTCCTGCGT